CGTTCCATGAGCTCGGACGATGAGTACTGACCTTTGAGAGCATGGTAAATGATGGATGGAGAGAAGGAGACAGTGTTTGCGATCATCTGATCTGATTTTATATAGCCCTCTGGAACATACGATATGATGAGGCGATGATGTCGAACAGTTAACTTACGGTTCTCAAAATAGATCACTCACACGTCAGGCAGTCTGATCACACGAAGCTTACTGCGGGCCAAACCAAGGTCAGACTCTTGGAACGTTCCGTTATTCCGGGTGACTGCAAGATGAACTCTTAAATATTGACTTGATTTCAGTGGTTTGCCTACTGACAAGTCGAAGAATGTTGTGTGCGCACCATACTAGCGGCACTCGAGCATTGATTCCACAGCTATTGAAGGCTTAGCAAGTGACTAGGGGGTTGAACGTTGATGATTTGCAGTGGATCCAAGAAAAGAGTTACTTACAAACATGACCAAATCCAATAAACGCGTCTGATCGGTCGCACGACGTTCACTGGAGTCTGACCGCGCCTAGAATCTGAACATACAATTGACATGTCAACGTTTTCAACCCTCAGGCTTGATTCAATGTGGGTAACATTACTGTATATACATAGATCATTAGCATCAGTGAATTCCACCTGGGGTGCCCTATTAATAAGCCTTATTATACTTGGTAGTTACGTGTCCCGCCAAGTATAATTAGGCTTGAATCCGTTAAATCTCAACACCGGCATTAAATAGTGCCCCAGCTCAAAAATACCTTCAAGAAATATTGTATCTACCTCACTATGGTGGGGGCGGGCGCCTGGCCCTATTTAGCAAGCATCCCGCCTGGCGTTAATTGCGTCATGGTGGGGGCGGGCGCATGGCCCTAAGTACATAGCAACCGGTCCCCCAAAGACCGGTCTTAACCGGTTCTGGACCGGTCCTTTGATTTTTCACAAACTTTGGGCAACTGGACCGGACTGATCTTGCAACTGGAAAAGACTGCGACCGGTCCTGCTTAGGACCGGTTGCGGTCCGGTCCGGTTGCCGGTCATTTTGCAGTCCTGCAACTGGACTTTAAAACACTATTTGCAATGTCAGACTTGGTGAAAATTTCGTGCACACAACACTATTTCATTGTAAGTCATATGTGCAGCGCTGGATTTGTACATACTACAGTGGGAGTGGGACTTGGCAAAATTTTGATTCGCACAGTGTTGTATACACATTTATACACACTACAGACAGGACTTAGTAAAATTTCAAGTAGTAGTAAGTGGTGAATCTTAATCCTCGTTCGGCATCAAACCAATTGACTAGATGGGTCGAGAAGGGGGGAGAGAGACCAGGAATGGAGGGAAGAAGCCAAGAGGGGAAGCCAGGAAGGAATTAAGACGCCGGGAAGGGGGCGTACCTGCTCAAAAGGGCGAAACCGAATATCTGAGATGTCGTGAAGCTTCAGCGCAGAGGTGCAAAGAAGCCGGGAAGGGGCGTACCTGCTCAAAAAGGGTGAAACTAAAGAACGGAAGCGTCGTGAGAAAGCGTGAACCTTCAGCGCAGAGACGCAAAGAAGCCGGGAAGGGGCGTACCTGCCCGAAAGGGGTGGAGCTAAAGATCCTAAGTGTTGTGGGATAGGGCGTATCATGGGTAGGGTTTGCCCGGGTACCTGCCCGGGCAACACCCGCGGGTGACTCGTGGGTCGGGTGGTACGGGTCATGGGTACCCGTTGTGGCTCACCCGCGACGGGTACGGGTAGAGGTCCTGCAAAAATTGGCTTGAACCTTCAAGGCAGAGACATAAAGGCTTGATGCTTCATGAAGCATCAAGCTGCAAATGTCAAGGAACTAGACACATTATGCATCAAGGCAACATCAAGGTGTGTCTCTTATCACACACCTTGAAGCTTCAATATGACAGTATACCCTGTCGTCTGCGCCTGGGGTCGTTCATCCATCCGTGGACCGTGCACGTGCGCCGATAAGCTTAAGTAAGCTATACTAGACCGTCAATTTCTCAGCTCAGATTGTCCGGACCCCTGCTAGATTTGGGCACTTTTGCTGATTGGCACTGGTCAGACGCGTTTATTGGATTTGGTCGTTTTTGTAAGTAATTCTTTTCTTGGATCCACTGCAAATCATCAACCCCCTAGTCACTTGCTAAGCCTTCACTAGCTGGAGAATTTCTTATATCAATGCTCGAGTGCCGCTAGCATGGTGTGTACACAACATTCTTCGACGTGTCAGTAGGCAAACGTACTGAAATCAAGTCAATATCATGAGCTCATCTTGCGGTCACCCGGAATAACGGAACAGTCAATGAGTCTGACCTTGGTTTGGCCCGCAGCAAGCTTCGTGTGATCAGATACATGACGTATGAGTGATCTATTTTGAGAACCGCAACTGTTCGACGTCATCGACTCATCATATCATATGTTCCGGAGGACTATATAAGATCAGATAAGATGATCGCAAACACTGTCTCCTTCTCTCCATCCATCGTTTACCATGCTCTCAAAGGTCAGTACTCATCGTCCAAGCTCATGGAACGCTTCGCTTTAACTCCACATAGCACATCAACCCAGACAGACTCATCAGCGAGTCCAAGGTTAGGAGTTCGCCATCGAATTCTATCATACTCGGACTGATAGGATATCCGTAGGATAAGAAGTCTAATCATCGTCATCTGACTGGCAAGGACTCCAATTCCAAATCTCACCCGTATGGAGCGCGGTACGGAATCGCATCCATACCCAAGTTCCATATCCCTTCCAAGGGGGCCAGCGCGGAGACCACTTACCAGCTGATCCACGATGAATTGTCCCTTGATGGATCTACCAGTCTCAAGTCAGTCTTGTCAACTTCGTATTATTTGTTGTCTTCTCACCTTCCCGAAGTCTTGCGTCCTTTGTACACACCTGGATGCCAGAACCTGCGAACAAGTTGATGATGGAAAACATGTCCAAAAATTTAATAGATCAGGATGAGTACCCTATGACGCGTATGTCACACATAGTAGCCCATCTAATGATCACCACTTATCATCGCTCGCAGAGGAAATTCATACCCGTTGTGTCTCGATCCTTGCTGATCTTTGGCATGCACCTTCGGCACATGAGGCAATTGGGACTGCCACTACCGGTTCATCGGAAGCTATACAGCTGGGTGGTCTCGCCATGAAGCGACGCTGGCAAGAGCGTCGCAAGGCTGAGGGCAAGTCCATCCACGAGCCTGGCCCCAACATCGTCATGGGCGCGAATGCCCAGGTCGCTCTTGAAAAGTTTGCACGTTACTTCGAGGTCGAATGCCGTCTCGTACCAGTCAGTGTCGAGAGCAAGTACAGGCTCGACCCCAAGAAAGCCATGGAATATGTCGATGAAAATACCATTGGCGTTTATGTCATCCTCGGCAGTACTTACACCGGTCACTACGAACCAGTAAAAGAGATGTCTGACCTTCTCGACGAGTACGAGCAGAAGACGGGAATCAACGTCCCCATCCACGGTGAGGTGTCTTTGTATTCTGTTCCCTTGATATCCCCTGACTCCCTTTTCAGTCGACGGAGCTTCGGGAGCCTTCGTCGCGCCCTTTGCGCATCCAAAGCTGCTTTGGGACTTCAAGCTTCCGCGGGTTGTCTCTATCAACACCTCGGGTCACAAGTTTGGTCTAGCTTACGTGGGTGTCGGTTGGGTGGTATGGCGCTCCAAGGAGTACCTCCCGAAGGATCTCATCTTTGAGCTGCATTACCTTGGTTCAGTTGAATACTCATTCTCGCTCAACTTCTCCCGTCCTGCCGCACCCATCATCGCTCAATACTTCAATTTTATCCACCTCGGATTTGAGGGATACCGCGCGGTAGCTAAAGATGATCTCAAGAATGCAAGGCTCTTGAGTCGTGCTCTTGAGAAGTCTGGGTGGTACACAGTGCTCAGCGAGATACACCGACCAAAAGCCGAAAATATCCTTCAGAAGAATGCCCACAACGACTTCGACGAAGAAAATGTCGAGGTCAGCATTCTACCGCTGGATAGCAACGCTTTCTGACGTCCCGCAGAACTATGAAGAAGGTCTTCCGGTTGTTGCATTCCGGTTCTCCGACAGTTTCCAAGAGTCGTACCCTGAAATTCAACAGAAATGGATCCAGACTCTTCTGCGAGCTAAAGGGTGGATTGTGCCGAACTACGAACTTGCCCCTGACTTGGAACAGGTTCAAATCCTTCGGGTCGTCGTCAGAGAGAACATGACTGAAGCGGTCAGCATTCTTCTCTTAATTTTCTTGTCGAGCTTTACTGAGGCTATCGTCTAGTTGGTGGACCGCCTGTTAGAAGATATCGTAAGCAACTTGGAATATTTTGACTAGTGCAAAAGCTGATGATTGTCCAGGTCGAGGTTACTCAAGACCTCATTAAGCAAGAGTCCCCGACACATGCCCTCAACTTACTTGGAAACCACAGCCGTAAGAACCGTGACAATACTGGTAAGATGGACGAAGGCTCTGCGTCCGGGTGCTCCGGTACGTACGCGAAGCCGTGTTAGAGCTGGCAGAGGTGAAAGAGTGGTGGAAAGATTCATTTTAGCGACATTCGTGCATCGTACTGGACATTCTGTAGAAAAGTATCAGAAAAAGTTAAGGAATTGTAAAGATTAGGCCTGCTGAGGGCCAGGAATATGAATCACGAGGTTTTGGAGCACCACTGAGGTTTAGGATGTGTTTTAAGACCGCAAGTCTTGGTGCTGCAGGCAGCGCGCCGGGTTAGGTATGAGTTCCCGTTCCAACTTGAAAGTCATATTCTCTACGGATTCCATACTATTTCTTGCTTCGCGGTTTCCGTCTATGGTCTGCTGCGAGGGCTGCAAGAGCGAGGCCGAGAAGTTCGTCGACATCGTCTTCTACTGCACACGCAGCTGCAGCCAGTTGTGCAATGGCAAAGACTTCAGGCTGTCTAGCCGTAGACTGATGGTGCTTCAGTGGCTGGTGTCCGAGACGTGGTAAACGCGCCATGGCACGGGCGTATGATGCATTGATAATTGTACTGGCATCCCCGCGCTCGCATTTCGCGATGACAAGCGTCGAACAACATGTTAGGACATACCCAGCAGTCCAATATAAGCATCATTTTATCTTTTTCTCATTTTCTTGTTCCCCACAGCAAAATTAATATACACTCGTTCACGTTCGTTCGCAAAAATAATAAAATGGAATTGAGTGAGGCTAATGAGAGGTCAGCACCGTGACGCCGTCGGTCCGTGAGCCTTCTACGCATCAGCGGCATCAGTGAACTGAGGAATTTCTGAGAAAGATATATATCTACAACATCTACAACTACAACACATATAAGCACGAGATACCGGGTTGCTGTGCTTATCGCGTCACGTGCATAGCCACCGGCGATGGCGTCCAACACGTCATGCTGTGTTGTTGCATTCTGTCTTTTCTTCACGGCTCTTTCCGTCTGCTGCGTCATACTGTGTTGTTGCGCGTTCATGCACATACTATGGCGACCTCTACGGCGTTGTTGGAGCACAAACTTCAATGACACAATTGATTTCCTCTTCCCATCAATTCTCGAAGACCCTGAAAGCTGTCTTGATCGTGCATCCCTTTCCCCTCTCAACGTCTATGTCGATGGATTTTCAACGACATAATTCTAGAGAAATTGCTGGGTGATTTTCGTAAGTATCACAACTGATATCAATCACACATTTCACTGACGAAACTATGTAGGATCTTATTTAAGTTCAGACAGCCTAAAAGAAGCTGAGCAGACTCAATTGAGCACACCAAAACACACTCGACTACCTTGAATGTCAACCGATCCTGGAGTATGTAACCTCTCAAGTAGAAATGGGATTGGTGAGAAACGCGCGCGTGCGCGTCGTCGCGCTGCATTGTCGCTTCCTTAAAATCAATACATTCGAAAGCCACTGCATCCCTCACATTCCATTCAAACCGTTCGTTATGGACAGTGCGAAAAGACACTGTCTATTTGCAGACGATGCTAATATAGTATTTGCTGAGTGGTTACTGCCAACACTGTATTGTCGTAGAGCCGACCGAAGGAGAATCCTTGTATCCTCTAATGCTCGCTTTTCTCCTTGGTTGCGACAGCCTAAACCTCCTGCACTGAAGACCAATACCTCTCTGGCTCGACCAGGAGGTGCACTACATGTGCGCTCTCTTCAAATAGCTCGCAACGCACGTCCATTCCGCGCTCCTTCGCAGTCCCAGCATGTCGTGTGACCTCTTGACACGAAACCAAATTATCCTCGCGCGAAAAAAGGTAGAGGCGGGGTGTGTGGAGGCCCATCATGGCAAGATGCGGGGATTCCACATTTCGATTCGGAGGTTTTCTAGAATAATCATTTGCTTACCGAACAGCAAAGAGAGTCCGAAGCGGATAGAATGTATCGTGTGTACGATTGGGAGTACGATGCGTCTGGCAATTGGGTTCCGGATGACAGTTCTAACAACGAGTTTGATTGATTTTAGGTCACCCGCTGTTGGGCACGAGTCAAGGATCAATGCTCTCGCAGATGACCCTAGAACTGGTGTGGAACCATATTTCCGCTGCAGCATATGTCCAAGAAGTGACATTTGCAGGGAACCTCCTGCTGTTGCCGTACAAGGTTCAGCTTTTTCCAAGTTCAACCGGGGAGAGCCCACCATTGGAAAACACATGAGTAAGTATTCGCGCGAGCCGTTGGGCAGAAGAAGATGGCAAGCAACGTAGTGCTTCTAAGGCGTCGATGACAAGCTTGAGCCTCCGTGACTTTCACATGTGAGGCCACAAGACAACAGTAAGCAATTACTGTGAGGTGCTCACCCTAGCACTGCTTGTAGTCCAGAACAAGTCGCGGTTGCACTGAACGATGATCTGAGACGCTTTTGGGTATAATTTGGCATATGCACTGGTATAATTCCGCAAATGCCTGGGATTTGCTCCCACTGTGGACAATACTCATTAAACATGGACTACAAGAACACAGACTTAGAAATTTACGCCATCCGAATATCAAAACGACGCTACAGAATTCCTGTCAGCTAACTTGCTAAACAACGAACACCGACTCACTTTGGAGATTTAGTATCCTGACATTGTTCGTGGATATCCCGAAGATATATCCCAGTGCCAATCGTACGGAACCCTTCCAGAGGACGAACTGTCGACAGACTTCGTACTGGTAGCAAAACGGAAAAAAAAACCGGGTGTTTAGGTGAGTCTGTTATACACCAACAACTGATATTACTTACCAACTGTGAATCGAGGGGCAATCATCCTGGGACCGGAGACGGCGTTCGAAACCCAACAGAACTCGGCTTGCCAAGAAAATGACCATACCCGGGAACACAGAGATTTCGAAACATGTAATGTGTCGGGGCCGAGGCGCGACTCAGAACAACCTCAATACTGAAAGAAGAAAAAATTGGTTGAGTACGGATACAACTTGTAGGATATATAGCACGATTATGACTCTACACCAGCGTGTTATGATCTGGTCTCGTTTTTCTCTTCTTCTCTGCGGTCCCTTTCATCCCGCACCCTGAGACTCGGTCACAACACGCTCAGCCCCTCCGCGTCCGGTTTGTATTTTTCGCAAACTCAATCTTCAAGCTCGAACCACCGAACTCAGAACGCTCTTCCCGGACCCTGCGCACACGTGCAGTCTGGCGGAGCCAGACCCTCCCCAACGAAGCTTTCGTGGTTTACTAACCTCTTTCTTCGGATATCATCTTCACTAACATTATTCTTAACAAATCCCATTCTCAGCTGAATAGCTCAAGCCTCAACCAACGTCACCCAAACTCGAAACTCATCCCACTCCTAACCTTTCTCTCTTCACAGCCTTTCGATATTGTTTCTCCCCGCCTCGTCAGAACTAAGTACGGCGCCTCTACAAAGCGCGCGGGTGAAGAGGCCAATAACGATGTTGATGACTTTGGTCCAGAAGATGGGGAGGATGTGACGAATGAGTTTGAGGAGGATAGCTTTGCAGACTTGTGATTGACGACAGTGCACGACACGATAGCTCACTGGCAGAAAAACAGCTCTGTTATCCTGAAATAATTTACATGTAATCGGAATAATAAGATGGGGATTACAGCCATCAAAATCTCGTTTGACCTTAATGCCTAAACCCCTGGTTTTTATGGCGTGAGATCAGGACAACTTGAAAGCGGTGGAATGGTACAAGGCGAACATAATTTACCTTCACCCAGAATCAAAATGCTCGTTGAAATGCGCGAGGATTGATGACCGTCGGCAGTCAAGCCAGTCCCATCCTGAACCTCAGTGGTGCTCCAAAACCTCGTGATTCATATTCCTAGCCCTCAGCAGGCCTTTTACAATTCCTTAACCTTTTCTGACACTTTCTACAGTATATCCAGTACTGTGTTTCGCAAAAATGAATCTTTCCACCACTCTTTCACCCCAGCCCACTCTAACACGGCTTCGAGTACGTACCGGAGTACCCGGACGCAGAGCCTTCGTCCATCTTACCACTATTGTCACGGTTCTTACGGCTGTGGTTTCCAAGTAAGTTGAGGGCATTTGTCGGGGAATCTTGCTTAATGAGGTCTTGAGTAACCTCGACCTGCACAATCATCAGCTCTTGCACTAGTCAAAGTATTCAACGTTGCTTACGATATCTTCCAACAGGCGGTCTACCAACTAGACGATAGCCTCAATAAAACTCGACAAGAAAATCAAGAGAAGAATGCTGACCGATTCAGTCATATTCTCCTTGACGACGACCCGAAGAATTTGAACCTGTTCCAAGTCAGGGGCAAGTTCGTAGTTCGGCACAATCCACCCTTTAGCTCGCAGAAGAATCTGAATCCATTTCTGTTGAATGTCTGGGTACGACTCTTGGAAACTGTCGGAGAACCGGAATGCAACAACCGGAAGACCTTCTTCATAGTTCTGCGGGAAGTCAGAAAGCGTTGCTATCCAGTGATAGAATGCTGACCTCGACATTTTCTTCGTCGAAGTCGTTGTGGGCATTCTTCTGAAGGATATCTTTGACTTTTGGTCGGTGTATATCGCTGAGCACTGTGTACCACCCAGACTTCTCAAGAGCACGACTCAAGAGCCTTGCATTCTCGAGGTCATCTTTGGCTACCTCGCGGTATCCCTCAAATCCGAGGTGGATAAAGTTAAAGTATTGAGCGATGATGGGTGCGGCAGGGCGGGAGAAGTTGAGCGAGAATGAGTATTCAACTGAACCAAGGTAATGCAGCTCAAAGATGAGGTCCTTCGGGAGATACTCCTTGGAGCGCCATACCACCCAACCGACACCCACGTAAGCTAGACCAAACTTGTGACCTGAGGTGTTGATAGAGACAACCCGCGGAAGCTTGAAGTCCCAAAGCAGCTTTGGATGCGCAAAGGGCGCGACGAAGGCCCCCGAAGCTCCGTCGACTGAAAAGGGAGTCAGGGGATATACAGGGAAAAGAATACAAAGACACCTCACCGTGGATGGGGACGTTGATTCCCGTCTTCTGCTCGTACTCGTCGAGAAGGTCAGACATCTCTTTTACTGGTTCGTAGTGACCGGTTGTAAGTACTGCCGAGGATGACATAAACGCCAATGGTATTTTCATCGACATATTCCATGGCTTTCTTGGGGTCGAGCCTGTACTTGCTCTCGACACTGACTGGTACGAGGCGGCATTCGACCTCGAAGTAACGTGCAAACTTTTCAAGAGCGACCTGGGCATTCGCGCCCATGACGATGTTGGGGCCAGGTTCGTGGATGGACTTGCCCTCAGCCTTGCGACGCTCTTGCCAGCGTCGCTTCATGGCGAGACCACCCAGCTGTATAGCTTCCGATGAACCGGTAGTGGCAGTCCCAATTGCCTCATGTGCCGAAGGTGCATGCCAAAGATCAGCAAGGATCGAGACACAACGGGTATGAATTTCCTCTGCGAGCGATGATAAGTGGTGATCATTAGATGGGTTGCTATGTGTGACATACGCGTCATAGGGTACTCATCCTGATCTATTAAATTTTTGGACATGTTTTCCATCATCAACTTGTTCGCAGGTTCTGGCATCCAGGTTTGTACAAAGGACGCAAGACTTCGGGAAGGTGAGAAGACAACAAATAATACGAAGTTGACAAGACTGACTTGAGACTGGTAGATCCATCAAGGGATAGTTCATCATGGATCAGCTGGTAAGTGGTCTCCGCGCTGGCCCCCTTGGAAGGGATATGGAACTTGGGTATGGATGCGATTCCGTACCGCGCTCCATACGGGTGAGATGTGGAATGCGAGTCCTTGCCAGTCAGATGATGATGATTAGACTTCTTATCCTACGGATATTCTATCAGTCTGAGTGTGATAGAATTCGATGGCGAACTCCTAACCTTGGACTCGCGGATGAGTCTGTCTGGGTTGATGTGCTATGTGGAGCTAAAGCGAAGCGTTCCATGAGCTTGGACGATGAGTACTGACCTTTGAGAGCATGGTAAATGATGGATGGAGAGAAGGAGACAGTGTTTGCGATCATCTTATCTGATCTTATATAGCCCTCCGGCACATATGATATGATGAGGCGATGACGTTGAACAGTTACGGTTCTCAAAATAGATCACTCGTACGTCAGGTATCTGATCACATGAAGCTTGCTGCGGGCCAAACCAAGGTCAGACTCGTTGAACGTTCCGTTATCCCGGGTGACCGCAAGATGATCTCTGAATGAGTTGGTTTCAGTGGTTTGCCTACTGACAAGTCGGATGGTGTTGTGTACACACCATACTAGCGGCACTCGAGCATTGATTCCACAGCTAGTGAAGGCTTAGCAAGTGACTAGGGCAAGACTAGGGGGTTGATGGATCCAAGAAAAGAATTACTTACAAACACGACCAAATCCAGTAGACGCGTCTGACCAGTCGCGCGACCCACGTTCACTGGAGTCTGACCGCGCCTAGAATCTGAACATACAACATGACAACCCTTGATTCAATGTGGGTAACATTACTGCATATGCATAGACCATTAGAGGTCTCATTTATTTGCACAGACCAACTCCATCATGTCCACTTGTCCGACCGACAACCACCGTTGTTCCTCCAACCGAGATGACGCCGTCTTTCTTGATAGACACAAAGAACAAGTCTTACAAGCACCAATATGCAAATATATACTTTACACGTCTGACATTACTGAGAAATGCAGTGGAGAAGCGGGCAAAAGCTAGGTGGGATGGACTACAAAGTACGTGACAACAACCTTCCATCCTTTTCGAGTGCTCACTTTAGGTACAATTAGGTGAACCGCTCTATGTAGCACGCGTCCTTGATGTTGTTAAATCTCAACTATGTTGGGTAATTGGTACAGTCTACATGGACATGCCACTCAAGCCGAATGTTCTGGAAGACATTGGCCGGGATGTGAGTAACTTGTACATGGAACCAGCCATTCTCAGAGTTGATATGTGTAAAGCATTCCATCCCGGCTCCACCACCGCGTGAGAAATTCTACTGCGATGAAGACAGCGTTATGTTGGAGGATGAGTCGGGTCGTCTTAAATTAGTCGGTGACCGTGTCGGTGAGGAACGCCTAGTCACAGGCGTCATAGTCGCCGCTCTGGGTATGGAAACGCCCACAGGAGACTTCGAAGTTGTAGATATGTGCACTGCGGGACTTGCAACATTTGCAGAGGAAGAATTTCTTGGCTCAAACGCCATGGATATGGATGTCGAGTAAGTTTACTGCTTTCCAGATATACAACTGAGCCCAAGACGCTTTATGATCTAGCTCTTCATCCACGCAAGATGAATATGTGGCCGTCATTTCGGGACTATCCATTGGGTCACCCTCACCTGCGGATGCGCAAATCCAAATGCTTGTGGAGTACCTCACCGGAGAAGCAGGTGGTCCTGAGGACCAACAATTAGCATCACGAATAACACGGCTTATCATCGCCGGAAATTCGCTATCACTTGCGGAATATGGTGAAGAGGGTGACGACGAGAAGAGACCAGTAAGTTAAGGTCCCTTCTTTGTAATGGCAGATAACCAAGTGTAACCCAGAGAAAATTCGGCGCTTCAGCACAGGCAGTTTTTTCTCCTCATCCGAATCTTGCTCTTTCCGCTCATCTTCATGATTTAACTTCCGCACTTCCTGTCCACATATTGCCTGGAGAGGATGATCCTTCTGGAACCATTCTTCCACAGCAGCCTTTCCCCCGTGCGATGTTCGGGAAGGCTGCAGCATTCGAGTCATTCCACTGCGAATCAAATCCGGCCTGGCTTCGCGTAAGATGTGATGAAGCCGAGTCACCGATACCGAACGAAGGGCGAACTTCGTCTTCTCAATCAAATCATCCGCCTGTCACTCGCAGCCTATTGGTGACCTCTGGACAGCCTGTTCTTGACATGTACAAATATCTTCCAACCCCGCCCTCGAGCCTCGTGTCGATCGCTGCTTCAACCCTAAGATGGCGCCACGTTGCTCCAACTGCTCCAGACACACTGTGGTGTCATCCTTATCGGGACCGAGACCCTTTTATTTTGTGGGAAACCCCGGATATTTACCTTGTTGGCGGGATGCCCCAATTCGGTACGGAGCTGGTGGGTTCAGAAGATGGATCGGGCAGGGCAGGAAGATATTGCAGAATTGTTCTGGTGCCTAGCTTTCTCGCAGACGGGCGTTCTAGTGCTTGTCAATCTGCGGACTTTGGAAGTGCAGCGCGTGGATTTTGGGGTTGAGGGATTGAGTGCGGGTGGCGGAGAGCAGCAGCCTTTAGGAGATGATGGAGATGCCATGGCAGAAGGCTGATAAAATTTTGTTGTTTTTTTTTCTTCCGGTCGACAGCAAATCGCGATTTAGGCTGGAGATTACATGGCTTTCCTTGGGATCTTGCGCCACATCTGGTTGAAGCCTATCACTGCCTATCTTCTGATTTGCTTCTGATTCTGGAATCTGGGTTGATTCGGCAGGTGTAGTGTTCAGGGTCACGTGGATAATAGTCCATCAGCCGTGATTGTGAAAAGCTGTCAAAGGTCGTCCTTTTCTTCATCCCCATTTGTTACTAAAAGCCGTCGTCAAACATGACAGAACAGAACAAAACAAAAGGCTTTGTTCCGGGGCCCACATTAGCTCTCGTTAGCCTCCCTTATTATTCCGTTCTCAAAGTGCGTCGAGAGATTCTTTGATCATTAGTCCGACGGCCTCAGAGGAGGAACGCCTAAAATTTCTTATCGGATGGCGCACTTCCCTTTTATGATGTGGACAAATGCTGCATTTGTTTGTTGTAGTGGGCGCAGGTTGTCAAGGAGTGAATGCCACTCGCTCAACATAATTGGGCACACCACTGATATTATCTGGGTCTTCTCATTGATCGTTTGATTTCCGATGTCAGGATCGTGACTCCAGCCCTCCAAAAAATTCTTCCTTTCTGGACTTGTGAGCGTGTGGCATGTCCGCTTGAATCTTTAGGGTGGCGTCTATGCCACAGCTTTTCACTTTGACCTTGCTTGGACCCATCACCATACATACATAAAGTGCGTTGCCCCAACTCAGATCGACCTCATTCCTCACCCTTCTCCCCTATCTAAGGCTTACTTCTACTCACTTACGTACGCGCGTTACAATACGGACGTCCGTCAAGATACTCGTCGAGGCTCTGGGCCGATCTGCCCATCCTCGTAACGTTCATGCGCGCCGACACCGAGGTCTCCTCGCGAACGTCGAGCGCGCATGAACCCGGTGGCGCTACAAGAGCAGCAATCTTGGCGTTGCTGTGCGCACGGGTGCCGAAGCCGTGCATCGCTGCAATACGGTGGAGGTTCGAGGAGCCCGGTAAGATAAATAAATAGCGCCACTCCCCTCTGGATGTCGGACACCCTGAACGAGACTATGGACCCCGCCTGATTGAGCTCACACTGTGCGACATGCAGTCAGCGATTGTCACGGTAGTCTCCGGCGCCAATGTCTTATTTTCCTCTTCCACCTGTATTCCTCTGCCATGTAATCTTCATACACCAGAGTGCTGAGGGCGGTAGCTTTTCCCCACTGGGGTTTTTAATGCACCCGTTTCGATGACGCACTCTCTGTGTCAACTCGGGAAAAAATAATCAAATAATCTTTGTGGCATCATTTTCTGTAATAACGACGAGTGAAAGTTTAACTGGCTTTGAGCAATGCATCGCTGGTTTTTCTACTCTTGCTCTATAATGTAAGTATGCGCAAGTTGTTGTTGCAACGTTGAGCGTTTGGTACATACTCAGCACTGAGCCAATGTAAGTAACTATGTGAGATCCCAATTTCGTCTGTCAACATGTTAAAAAGTCAAGTTGAGTCGGTTGAAGGAACTTCAAATCACAAAATGCCAACTAAAAATATGACAAGGACTATTTTTCGTCTACACTGAGAAACACGTCTGATATCATGTCCTTGAGGTAAACCTTCCGTAGCATCATCGTGAATGGCACACATATTTACAATACACCAAAAAACACACGAAACCATGAAATATCACTGATTGGACGAACGCTCGGGTCTTTGTCTGGTGGGTGAGAACAGCCCTCCAACGACGCTTGACATCGTGTCCGTGATTTGCCGCTGTTGTGTTTGCGTGTGCTTCACAAAAAAAGAGTCGTACTTTGGTGAAGTTCCATATCCCGAGAGGCGACATTCCATGCACATAAACACCTCCCCATATGAGCGACGTCAACCAGACAATTGATGCATCCGACCACTAATCGCTGGGTCAGCATCTTCCACACTCATGAGGAGAAGAACATACCACAAATCGTCTGGGATATAACGCTGGTGCAGGAGGCAGAACATCAGTCAATGTCACGCTTTGCAAGAAATCAGTGATAGCGCCGGCTGAGTTGGCCTTCTGTCTGCCAGCTTGCAGATTCTGAATCTTTGGCAGGAGCTCTGATATGACCAGCATCACAGTATCCAAGGGTAGCCTGTCAACATTTAGGAGACACTCGAACACCATCGAGCAAGTACTTACCCTTGTTGCCAAGACGTAACCTAGTTTCGTAGAAGTTAGCGACAGGCAACGTTCTGTTAGTGTGAACTGAGGCTCACCCATTCTTGGGTGGGTAAAAACCCATTCCTACCAACGCCAGCCGCAGCCATGCGATCTCCATTAATTGTGTCCAACGACATCGACCGCCGAGCCTTCATCTTGCCTCTCGCCTTTTCTGACGCAGCTGTTATAGTCCCGGTACTTGTTGTTGGGCTATTCTCCGAAGGTGAAGACGTGAGCGGGCGGGTCTCTGTTTGTTCATGCCCACCCCGACCAGCTTCAAGGTCCTCACCAGAAAACGAAGTAGACTCGATATCCAAAGCAATGGTGAAGGCAGGGTCGCTCTCGTTCTTGAGAAGGCGTAATTTCTCCTGGTGTGCACTCTCCACAGACGCGCGCTCCTGCTGTGGGCCGTCCTTTCGGTCGCGTTCCGCCTTGCTTGCTTGCTCTTCCTTGATCCGCTGTACACGCTGGATCTCTCGAAGTCCGCGGGCAAGAGTGAATGTCCCTAGTTCTTCGAAAGTTTTTTGTGCGGTGATGACTGCATACAGAAGATTGGGGTTATCGGAAAGGTGATGGAATATTACCGAGTTGAAGACCTCGAGCCTTGGGAACAAGTAAGCGTCGTGCTACTCCCATACGACAATGACTCACATAAGAAATAGAAGTCTTGGGTGGCTCTCGTCGGATAGAAGGAATAGAGGGTTCGAGAACGAAGTGAAGAGCTGAAGCAGACGATTAGATGCAACAACAGACAGGTTTTTAAAATATGGAGCCGCATTCGCGAGCGCGATGATAAGTGCCGGGTATATGGAATTGAGGGAGCCTGAAGTAGTTGCAATGATGGAGTATATTGACTACGAAGGATCAATTTCCATAAATGTAAAAGTCACTTGTTCGCTCACAGTAATCATGAAATCTCCAGCGGTCCCATGCGATGCCCCCTGAGATATCCATTTTGTCGGTATCTGTATATTTATTGGTGACGAGAGCTTATTGCCGAACGCGGACTCAGCCGATAGCGTCTGAATGATGTATGAGAGCGCTCTGCAAAGTCCGTGTTGCTCTAGAAATCCATTGAAAATATGTACCTACTTGAGAGATAACTAGAGAAGACGTACGTGGCTTATCTTTGATCTCGAGTGAATAGCACAGAAGATATGCAAGGACATCAACTGCCTTATCTGAGTCCAGCAGGTAAGCACGGAATTTCTTAGAGAAAGGATAAGACGTCAAGTCGGCAATACTGGTTAGACGATCTACTTACCTTGTTGAGCTCGATGACCTTCCAGAACAAAACGACTGTACGGGATCAGAAGAGTGAGGCAAACATAAAAGACATGCGTACTAGTCTCAGGCACATAAGGAACCGACTTCCTGGATCCAGGGAGTAGATTGTTTGATATAGCTAGCTGCTGCTCTAGAATGGCAATGATGCCGCTCAAGATAAAAGCGAAATCCTGAAGTGCGATGCTATACGCCATAAACAATAGCATTCTCAGATGAAGAAGACAAATTTACCAATTTCGCCAAAAAATAACGGAAGGCATTTGTTTGTGTAGTCGGGGATGATGAAGTAGCGGCGTCCCCAGAATCTGAAACGATGTCTCTGGCCGGACCACTCTGGAAATCCAATACAACACACAAAACTTGCAGGCACATGCCTACAAGTGCTGTCCTGGAATCCTCGCCCTTGAAAACTAGGTGATTGTAAGGGACCTTTCCGGCTACACTGGCAATGGTCATGTTGTTGGTCGTGGCGGAGTTTATCACGGTGTTTAGCAAGGAGCAAAGTAATGTCAAGACGTCGCGTCGGGGAGTTTTTCGAACCACATGCAGAGTGTAAAATGAAGGATGCGTGAAGAGAGCGGCAGGCGGAATGTATATCTGACGTGATAAAAGGACCAGGAGAAGCCGTAAAACCTCAGTTTTATTGGAGTCATATGCATGATTTGGTCCAGGGTCAGTCGTCGAGCCTATACCCTTCTCCCTAGGTAATTGTAAGCCAGGCATACGTTTTGGACCAACGATGCATACCATATAACATAATTGATTTTGTAATGATCCACTTGTATCTTCGTTGGGAGACTGAAACCGCAACAAAACAGGAGATCGTTGACGCAAGTAAATAACTTTTCTCCTAGCGAAGGCAAGGTTTTCGTCCGTTTTGGTTGAGGAGTCTGTGATTGCGTGTCGGAGTCATGACCACTCTCACTCCCGTCATCATCATCTTCAATGACGAACTGAGGTGCCTGTTCCGGAGCAGTGGGTACAATTTCGTCGTCGACTTCAACCTTCTTCCACAACACCTCGAGCTCAAATGCGTTAGACTCTCCCTCAACCTCAAACACAACAGGCAGCACCCTTTGCAGGACTCGCAGACTGTTAAGGACCTCCTTCGTTGCGTTACGCTCTGTGCTCGAGGTCTTCATGAAGGAAGTGGCATATGACGCCATAGATGCTGGTGGTGCGGATGGGAAGGTGTGGTCAGACACGAGATTGAACAGACGAGACGTCACAACTCTGATGAGAGTCGCTACATTTTCTGGCGAGTCAAGGAGAGCTCTACGAACTTGGGAGGTCTCATTAACCACCCTCATTAAGAACCAAATGCTAGGACGTACTGTCATGAGTTGATATGAGGGAAAAGACATCAGAGGGCGTGTCAAAGAGGGCAAAGTACTGAGATATATTATTCAATTGAACATGTGGACAATAAACTAGGGTATCACCGACCTGGTCCCAGTAGCTGTCAGTTTCGGCTATATGCTGCGGTTGACAACTTATCGTTATAGTTAGAGTCTAAAAGGAGGTTTCACGAACTCACCCTCGTTGTATACAGCTTAGAAATTCCCTGAGGGCGACTGCGAAACGCTAGCTTCGCCTCGTCGGTCAATAATCCAAATGGTGCCGTTAGGGTTTGTGGAAGTTTGGCGAACATTGTCGTATGAAAATCGTTGGCACGATATGCACAAGGTGCGAAGTCAAAGCCCTAAGTAGGACCGCCTTGAGTGTGTCCTGCCGAGATCACTTTCAGTGCCTTGTACGATATTTGTGGACCGCAGCGACGTCGGATGCTTCCGAACTTGCGTGACAGGCTCAGAATAGCCTAGACTCAATAGCTCAAGCTTTCATGCCTCATGCGAGCTTGTACAGCCTACCAGACACTAAAACGGAGATGTTCGGTCCTTCTTTGCTATTTGGTATGTCAACTAATCAAAACTACAGATCACACCAAACCTTTCTGCTGCTCTTTGTAGCGACCCAGAAAATTTCTCCATATATATACGACGACATGGTCACTGCAGAGCGCAGTGGTGGTAGTTTCTCTTACTACTCGAAGGGCATTCATCATTGTTGCCGTCTGGCGGCGTAGCAGTTGTCTGTGAATTCGACTCGCATTGAGAACATGATCGGGACGACCCAGGCCTTGCCCAATGCCCATACGAAATGACTGCACTGACTGCACATGAGGTGGATTAAGTCACTGCAATAGAAGAGACGCGCCACACAGCCAAGCAGCTTTGTCACCGATAAAAGGTGTGTTCAGGGAACTAAAATTTTGGCGATGGCGAAGTCTTGTCGCCTCATACTCCGAATTCACGACACCCTCCCTCGAAATCTTCTCTCCCCATACCGAGCAGCTAGTTCTGCACCACCACTGAAGTGTTTCTCAGGCGTTGATGCATCGATACGACGGGATCATCACCAGCCCTCAGACCCACGTTGCTTTTCAGGAGACCACACACCATTGCGCTTCTTCCGCCATCTTCTGACTACAATGTCCTATAGGCGGCCAGCAACCGGTGCACCAATTGTTAAAGATAGCGTCAGTGAACAGTGATTTCCATGGTGTGCACTTACTGAAGTTTACCAGTCCGTTTGGGAGGAAACACGCCCCGATGATGGCCTCGTTTGTGATATCATACCGAACACCCCACGCCATGATCAGGATACGAGATGGAAGATGACTGTCAGCTTACGATAGTAAACGCCAGCGGCACGAGGAGAATTATGTGAGAATGCACTATACAGTGGGAGTCGGCGCACCATAGTCAGTGATAAGCATTAGAGTCGACGCAAGCATCTACATCCCGCATAGAACTAAGAGTTTGTAAACGAGTACGCAATGTACATCATGAATGCACTCACGACCGCAAATAGGTCCGGACTCCGGAGCAACCAGAGACTGCTCAGAGGATTTACCGGCCATTTGATATGGATCCATCTCCTGCGCGTTAGTTTGTCCATGCCTAATGCGCTAGTATGGTTCATCTCAGGAAACGAAAGGTATACAAGAAACAACTCGAGCAAGCCCCATGCAGCGAGGTAATAGTGCAAATTGCGCCACTGCACCTGTTTAAATACATCGTTGGATCCTGCATGCCCAAACATCCAGAATATATTTACCTCCAAGAAGCGGAGCAATGGCGAACCCGAACTGAGATGATTCTTACGGGGGAAGGGAATCGGTCGTACGTCGACTGTTGGATTGTGTTGACAACCAGGATCAAGGATCGCGGATCGAAGAATTCAAAAATTCAACTCATCCACGAGGTATTGCTTGAATACGTTGGCTTGTGAATTGCATTTGGAATGGCTTCGTGCCATTCACTATTTCGTAAAAGAAGAGTCGGGACACGAGCCGTCGTGACTTACCTCCCAATATTGGAACAGAGTTAGTTGAGGTTCGTTGACCTTGGAGACGCGTGTTCGAGGTGTGTCACCCTCCTTGGGGAATCAGAAATCCAAGACGTTGAACGTCGCCAATCGAGGCCACTGTTGCTATTTCATATGCGCGCGCGGTCACCTTACATGAAAGAAGTAACATGAATCTGCATAAAGGCCCTCTCCTCAGAGAATTCTACTCCCGTTGTATGACAGCTAATAGCCCAAGACCTCCGAGAAGCGCGTATTTGAGTTGCGGGAAATCATTCTGTGTGACATGATGAGCGTTATTGGGCAACGACAGATCCATGAAAAACGCGCTACCAAGTGGCACACGTGTATTCAACTGGGATGGAGAGAGAGGCTTACCATGGCGATCGTCACGTAGCCAATGTACGGAAGGAACCTGGAGATGAAGTATGAGTAAATTGAAGGTGTAGTTAGAAGATTGAGTAGGAAAAGAGACGTGTCAGGTTGCATAGGCTTTGCCTTCAAACAGGAAGGAACAAAATGAAAATAATGCGAAAAACACATACCCGCGAACTTTGCCAACGATATGTCTTCGGTCGAGCCATTCAAGGCCTTGGTAGAGATCAATGTCATCAACATGGTTGTTGTCGCCTTTCGTGAGCATAAGTTGATGTTCCCCTGGTGGGAGTTTGAGCTTTGCGAGTCTGGTGCAGGGTGAGTTGTAGTCAGTTATCGAATTCTTTGACTTGACCCCCGCAACGAACCACAAACAGTAACTCACCTGTTGCTGATGACGCGGTTCGCCGTAGAATTGTCAAATGGGATGACGACATCCCGGGTTTCCAGGACGCGGTGTACAATGGGTATTTCGGCGCCAGGGATCCTGTACACAGTGATATCGCCTGTGTGATAGCGTTGGCCTGGGGGGTTGGTAAGAAAAAGAAGGTCGCCACGGTAAAACGCTGGTTCCATCGAGCCACTGTAGATATGGGATAAATTAATACTTATGCAGGATCCAGTTTAAGGTGAATCATACATACCTGAGGACAACAACAATTGGAGATTCTGTGTTCAGGATTAGGCCGAGGCCTTTCCATAGCATGAGGCCAGATGCAATGACGGAAGCGAAGTTAAGTATTTGGAGCAGAAACTAAGGAACAGAAAATGGTCGACGCATAAGGGGTCACGTCAAGGACACGTCGGCACAAATGCAACATAAGAAAAGTCAGTACTCTAACAGAATGATTGAAAACAATAGGACAAACGTGTCGGAATCCTAGTCGACGGAACGTCTTGAGCTCATCTGAGAACATCACTATCGACGTACGAATACGAATAGAAAATTACGACTCGACCAGCGGTAAGGAAAGACAGTGAGTGCTGTCACTGTTGTGGCTATGCATCCCCGACTCCCACGTTACTAGTGGAGAAGCCTCAGCTTAGTTGAACACTTTTCTCTGCACCCATCTTGAACCTGATTTCCCGTGTTGTCGCCGAGCCGCCATGGGCGGGAAGGCAGCATTAGAATCCACGTCGATTAAGTTTCACTAGCACTTCTATCTTATTCCAGCCCACATTATATTATGATGCTGGAAGCTCTTACCAGGAGTGCCAACTATGCTGCTGTTGATTCTGGAGCAATGCTTTGCCTGCTGTGAACTTCAATGAAGTGAGCTTTGGCAGTGTTATACAAGACATTAGAGGTTGATGTAGATCGTCCACTCAGCGTTGCCTGTGCGCCGACTAACTTGGTTCGAGAATATGGCCCGATTGTGTCGTTCCGACGAGGTAGCCGAGTGATGATTGTCATTGGCACCATGGAGGTAATCTGCCCATACCTTGAACTTCCTCCGACAACGACTCGTTTACCGTGATAAGTATCGGAGTCGACGCAAGCATCCACATCCCGCATAGAGCTAAGAGTTTGTAACGAGTACGCAATGTGCCCCATGAATATACTCACGACATGTTCGGACTCCGGAACAACCAGAGACTGCTCAGATGATTTACCCATTTGATACAGATCCATCTCCTGCGCGTTAGTTTGTCAATGCCCAATGCGCTAGGATGGTTCGTCTCAGGAAACGAAAGGTATACAAGAAACAGCTCGACCATGCAGCGAGGCAATAGTGCAAATTGCGCCAGGAACAATACTGCGCCTCAGAATATATTTACCTCCAAGAAGCGGGGCAACGGCGAACCCGAAAAGTGTAGCTTGAGAAAGCCACGTCAGTTACACAAGAGCGTTCAACATTAGTATTACTCGCACTGAAGAATACTCCAATAGCAGTCCTCTCCTCCAATTTATAAATGTCACCGATAACACCAGCACCTAACGATATTCCCCCGGAATACCCAAACGTCTGTACGAACCGCCAGAATAACAGACTCTGCAATGCCAACGAAGTCGACATTGCGACACCGCAGCTCCCGATGCATAAAAACGGTATGCCCCACAAATACATCGATCGTTGTCCATCTGCAGGACTGCAGTTAGGAATCGAAACTACAGCGAGTTCACGACACGCTATGGATACACGTACACAAAGCCGAATAAGCAGCCCAAACTAACGCTCCGAACGGCACTCGCCAAGATCGACAGGCTGACGGTCAAACTGGGAAAATCGCTTGATCACGAATTACAACACGCACCTGACGACAGCATGTATCGAGCCAATATCCTAACCATTTGAGGGATGGAAGGCGCGAATGTCGATGAGACGAACACTACTCGCGTTCATCAGCATCACACCATCATATGAGCAGTACACTTTAACTGCCAGCACTCACTAGGCGACAGACCTGCAAAAGAGATAATAAACATGATCCAGCTCTTCTCGTCGGGCGCAAACCTGTCATAGATAGGTTCATGTGCGGTGGACGTCAACAGGGGGCTGTCTTCTGAAACCATCATGAATTGCGAGCAAATCCTCGATTACCGTGCGGGAGAGATTTATATGCATACCCAGCCTCTGTTAAGGTGATCGAAAACGAATATGTAGAGCTCAGGAGACATGTTGGAAAAAGGTGATATACCATTGCAAAAGGAGGGCATTGAGGGAGACGGAATAGGGTGTAATACATTAATGAATTAAATAATAGATAATTTGAATCAGACCTTCGCCGCGGACCCGGAGGAGCTAGATACGGAATGAGTTTCGGACTGTTTATAAATTTGGTTAATAGGGCGATGCCAAAAATGGATAGTACTTCCTGAATAAGATGGTGGCTGTTCCGTACCGAGTTGCAGGCGGGGGAGGAGGTTGAGGAGGTTCCTGACAGTGATGATTACGTGACCCACCACTTTGGCGAGTTCCTCAGCAAGTTCAAAGGGACCTGTTGCTAATACTTTAGATATTGTTAGTAAGATCTCGGATCTGATGAATATTAGACTTGCCAATCAACAAGGCTCCCCCTTTGACGGCAGTCCAGTCATGGATCTTCCCATAGATGCGAAGATGATCTTTGTTTCTCCCGCTCCCTACAAGGATCCAGAATGGAAACTCGAAAACGGGGAAGAGTAGGATAAGCGCTATGGACATTGAGGCCACGGAAAAAGCGGAGATCTTGGCATCAAACAGCACTAATAATAGGAATTAGAAGACGGCTAGTACTGATTTTGAAACTCACCTAGCGAAACGAGGTATACAAGAACTGTTACCCAATTGAATAATTGGAACGCACATCCCCAATTATTTTGAGGGCCATCCTATGTGCTGGGTTCAACTCGTGAGTACCATAGATGACATAACGACTTACGAGGTAATGGGACACCACCGAGAATCAGTAGTTTAGATTCGCGATGAGAACAGTTGTTCCAAGCACCCCTAGGGCGAACGTAACATGGTAATCATAGCTTTGGAAGCCAAGAATCGAAGCAAGAATAAGTATGATGTGAGGTACAAAGAATAAAATGCATAGAGTCATAGACGACAAACATTCTCTAACAGGATCTGACATGATGGATGATAAGGTTATACGTCTGGTTCAGGAGAAACTAACAAATGGTGGCAGTGGCTTATGTAAATAGTCGCAACATGCGCGGGGCCCAATCAAATTCATTCATTGCATCTATATATATACATGTATTAAGCACGAGATACCGGCGGCTCGGGCGCTATGGTGTCCACCACGTCATACTGTGTTGTTCTGCGCTCATGATTCTGTCTCCTTTTTACAGCTCTTTGCTCATTGCCATCATGGCGTGGTTGGACCAGCAATACCATTCGGAGGAATTACCTTCATAGGTTTGGGGGATTTTCGGCATGCAGGCCCCATTGTCAGTGGAGCAGTAGAGACAGCCACTCTGGCAGCGTCAGCAAAGTCATCAGCGCTATGGAATAGCATTCGCATCTTGACTCTCAACACTGCAACTCACAGCTTTCGTGGACGGGATTGGTGAAGACTGCTCCAGAAATCGACAGAATCTCGCACTCATAGCAGCGACCACAAACTTCGACGATACTATTAACTTCCTCTTCCCGCCACATGTGCTCGAAGACGCCGAGACGTGTCTTCAGCGCGCATTCCTCACCCCTCTCAATATCTATGTCGACGAATTTAACGACAAAATTCTAGAGAAATTGCCCGGCGATTTTCGTAAGTATTCCAGACAGGCATCAACCACACATTCTACTGACGGGACATAGAATCTTATTTCAGCTTGGACAGCCTGAAAGAAGCCGACCACACACCATTTAATGCACCAGAACACACCCCGGACTATCTCGCAATGTTGACCCATCCTGGAGTATCTCCTCATCGCCTGGATCTCAAAGAAAACTGCATTTGCGCCATTGAGCGGAACCTCTCGGTAGAAAAGGGATTGGTCAGAAACGCGCGCGTGCGTGTGATTGCACTGCATCGTCGGTTCGTTGAAGTGCAACTACTCAATACAATGCAAAGCCACTGCATTCCCCGCATCAACTTCTCATTCCATCCAAACCGTTCATCCTGGACAGTAAATCGAAGACAATTTCCTCTATGACTCGCATATGCAACTACTTTTAATGGTTGTCAAGGACTGACGCTAGGAAGAACGGTGCTCGACTTGCCAACGGATCCTTTTGCTCACGGTCAATTGTATACAGCATTGTCGAGAATGAGAACGCGAAGAGATACATTGTGTCTATTTGCAGATGCAAACGAAAGACAAGAATGTGCTAATATTGTATTTCCCGACTTGCTACTGTGACGATCATGTATCTATTCACATAACTCAATTGACATCACTGCATCTCATTACCGTGAACACAGTGTATCGTACAAAAGCCGACCGAAGGCGAGTCCTTGTATGACATTAAGACAGTGAATGCATGGCTCTGGGAACTGGTTGAGCTACTACTGCATGCAATACACGTCGAATCTCGTAAGTAAACGTATCAAGACAGTGTTGGATCTTTCATGAGATGCCCCAACACCCCTCCCTCAATACTCGTCTCCCATAACTCCACCTTTGCCCGCTCGATCTCTCCAACGATCTGTCGGCGACGTTCCCGTGCGCGCTGGAGAATATCTTCTTTATGAACCGCCTTGAAGCCGGCGCGACGAGGAACGGAAGGAGTCGGTTTGTGCATAGATTGAACCGACGGCGAGCGAGATATTTGAGGAGAGACTGGCTGCAGGTGCGTCAATGGCGAGAAACAGGATGGGGCAGTTTGAGAATGTGACGTGAGTACTGCCGGCGAAATGTCTATGTGTGAGGGAGCAGGCGAAGGTACAACAGGTTTTGTAGCGAACTGCAACAACATTTTGGCAGCAGCCACTGAATCTACGCCATTCGCGCGAAACAGGTGAGCATATTTAGCCATCCAACTATCTTGAGACAATGCACCTTGGTCATTATATGCAGGCGGGGTGAGAGCCCCATCAGACGATTCGGTAGATGTGATCGGAGAATGAACGAGTGCGGGAACCGGGGAAGATGCATTGTATGTGACTGATGGTGGAACGGAGATAGCAAGAAGTGCAGGATCAATGGTGCAGTCTGGAATTATATGCTGAAAGGTATCGGTAGTTGTAGGTGATACAGGAGATGGTGATGACGTGTGCCTGGAGGGTTCAGAGGCGCGCATGGATGACTGCGAAGAAGATGGTGGAACCTGATCATCATCAAGCGGAGATGACTCGAAAGCAGCCTTGATCGACTCCACAAGCTGCGTGATTAGATGCCTCGCACGCTCCCGCTCCCATGTAGCGTGATATGCCTTAGGGCCCTCACCTTCGGGAAATGGGTAGGGCACATCCCACTCCACTGCACCAGCAGGGACGCTTGTGAGTTTGCGGCGTTTCAGTGGGGGTGGAGCAGTCGTTGCGGGCTCACTGCATTGGCAGCGAAGATACACGACCATTGGTAGAAAGTGACTGTGTGGACGCAGCTGGAGAGTTGCCCAGGAGTTTCACGATGCTTGATAACACGGGAAATATATTTTTCTGTCTGATGAGGGAGGTGATAGCATCTTCTCCATTGATAGAGGTGAGCTGACTAGGATCGACATGAGGCAGGCGCGTCGGATCAGATTCCTCAATAATGATGGGGTTAGAAGGCGTAGACCCGCGGATTGTTTGTTGTGGAAGGCTGGTTGGCTTCACGTTTCCGACGAGGCCAGCTATGCCTAATAACGCTTCCTGGTTTCGCAAGAAATTAGAAGGTAGTGGTTCATCTGGGCCAGGGAACGGTATAGGCGGGGGTGCAGGACGGGGTGTTGCTGATTGTGACTTTCGTTGTTTTGCGTTTTCCTGTGGCCCTCGAAGAGGGGCGAGATGTCGAAAAAGGTACCGATGAGGCAACACGAGGCGATTGCGGCGCTTGCAAGGTGCTTTTCACTGGCAGCGCGTGCGAGGGAGGAGGCTCGCGAGTGTTAAAGCTGCCGAACGGCAAGGCTAATAGGTCTGGTAGTTCAGAACATGACATATGGGAACCAGGAAGTGCAATGGCCCCCACATTTTGTGTTATGCCTGCGCCCCTATCTTGGGCTGCTTGAGCAGGAAACTGCCGGTGACCTACCTCTAGCTGGAGACGGAGGCGGCGAGCCAAAGAGAGAGTCTTCATCATCTTCAAACATGCTGCAACTTGCAGGTTGTATGAGTGATTGGGCCATGGAATTTACGGAGAGGGACACCTTAAAAAAGTTGTTCTGTGGGTGTATCGATGAATATCGGATGAATCCTGATGATAGTAATCGAACACGATTTCAAAGTTATGGCTAGATCAGAAACGCGATCCGTGTCAACAATATGGAACTTCAAGTCAAAAAGTTAGGCTCACAAGCATGGGATCGATTTTAAGCAAAGAAAGCAAACTGCTGAGAAACGCCGAGCTCGCTGTTGAGGCCGATGGTGACAACGTCAAGTAGAGTCGATCGGAGGTGCACTGGAAAGAATTTGGTGAGTGTTGAGTCAAACATCACCAAACATAAGTATGTGCTGTACATGAGTCGCAGTTCGGCTTTCCATTAAGCTTCTAGCTGACTTAGTTTGTAGTCCCTCGTCTTCCTTCTCTCTACATCCTCAACAAGTGAACGTTTGAACGTTGAACAGTAAGGTATTGATATTCTTGTACAGCAATTAATTTTCACAAATTATATTGTAAGTTTCTTAGTACGAATTAATCTGTACAGTGTGAACATTGCCTTTTGTCACCTACTACTCGAACCACCATACCCTGTATTAGTCCTCATCGCATCCAAATCAGATGATCCTTCTCCTCTATCACACCCAGGCACAAGTCTCCTCCTTGAGATACTACCCGGCAGGCGCCTCTCCCGCTCCCTGTCATACTCCAGAGACTCCGACGGACGATTCAATAGATGGTTTCCCAGCGCCCCCAGCAGCAGCACTAGTCCAGAACCCTGGCTGCCGCTGCGAGCCGTTACCTGAACCGGCATCTTTGGTATATGGTGGGGGTGGGCTAGTGGAGTAAGAGCCCGGGAACCCTCCTGACCTGCCTCGCCTATTGCCAGGATACGAGGGAGGGTGTGGTTGGCATCTGACGCGTTGCGACGCAAGCAAGGTTGGATAAAGCTGTAGATTATAATGCCCAGGACTACGATCCATACGAACATGAAGAATATACCGGACTAATCGAGGCCTGAGTAAGGAGGAAATAAGTAAGCATTGTTAGACGAGTGTACTCGAGACTTACTGTCGAACCATGGTCGGGTGTAGAAGTGAGACGAGCAGAGTCGGCATGGAGGCATCTGGGAGATGAACGAGGTTGTATTCAAAGAAACAGAATCCTGTGAGATTATTATGAGGCTTCGTATTTCAAGCACCCGACGTGGATCAGAATCAGGTCGTTCATGACTTATGGATCACCAGGGCCATTCCATCCCTCGCAAGAGACCTCGACTCGACCGAAACGTAAAGAAGAAGACGGTAGGTCTGCCTAGATACAGCGACAAACCTTGACTGCCTCATCAAGAGCTCCTTGCTCTTGTCGGCACAGATGACAGAGGAATTAGTCATCATCTCGCAGGAGCCCAAGACACACCAAGAAGTTCTCGTTAGAGTGGAGAAGAGAACGATGCTGGAAACGCTTCCAATCTTCGCGATTAATTCCATCAGGACGTTGAGCTTCACGGACTGAGCTCAGGAATAGAACTAGATTAGCGACCTTATTGCACGAGTACCGGTACTTATGTAGTCCAGGATTTCAATGATGATAGACTTGGGAGGGGATTGGCGAACAAGAGATCCAAGAAGAGATCTGAGACCAGTTGGGCCGGGAACGGGCGAAGCTCAAAGTAGAGATGGATCACGAGCAGAGCGCTGGAAGCAAAGTGCTCCTCCATCACAGGATTGGTGACGAGTTTGAGAAGCCAGAAGAGAGCTTCGGCCGCATCCGGTGCACAAGCAAGTCTTGGGAGTCGACGCAATGAAGGGGTGATATTGCAGTAAGCTATATGCATGCGTTCGAAGGAGTGACATGATGATGTACTGGAGTAGCTGCTCGACACAAAACAACGATATTCATGCGGTCATGCAGGACAGATAGTCAGATTCGAGCACTGGGAAGCACCAACTACTCGATCAGATGCGACGGGATACATTCTGGAAGCTGTGGAGACAAAAGTCGGACGCATGTATCAGCCGTCGCAACAGCAAATTTAGAGTGACAGCACCTGTTCTACTATGCGAATAAATCGCAAACATTCCCTCTTGGCGGCAAATACTGAACGCAGGAGACACAGGACCTCAAAGAAAGAGAAAGCCTGTCCTTGCAACCAAGATACGTTGCGAGACCTGTAATTTGCCTGGAATGTAATTGTTGTCGATTTCTGCAGAGGCAGAAGTCGTTGTGCCTTAGGCCTTAGTCCCAGAGTCTCATCCAGAATCGGAGGTACATTAGAAAAGAGAAAAACGGCTGGCACTTACTCACTGTGCTTGAGATGATCGATGCGGATGCCAATGACACTTCGTGTCGGCGAGTGAAACTTGACATGTTTAATGCTGAACTTGACGAGTAGTGGGGATGTGCGCGGCGCACGTTTTATACGTCTTCAGATGAGCGAGTCAACCTGTGCATTTCTAAGTAGCATCTGATCCAATCACACATCTCTAGGACGACATGTCACTAACACACTCCCATATGCTCCGCAGATTCTCCTTCCACAATGTGACTTTCCCGTCGCCACAGCTAACAGCAAGAATGTTTCCAGCGAGACTCCATGATACGCGCCATACGACATCAGGGAATTTGCCTGCAGCTGCTGCACTAGGTGCTCCTGAGGCAGTCGATGGGTCAAGGGCAGTCTTCACCCATGGAGAGGTTAACGAATCTTTTGTCCAGATCAACACTGTCTTATCCTTGAAACGAAGATATCTTCAGACAAAAAATCTAAGAAAAATACCTTGTGACGAACCTGAGATGCTGTTGCGATATAACTCCTTGGCAGACCGATGTTAGGCGCCCACGCAACATCACGCACCCAATCAGTGTGCCCATCAAGTGTCTCTTCCTCCACCCACGACTGCGTGTCTTCACGGTAGCCCCAGATCTTGACAAGATTATCACAACCAGCGCTGGCAAAACGTTTGAAGGGTGCAGAAGGCTGTGCGCCAGGTTGTTGCGGATGAATGAGCGATCCAGGCTGTGTCGCGGGCGCCCAAGAAACAGAGTTGCAGCCGATAGCATGACCGTTGAAGATGTCAGCACCCCACTGACCGTCATCTGTTACCGAATGTTCGTCGGAGATGTCAGCTGTGAATAAAAGAGTGCACACCTTTGAAGGTGAGTACAGAAAGCTTTCCATCTGACGACGCGCAAGCCAACATTGCACCGAGCTCATGAGGAGCCCACGACACGGAGTTCACCGAAGCGGTGTGTAACGTGTGCTCCTTCACCTTTGTCCATCCACCATCGGCCGTGCCTTGAGACCGTTCCCCCCATATCAATACTTTGCCATCGTATGAGCAAGAAGCAAGTATGTGTCCAAATTTCGGGTGTGCCCAGGCAACCTGCCACACTGGACCCGTGTGCCTGTCAGAAAGGATGCAGGATTATGAGTTTATTCAACATGTATATCAAATCACGGACCCCTTCAGAGTATGTCCACTAGATTTCAATGGTTCCCCGCCAATAACGTCAAAAACCTTCACTGTTCTATCTGAAGAGCACGTTGCTAAACGCTTGCCATAGTAGTCAAGTTGCGCATCATGCTAGGTTGAATTTTTGAGTACGTGTTCAGGAGGCAATATTAATGTTGTTGCATACAATCATGTCTTCATGAGCGGTTTCAATTGGAACTGCTTCAGTCGTGGTTGCAGACGGCATGGTTGCTCGATACCGCAGATGATTTGGACTATGTCAATGTGGACGTGTCGCAAGTGTAGCAACTAAGTAATCTGAGTTTGAAACCATGATGCGACTGTACACACTATACAGTTATGACCTCAACTCTCATTAATCTCATTCGTTGACAAATGATGTGATCTGCGCACTTTCAGACTGACCAGAGAGATGGATTCTGTTTCACTATCTTCGTTATCCAGCCTTACCACATACCAGAAGTCCTCTCTTGAAAAGGGTGTGTCTTCAATGATCATTGCACATGCGTTGGAAATAAACGAACTTGGTAGGAGGATACAGAAGTTTATCAGACCTCTTACTCAGTACGCCGAGTGACATCTCGCGCACATCGCGCATAGCCCCATTAGAAGTAACCAGGATTCTCGAGGCTGCATGTCGAGAACGCGCAACGCCCATCAACAAAATCAAAGACCTGCCACCGGAAGGCGAAGAGAAGTTCACAACTGGAGATGCTGAATTAGATGGTATGTTAGGTGGTGGAATTAGAACAGGAATGCTCTGGGAAGTTGTAGGTGAAAGGTGAATGCATCGGAATGCCTATTAGCACAGAAAACTGATATACTTTCAGTGCTGCGGGCAAGACACAGTTAGCCCTTCAACTCTCGCTGCTTGTTCAGCTCCCTTCTAGGTTAGGAGGTGTTCTAGGTTCCGCTTTTTATCTGACGGTTGCGTCGCAACTGCAAACCACACGAATGGAACAAATCCTTAATACCCATCCACTCTTGTCGCCATCACTGTGTTCTTTCGCAAATATACAACACGCATCCGTTCCCACTATCGAAAAACTCATCTTTGTCCTGTCTAAATCTTTGCCGCAATATATATCTGTAAATGACCAAAACTCATCATCAAGACCTCTCAAACTGATTGTCATCGACGCTATCGCGGAACTTTTTCATACTTCCAAGAGAACCACCACACAGTTCCTAGTCGAGCGGTCCCGCAGACTATCTGAAATAGGGACGCTTTTGCATTCGCTTGCCAGCAAGCATCAAATAGCGGTCCTGGTCCTGAATGAGGTCAGCGATACCATCGACAGGGACACTGCTCCTTTGGACAGTGGGCAGATCGGCTACAAGGACCAGTTCCGATGGTTCGGTCGTGCAGACATCCTAGGGGCGGGCAGGAAAGAAGCAACGCTCGGTCTAGTCTGGTCGAATCAGTTGAATGTCAGGATATTTCTCTCGCGAACAAGTCGCCGACGATACCTTGAAGAGTGCGAGCGCCCAAGGAAATTTCAGGAGTCAATCTCAGCGACGTCGTCGGATAATTCAGCCGGCGACCAAGAACCCGTGCTTATCAGGCGGTTAACCGTGGTGTTCAGCTCGGTGTGCGATCCTGCCTCTTGTGACTACGTGGTTACTGCGGAAGGCATTTCAGTCATTCCTGGCTCTGCTGTTCTGCTTGCTGTTCGACCTGCGGTAGGCATAGCTGCACCTCCAGGGAGCGCTCACGTTTCGACGTCACCTCATGGGGATTTGACTCAAATGCGAAACGCTCAAGTAGCGCCATTGGATATCGGCCATGTTGTGGATAGCACAGCCGTTGACAGTAGACATTCTACTCCAGACAACGAGCCGGGGGATGACGAATGGGACGCTTTCTGGGAGCAAAATGCGTTACCGGAGTGTGTGTTTGAGGAAGCAGCGAATTTGACTGAGCCCTCGTGATACCTAGTGTCGTCTGGAACAACCGACCGTTTGTGTATATGCTGTTTTTTATTAGCCATTGCGATATATACATATGTGTAACATTCCACCATAATCATACAAAACTGTCCCCATCAGTAGTAGTACAAATACAAAACCAACATATGCCTGTCTACACAGGGATCTCAGTCCACCTCTCCTCGTCGTGCGCCTTTTTGGTATGTTTCGCCTTTCTGGGAGGCTCAGAGTACACATTCTCCAACTCCACGTCCAGCGGGTATTGGAAGGCAGCGAAATGTGAACTTGCTGCTTTAGTGATCGGATACCGAGGCGAGACTTTAGTAATACCGGGGTGTTTATCGAAGCATGCGAATACGAAACCAATGAGAGCTAAACGATAGTGAGCGACTGGCATGGAATAACATGATTCGCCAAACATACCAAATATAGCAGACATATAGAAAACGGCGAGCAGAGCATTAGCCATTGTGCAGTCACCAGACTTAGAAAGGTCATGACAAAGGGCGGTCGCGTTATTCTGACGTGCATGGAATGTTAGAGTGATACAAGATGCTGATGGTATGTCAGAATGGAGGTACGAGCACAGTCATATTACGTACTGATATCCGAAAGCCACAAAGTGCCAAAGGTAGCAATATTTCTAGTGTTGCTAGTTTCTGCATGTCTCCTGCAATATAAAATTGAAAAACTGTTCAAGCCGTCAGCTTTTTACATCTACAGTGTGCAATGATGAACTCACGAAATGGGGAATACCAACAGAGCTACGATGCTTGACGCAACGGCAATGACCTCGAAGGCTGAAACAAATTGGTGTGCATGAAGGCTAAAGCTAGGTTAAAAGCACTTACGTCCTGCGGTGTGCGTAACAATCACCGGCCTTAGAATCACAATCGATATGATATTGCAAATACCAATAGCGACTTGAAAGAAATAGATGAGTAAACGTCTCGTATGAGAAGAACAGAGCATGGTGAGCGTACGGAGTAAAAGTCCACGGGAAAGAGCGAATGGGAAGGGCATGGTGTCACAGACAGCCGATGTAGATGGGGCGATGCAATTAAAGTGATGATGCACAAGAAGATTGAGCCTGCGGAGGAACGTTGTGTGATGTGCATTTGCCATGTGCTGAGGTTTTATATCGGGCCAGTTCGCCTCGAGTGGACTGTGGCCTTTTCGAGTGGCAAAAGGCTTGTGGAGGAAAGAAGCGAAAGCCAATGCAAGGATATTATATCACCATTGTTCTCGGAGGTGTGGTCAATGGGACATGAGGTTGCTTCAAATCTGTGTGGACCAACCTGCGGTGCGTGGACCACCTTGCAGGCCTGGTTGATAATGCTCGGAGAAGATCACATGAGTTTAATTACATAGGGTGAGACACATACCCGTGTTAAAATGCTTAAGGGTGCTCTGCTAGACCACTCAGAATCGTCCACAAAGAAGTCAATGCACCCCGGACATCGACATATCGATCCTAATCCGGTACCCCTTGCGCACATAGGAGGGAACTCGGAGTCCAGTAAAGTTAACACTTAACAGCATAAGTGCTGCCATTTGCCCAGATCGAAATATCACGATCGGCCATTCCGGTATTAGTACTTACCATGAAACTTGAGACGCCGAATAACATCAGTATTCACTGTTCGCCGAGCGGAGGGTGTCTGAATGTCCGTTTGTCATGCTGCACACTAGCACTAGCACTTCAGGTTAGACTACGGGTCACCAGGGTTGATCCCGAATCCAAGTCTGCAATAAGTTGGAGACTCTCCTATGGTCGACTCGGAGCTCGAGTCACTTATGAATTTCTGACTCCTGCAGGGTTTCGGGCCATGAGCGCAATGCATTTTGCATGTGGTAGCAGTGCACAGCTACGTGCGCATTTTTGAATGCGACCGCTAGCAAATTGCAGTCCGTGGTTTACGTTTATCATGACGGTTCAACTTAACGCTGAGCGCTGAGCTAAGTTCTATAAACATCCGAGTACACACGTACATGTATATATATAGAACTTGCACTCGAGAATCGTAATTAAACAATATATCGACCCTCCAGGCCTCATGCATCATGTTCGCCAGCTTCGAAGGGAGACAACTTACTCACGACACAATTCTTAATGACCTCACTGAGGCCAGCCAGCCTGAAAAGCACCTTACAGCTTATGGAATATGCTAGAATTCGGAATGAAATATAATTATCCATATACAGGTGCAATCAATTCGATTTGAGACACCAAAGGCAACCAAGCCGGAAGTAACAACTAGAGTACAGACGGTGAGCAAAGCGGACATAGGAAAAAGGGTATGGAGATGGAGACGATGATAAAAACTTTCGAGACTAGACCAGACGCTTGCTGCCCAGGACGATCTAGGCCTTGCCGGGGGCACCAACCGCAACTGACCATGTGACGTCGAACGCGCGCTTATAGTTCAATCCATCCCTCCTGCCCAAACGTGTTCTCGCCCGAATAACTGACGTAAAGGAAGTTATCCTCATCCCTAGAAAACGATGAGATCTGGCTTGGTAGCATTCTGGGGTGCACTCACTTATGCTCCTCATAAATAGCGCTCATAAGAGCTGCCGTCGGGGGGAGAACCTCGTCAACGAAAATGAAAATAGCCTTCTCTGGTGCAAGCTTGATACGCTTCCGGATGACGTAGACGAATTGGCCAACTGTCAGATCCTGTAGAGGGAGCAAACATATAAAATCGACGATCAGTTATCCATCGGCACTCGTGATAAGCAGGGCGATGCGCACTGAAGGTACGAGATACTTCTTCTTGTCGATGGTAGGAATATCTGTCCGGTCAGCCTTCTCGCAAATTACCTAGAGTCGATGCCACTCCTGTCAGGGACAAGAGACGTGGCAAGGGATAAGGAGGAAAAACTAACAGGAATACGGTCAGGGTACTTCTGCCTGATGCGTTCAGCCTCCTGCTTGCGCTTCTCTGAGGAAGGAGAACGCGTTAGTAACTCATGCCTGCAGGACGACTGCGGGGCGATGATAGTACGTACCAAACGGATGCTCATCCTTGAATTTAGACCTCATGACGAACGTTATAAGCGATGATCGAGTTCAGTAAGTGGGAAGAATTAACTTCTGAAAGAGAAGAAGGACTTTGTCGTGGGTGGTAGTCAGCGTTCAGGATGAAATGAGGACAGCTCGCCGTGCCGCAATATTCGAAGGCTCCTCGCGGCTGTGACGCGTGACGACCTCGTGACTCAGCTGTGGTGACTCTGGCAAACATGCTGACAAACATCACATGCATACAACGCGGCAGTACACCTCAGTAATACAATATGTATAGTATAAATAGCCGACAGAGTCTGTGTAAGAAAAGAAATAGAAGTTCTCGAAGCAATGTCACAATTAAGCCCCAAGGCCATTGCCCATTCCGGCAGCCATGCCCACCGCCATTGCATTGCCCATCTGCACCCCAGTCCCGTCCGTAGGCACGAAGACAGTCTTATCGCCAAACGCTTGAACACGCGTGACTTCCACTCTACGCATCTCCATCCCGCGTGCAAATTGGTCCGTGACTTTGGCATCAGCAGCCGCCCTGACACTGACCGCTTGTGCGTCGGCCTCAGCGGTGAGACGGATAGCTTCCGCTTCTGCAAGAGCCTCAATCTTTGTGCGCTCAGCCTGGGCTTTGGCAGCGGCAATGATGCTATATGCCTCGGAATCGGCTTGCGTCTATTAAAAATATGCTTGTTATGAACAGCTTGGAAAATGAGTCAGCACTGACGTTACGGCTTTGAGCCTTGATGCGAGCAACAGCGAGAGCTCCTTCTTCCTGTTTAACTTTATTCGAGTTTTCTCGGTCGACATTCTGCAGCATGTAAATGAAGCAAACGGGCTATATCATACAGGATGAAACTTACCGCAGCCTCGACCTGCGCCTGTAACGCCCTTGTTGTAAGCTTGTCCATAGTTGATGCAATTTCTCCCTTGAATTGTCGGTCAATCACAGCTGGAGTATGGTCAGGTCCAAATGTCACTTGCATCAAAATGCCACGCTTACCAAGATCCTTCAAAATGATACCATACTCAAGTGCGGCCTCATGCATCTCGTCCATGGCCCGGGTACGAAGGGCGTCGAGGAACGCAGATGAAGGGTCCGTACCATCGTCGAGGTTGTCAGGTCCAAGGGAGCGCTGCTTCACCATGGAGCTGTAGTCGACTACAGTACTTGAGTTAAGCTATCACACAAGAATCATCGATGGACATACGATGAGCGACAATCTGCGTGAGGATAGACTGGGTTTTGTCACGGAGCGCATCATAAGGGGTGTTGTAGCCATGTGTGGTAAGCTGCAGACGAAGTGAGCAATCACTGGCAAAAGCCAATTAGCCAATTTATTGAAAGGCGCACCTTCAGGGGTTCCATTAATTGCCTAGCATTTTTATTAATAACTGAAGTTATCAAATGCATTGTTTTCACTGCTCACCATTTCAAATAGATCCTCAAGCCGACGGGCACTTGATCTCTTGTGAAACTGGAAGCCAGCAACGTAAGATAGGGTATCAGTAATAGGGTAAACTACTTGCATATCCTTTGTAGGCATCTCGAGCTGATTCTCTCCGAGGGTAAACAAACTGCGCAATGTGACGTTGGGATTTGTTATATAATGTTGTCCAGCAGGGAGTAATTCGAGGTCATCTCCGCGCTGGAGAATGGCACAATTATTTGCCGGGATGTTCAAGCTGTGCACCACAAACAATCAGAACAAGAAGATTGAAATGGGGAGTGAATGAACAATAATGCCACAACATATTCCTGTTCTTTGCCTGAAGCAACGCGACTCCGCATCTTAATTTCGGCCATCCTGATCAAGATTCAATTGAGCATCATGAACAAGATGGGATTCAAAGGTACGTACGAGCCGAGGACAGCGCCTGTTACTGTGTCCTTGATCGAAGTAGACAAATGCGTCTGGTCGACGATGGCCAGAACGTCATATGTTCCACTAATCGCGTAAGCAACAAATCCTGAATTTTTTATCACAAAAATCCGATTTTGAGGATCGGAGATGACGGCTGCTTGATTCTGGGACACCTGAACGACTGTTAGACCCTGAAACTGAATGGCGGTGTCCGAGACTGATGGCCGCCTTTCAGTATGACATCGCGTAGAATGTCGGCGCACGCACGTCCTTTGGTACCACTCCATTGGCGCGCCCACCAATTACGGAGGGGAAATCCAGGGTATCGACCAGGCTTGGTCAATATCTTGGGGAGACCACCGTGTTTGATCAAACCAAGGAAACCCGGAGCAACTTCCCTACCAGTCCACGATACAGGGACCTAGTAGTGGTGTTGTGATGTAAGCCACCTTCCGAAATAGATGTCACGCTGAGAAATTCGAATTCACCTTGTTTGACAAGAGACCTGTCCGCCCGGACTGTAGGTTGACACGGTGAATACCAGAATGAACGATGTACAAATTATGGTACTCACGTCCCGAAGCTGCCTGTCGATTTTTTCTAGTGCAGCAATGACGCCGTCCTTACCAATGGGTACGAAGAACGGACGTTCTTCCAATGCATAATCCGCGGTTTTGGAGAATTCGTGCAAAGATACCCCTTTTCTGGGATGTGTGGAAGAACTATCATAGCTTTCGTCGATGCGATCCGATTTCTTGAGGCTTTTGTATTTTCCAGGGTAGGAAGGGCCACCAACGACCGTGTCGGCATCTTCATCGTCAATTCTGCTACCCATCTGGTTTGGCTGTCTGAGGTTGTGTTAGGATATAGATATGGACGCGGGTCTCCTTTGATGCCACTGTATATATAGGGGATTAATATGATTCATGAAACCTTATTGATTTATTCATTGGTAGGTTGGCGTGTGAAGTTGCTGTATTTATCCAAGCGCATTGGGCCTGGAGGCAGTGGTAAGGAACGAACTTACTATTGGAGGATCTGAACCAAATACGATGCAGTATCACGTCGCATCCAGTCTCCTAGAATAATTAGTAGGTTGCTAGTGGGTAGCTCAAGTGCAGTACATGTAGCAGCCTATATGTAGATGAATATTCAAACGAATGACAAGTGATAGGAAAATGATGCACCTTGAACAATGAAGGTCGCAGGGGTCTTAGAATGAAGCCGCTGCGCATCTATCTCTCTAGCAGGCTATGAAATACACAGCTTCCTGTATGACACAAGATGCAGAGAGCACTGTAAGTTCCGGAATAATTGAGGAGGGTAACCAAGTTGAAGCAGCAAAACTCTATAATTATCAGATGATCCATTCGGTGGAAGTTGACTTGAGACTCCGCTGAACTCAGAATTTTCGGTCATTCCATGAGTTTGTACTATTATAGCTATGTAGCTACGGTGAGGAGGTGAGCGGTATACAGTGCTATATAGCGGTGATTCTGTAAAGCTCCACGTAATTTTTTGGCACGTGACATTCACGTTTACTTAGTATGACTTTCATTGATACTGTAACTCAACCGTCACGGTAGTTTCGCCTCAATGCGGATTCTATGGCTGCTCTTGACACTGCTGCCATTGGTATACTCAAATTTTGTTAACAACACAGAAAACCTGCTATGGGGAGCTTACAGACCCAACTTGTACTTCGGCCTCCGGCCAAGATTACCCCAATCCCTTATGACTGGTCTTGTGTGGTTTGGCACTCAGAACTATCAGTCTATAGCCAGTATGTGACCTAAGTATACAACTACAGCATATCAACTAAATACTTCATCAGAGGCTCGCCACGCATGTGACCAGGGCGATGGCCTTGACAGCTACACCTGGACGCATTTCGACCCACGCCAGGGCGGTGTACAAATACTGCAGGACAGCCAGAACAATGTGGAAATTACCACCGAGCTTTTGAAGGTGCCTGGTGGCTCCCATGGTGGTGGTTGGGTTGCACGTATCAAAGGAACACCTATCAATCCCAGTGCGCTTTCTATCATGACGTTCCATACTCGAGGCACAGCCTATTAATACTCCCGAACAGTGTATCATCTAGAATTTCCACTATATTTTATCTCGGCCTAGAAGGACTAGGCGGGCTGGATATGGTCACCGATGAGAGCGAGAATGTAAGTCCTAAACAAAGTGCACGCATGGCCAATTGAGTTAATTGAATCACAAGGGAATCGACGGACCCGTAGAATTCTCCGGCACTACGCCTGACCTCGGTGATTTTACTATCCGCATAGTCGACGGTATGTTCGCCCTGCTATTATGTGACATGGAACGTCGCCTCATCCTGTGCAGCGCCCGATAACGAGGCTGTTACTACTGGCCCGCACTCTGAGGTTTTCGAGGAACGGTTGGGAAAAACTCATCTAGTAGGCTTGCGCCTGCCACCGGGGCAACTTTGGACCGCGAAAGGCAAGTCATTTCTCTCTCCGAGATTGTATCATTCCGTGACAGCACAGGACATCAGATTACATCATACAGAGCATCGTTGACCGTGCAAGTCCGATTGTCGAGAAATACCGCGCTGCAGAACAAGCGCCTGATCCTTCATTTATCCTGCAGCTTCCTGATGATATTCTCACTGCAAGCAATCTTTTTGCTGTTCAGAAATCCTTTGAGGGAGAGTTTCAGTTTGATGTTTTCTTCGAGAGTGCCAGTGCGAACCAGGCGTTTGATGGTCTGGTCCAAAGTACTTTCTATTTAAATGAACACTAAATTCCCACCACAGCAAGCACCATTGATAAAGGCATTGCGGCTATCGTAGCGTCCTTCGACAGTCGCTTTGAGGAGACATTCCCAATCCCATCATCATACGCAGCCAATGATGTTACACGTTTGAAGTCTTTTAGCAAGGCGATCACCTCCAACCTCTTCGGTGGTATCGGCTACTTCTACGGCACGTCCATCGTCGACAAAGGATTCGCGTATGAATGGGACCAAGATGATGAGATCGACGACGAAGATGATGGACAGAACGGCGCACGGTTGACTGAACCACGTGCTCTGTTAACTGCTACGCCTAGCCGCAGCTTCTTCCCGAGAGGGTTTTACTGGTAATCAAACAATTGTTCAAGTCAAATTCATTCATTTACTTTTACAGGGATGAAGGCTTCCACCTTTTACACATAGGCGCATGGGACCCAGAGCTTAGGTATATAAAGACAGCTATTTGTCATATATCTCGATATCTGACCACTTGTAGTCTCGAAATTCTGAAGGACTGGATTAAGCTCATCGATGACAATGGCTGGGTCGCACGTGAACAGATCCTTGGCGAGGAGGCGCGCAGCCGAGTCCCCGCACAATTCCAGACCCAAGTGCCTACTTTCGCAAACCCTCCCACTCTGACGATGGCGGTGACAGCCATTATCAAACAATTCAACGCTGCGCATGATGGACCTTCCGCTGCAGATCTTGGGATGGACTATGACATGGGTGGACAAATGCCCCTTGCCGGCAATCCCGAGTCCACCGCGGCCCTCGATCGTGCGGCGGTGCAGTCTATCCTGCGCGACATGTACAAGCCCTTGAAGCGGCACTATGAATGGTTCCGCCGGACGCAGCGTGGGCAGATCAAGCAATACGGCCGTCGGGCGCGGTCACGTGCGGAAGGGTACCGTTGGCGAGGACGTTCTGAAGCACATGTTTTGACGAGCGGAATGGATGATTATCCGAGAGGTCCGCCGCATGCAGGGGAGCTTCATTTAGATCTAATCAGCTGGATGGGCTTCTTCACCCGAACAATGAAGGACTTTGCACAGTTCATTGACGAAGAAGAGGATGCCGCAAGTTTTGCTGAGATTGAGTTGGCTATAATAAACAATATTGATGGTGACAAATTTCCGGGTTTTCAAGAGGCATTGATTTATTGTCGACTGATACAGATCTGCATTGGGACGAGGAAAACGAGATGTACTGTGACGTTGGGATTGACTCAGATGGTGAGCTCTTCCCCTCCTGTGTGTCGTTTGAATACCCATCATCTCTACTAGATGAATCGACCCATATCTGTCATGCGGGTTATGTTTCACTCTTTCCCTTCATGCTCTCGCTGCTTCCGCCGGACTCCCCACACCTTGGGCCCATCCTTGACATGCTGCGTGATCCCGAACAACTCTGGTCGGAGTATGGTATCCGCAGTCTGAGCAAGAGTCATCCCGAGTTCGGGCAGGGGGAGAACTATTGGAAAGGTCCAATATGGGTGCAGATAAATTATATGGTGCTTGGCGCGTTGCATAACACGTATGCGCGTGAGGAGGGACCGTTCCAGGAGAAGGCCAGGGAGATGTATGAAGAGCTGAGGAAAAATGTGGTGAATAATGTGTTCAAGGTAAGTCTCCCTCGAAAGCGGCTTCGGGCGTTGCTCATCTTGTCATAGGAATATCAAAGAACAGGATATGTATGGGAGCAGTACGATGCCCTTACTGGAGAGGGACGGAGGAGGTTCGTGTTCTATCTGTAATCATTTACTTCTGGCGCTGATTGTTCATATCGCAGCCATCCTTTCACTGGTTGGACATCGCTGATCACGCTCAGTAAGCGTTTACCCTCTACCTTGGCCACGAAATTGTCTAATTTCTGCCTCTTATGTAACAGTCCTCGCAGAGAAATACTGAATCAAACCCTAGCCCTAGGTGAAAAGATCCTCTATATAGAGGTGTGTATCTTGTATATACCATCAGCAGAATCAGCTGGACCGAAAAATCTATATGGTATGATGGATAGCTCTGCGCGTGGTGCAACGACGCTGTGGAGCACATGTGAGAACTTTTATTACCTGAGATTCGCCAGACGCACAATAGTGAGTCATCAAGCCATAAATGACTTTCCGACTTCCACAACAGTGTAAATGTAAGACGTGTGATATGTAACGCGGATGAGTCCAATTGTTCATGAGTTTTGCACAGGGACCCCAGTCCCTACAATCATATTTCAGCGTGCGAAGTTGTTGGAGTAAGTATAAGTACGCTTTGAAATTCGCTGAATAAAACATTAGAGATCTTCTGAGTGGTCCGCCTCGAGGTCATCCGGTTGTAATGATCTAACTGAAGTCTCTTCGCTTCTTCATTGCTCAAGGCAACTTTCAAAGGTACGTGTCTGGTTCCTTCTGTAGGAATGTGATAGACTTGCATGCGATCAACGACATTTACATAACGACATATATTTACACAACGCAGACTTTGGACCGTGCTGAAAATTGAAATATCATACTGTGAGGCATAGAGGGATATTGGTAATTCGTTCCGATTCTTCATCTTCTCTTCAGTGGCGATGTCACAGGCGTAGAGGCTTGTCATTCGACCTCGGGATAAATATGCATGATGCGCCTGAGCTCCGCGTCTGGAACCCTCGGTGTAAACACAATAGGGCAAGAGACATGTGGCATCGCCACACGCATGAAACCCACGTCATCCAACGGCTTCGTAGGATCTAGAGTGAGCCGGAAGGCCCAAAAAATAAGAACCGAGTTTATCCACACTGATCTGTACCGGTCGAAATGAGCTCGGAGGATTATGTACATGAAAGAATATCTTCACCTGTTCGCCAGGTGTAGACCGGGGCATACGCTGGAATGAAGGACAGTCAAATGGAATGTATCCCGAAAGAGGCACCGCTCACCGCCGACCAAACCCATAGACAAAAAATGCGAGATCGTCTCTCAAGTGACCTTGGTCATCAATCCAACGCTGAGGCTTGAACACGTCAGGATCAGGGTAAACTTCTGAATCTCGCGAGATGGCCCTGATGAAGTAGTTGTTAAGACCTTCGCTATCTGAAGCACGATATTTACCAATGGCTACCGACTACCGTAGTCCCGGCGGGAATGCAATAGTTTTCCTGCAGAGTGGATATCAGATTATCCTTCACGCGACAAATTATTCAAAGAGCACTTGCCCAAATCACGTCTTTAGTTGTTCGGTGAGGAAACCCTGTAGTGTGAATGACGTGAACTTCAGGCATGGGACCGACAATAAAGATACCCACCATTGGGACCCAGCGGTCTCCATCTCAAAGCCTCGGAGATGAAGGCCAATAGCAGAGGAAGAGATTGTTGGTCAGCGAAGGTCGGTGCTTTGGTGGAGAAATCATTGAATCAACAGGACCGCAATAGAATGCTACGAACCTACCTCGGTGCCTTCCAACGACCTCGTCAAACTCAGCCTGGACTTTAGCTTGCTCCTCGGGAAAACATGCAGCTGCCATTAGGACCGTGCATATCGCTGCAGCAGACTAACACTTGATATCAGCCATGTATCATCGGAAACGATAAACCAGGCCCCACCGAATCGCTGCCAGCTGCAAAAAAGGTGCCAGAAAGAAAATGCATCTCCAACTCTGATAAGCCAAGGAGATGTTCATTTTCTAGCAAATATCTCCCGAACGAAGGACCGACGTCCACATTGCTCTGCTGTGGGGACAGTTGAGACAACGTGCGAAGACCGGCAAATCAGAGATGCGTACTAATTGTTGTTTCAATCGGTTCATCTGACTGGCGAAGAGTTTCCGGTTGCTCTCAAACTCCTTTGTAAATTTTCTGCCGTACCAAGGAATGTATCTGAGCCAAGGGATCGTGTCCACCCAGTAAGCGCCAGGGCGCAGGACTGTCCGAAATACACTCATGAGCTGACGAACCGATCTAACTTCGGGATCAGCCGCAGACGTGGGTGTAGCCTTCCCATATGCCACTGTCAAAACCGTCGTCACAGCATAACTTCAAAATACCCGTAAGTAAAAGCAATATACTCCAGGCCTAGGAAAGCGCTTACCTTATCACGTGGTTCTGGAAGTTGGATGGGTCATCAAGAATGTTAAGGACCGTGTTCTTCGCGAATGACATCTGCTGAGGCTGATACGCCTCAGCTGCCTTAGGCTTGAGATGCGTATGAAGTGCTCTGGATCACGTTGCAATGTCAGATAGGGGCTTCTCTGTCACGGTACACAGACTACGAACCTACGCATCCGACGAAATCTGTCCCCGACGCGTGCAAAAGCGATGGTCAATCCACCGGTTAGCATTTGTCCAGCACTCATGGAAGGACGATCAGCCAGTACTCCGCCCCGCTTCTCCATAATGTCCACCGCGGCCTGTAGCAGAATGTTGAGCTTGGATATGACAACTCAGCATGAAGGGACTGACTTTGTAGCGGCCGATAATAACGACTTTCTCAGTTCCTGTACGAATGGTAATTAGAGGACCGTACTCGTCAATCCATTTCGCTACAGTGAGAAATGAGCTGACCACAGATAGAACATGATTAGCATTCAAAAACAACAGCGGATGAGAATTCTTACTTGCGAGGGGGAAGGAAGTGTCCCATAAGTCTCCAATTAGGAGGGGAAGGTGGGAGAGGAAGGCCATGCTTTGATCTAGGACGAGAAGTCCGAGCAATCACTACTACCACCACGAGACAAGCCGCAATATCAAGGAAGAGCTGCGTATTGTCGAGCAGTAGCATGACCGATTAGAAGAGCGGAAGATGGATAGGACAGACCTTAACGAAAGCGCATTTAATACCCCTCACCGCTATCGCACATGCCGGATGTAAGGTATACCTTTGTCGGACGCATCAGTGCTAGGAGGCGCTGCAGCTGGGTGGGTGCTGGCGTGTCATCATTGGTTCACTGATAGCAGGCTGGAAGTTCGTTTAGCAGCTAGTAATCAGCGAGAGAACGATACGGAACCTTGACTCTTTTGGGTCTTTACGCGCGAGTACTGCATAAAGATTGAACTCCGGACTTCCACCAAGTCGGTGTGTAATTGAAGCAAAAGATTGGTAAAGGTGGTACTCTTCAAGTTGTAGATACAGTGACACGGTGGATTAAATGGGTCTATTTGACAGAGGCCTGGATAGAGATATGCCAGTCACTCGAACACCCAGTTTAGACCATCACTAGGCCCGATCACCGTGCCCGTGTAGTTTACCCTAGGCAGACCTTTATAGAATATAGTCGTTCCTTCTGGGTCCCAGGTAAATGAGTCCGTATCCGCGATGCGCATACAGAATCTCCCTTCCTGAAATTCGTTCGCTCATACTACGATAAATACTTAGTAGTTGTAGTCACATACTCCTATTGAATTGATCGTTGCTCACATTAATATTGACTGCCACTGCAGTAGGGCTCCCCGCTTTACAAGTTACAACCAGACTTAGCACTGTACTAGATATCTGCACATGCCAATGCAAATGTCAGTACGTGGTCAAAATGTTCCACCGGAAGATTGAAGGATCAAATGAGGTCCGCGACGTGATACACTAACAAACGATACTTAAAGTTGACGTTCCTGCAGGGCTGACTACGCCGCTGACACAGAATTTGACGACGGTCCTTTTTGCAATTTCACTGTAGAAAGTTGACGGTCCTAACTCCGTTCGGCTTTGCAGTGACTCCCGTGTGACCCCCAAATTCACGGCAACCGTTCTGGCAACGTGCTCGCTTCGAGCTTCACTGCCGTGCCTTGCCTGGTAGTTACTCCTGCTCATTCCACAACAGACACTTCCTGCGTTAGATAGTCATTTTTTGCCACTTCTTTGGACTGCAAACCTCGCCAAAACTTGGACCGTGACGTCGATATTCTACACGAATTTGTCGACGAGCTAGCTAGCATTTTTACAACGAATTGCCCATCACAACCCGCAAGTGGGTGACTGCTTGTGATTTCATAACATAAATGTATCCATCACTCATGTGGAACCGTCGTTCTATTATCAAATGCCATTACTAGTAGGTGGCGTGCAACACATCATCAGACCACGACAACAAAGGTAAAGATATCGCAATCTAGAAGTGAATGGCTTTCCCATAGGCAGCCATTGCTGCTTCCTTGAATGCCTCGCTCAGGGTGGGCTGTCGAAGAATGTATATTAGTATCACAGGTTTAAAAGATATGACAAAGTGCGTACGTGAGCATGCGTTGTCCGTGCAATATCCTCGGAGCTTGCACCGTATTCCATAGCCAGAACAGCTTCTGAGACCATCTCGCCGGCATTAGGGCCTAGAAAAGAATACCATAATCAGTATAGTAGGATAAAGCTCCAATTTACCAGGCTTACCAATGATGTGGACACCTAGAATGCGGTCCGTCTCCTTCTCACTGATGAACTTTACAAAGCCCTCGCTGTCTTGGTTGGTCTTGGCACGTGAGTTTGCAGCGAAGGGGAATTTGCCGATATTGTATTTTACACCAGCGGCTTTAAGTTCCTGCTCAGTCTTTCCTACCCATGCTACTTCAGGGTGAGTGTAGACAACAGAAGGGATGCCGTTGTAGTTGACGTGGCCATGCCCTGCGTTGATGTACTTCAACAGCAGCAATGCCTTCCTTTTTGTCAGTTCTGAGCCATAATACAGCCCCGATGGGGCTCACCTTCCTCCTCAGCCTTGTGAGCAAGCATAGGTCCGAAAGTTACGTCACCAATGCACTTGATGTTCTTCACTGATGTGTTGAACTGGTCGTCAATGACAATGCGGCCCTTGTTGTCTTTCTCGATACCGACAGCCTCAAGGTTGAGGCCCTCAGTATATGGACGACGGCCAACAGCAACGAGGACAACATCTGCTTCGAGCTGTAATAAACCATTGGTAACAAATTAGACTAGCGCACAAATCGCCACCTACCGTTTCTTGCTTGTCACCCTTGGCAGACTCAGTCTGGATGACGACATTCCCGCCTTGCTTGTCTGCAGAAAGGACCTTAGTGTTGAGTTTGAACTTGATACCCTGCTTGGTGAGAATTTTCTGGAATTGCTTGCTGTTGGAACCGTGAGCTTGAGAGTTGCATTCTGATTTCGCGTAGACTCACGCAACCTCCTCATCAATACCGGCGCCTCCAATTGTGCCCAAGAACTCGACAACGGTCACCTCTGCGCCCAAGCGACTCCATACGCTGCCCATTTCGAGGCCAATGATACCACCACCGATGACGACCATCTTCTCAGGTACCTTCTGCAATTCAAGGGCACCAGTTGAGCTGACGATTTGCTTCTCGTCAATCTCAATAGCACCGCCCGGGAAAGGTGCGACCTCGGAACCGGTGGCAATGATTACGTTCTTCGCCTCCACCTCGGTCGACCCGCCATCATTGAGCTGAACCGCGATACGCGTTGCAGATACAAATGATGCACTACCCTTGATGTAGTCGACTTTGTTCTGCTTAAAGAGCATCTCAATACCCTTGGTGAGGCCAACGACGGATTGCTCCTTGGCCTGCAGCATCTGGGGCAGGTTGAGGGAAACGCCAGTAACTGATTTCATCGTGAGCAATGAGTCAAGAAATATGCGCGCAAGACTGTGCACACCATCAATACCACGCTTTTGGAGGTCATGTTTCGTTTGGTGGTAGATATGAGAGTTGTTCAACATGGCTTTTGAAGGTATGCAACCGACGTTAAGACAAGTGCCTCCAAGGCTGCCACGCTTCTCTATACATGCAGTCTAGGTAATCGTCAATGCTTGTCCATGTTCCGTTATCCGAATAATACCTTCAATCCGAGCTGAGCAGCCTTGATTGCTGCGACATATCCACCAGGACCTGTGAATTTGGTACTCATCAGTTTCAATTCATTTTGAATTGCTGCAACTTACCTCCACCAATAACGACGGCGTCATATGGACCTGAGGGCGTAGCAAGCCCCCGGTGAGAGTTCCACGCGCCGAGCCGGATAGTTGCTTTATGCAACCTCCGTGCAACGTTCTACAATGACAGTAAGTAGTGCAGAAGTCGGAAGGCAAAGTTTCGTACTTTTTGCGTTGCTCTCTGAAGCTGGAGCATTGATGTGGTGGAAGCCGGACAAGTTCTTTGCGAACAAATTCTCAGTCGGACGGTGTCGTGTAATTGTATTATTGTCACGTGTCACATCACGGTCACATTCCATGTATAAGCAGGAAAGCGAGTAATGATGAATAAGGACATTTTGATACTTATGAGTCCAGCAATATAGGAGAATATTCAAGGTCGGCATATATAGAGGGATGGTTGAGTTATAAATGTGGAGAGGCATCGTACAGGTCGTGAAATAAAGCACAGATAAATATGCAATGGACAATGAAACCTGCCGCGACGAGGCCCAGCCTACGAATCATATGTATGTGTTCCACAGAAAAACCGCAACAATTGTTATATTCACAACATATGAAAAGCGGATATCACCGTTGTGGAATACCTAACCCTGAGGTTCCCAAGTTCATGCTCACATCAAAGTCCTCAGCGTTGAATGAAAGCGAGTCAAAGTGCAAGCTGTCAAGCCGCAACTCAAAACTAATATCCCTTGGTCGTGAGGGCGAGGGCAACTCGTCGTCACCATGAAGCAGGTCGAGACTGCAACCATACTTGCCCTCGATCTCCCTTCCGTAATCATCATCAACAAAATGCACCGCGGCGTATGGAACATCGGGATAAGAGTGTGTACTCGAGGTCGACGCGGATGTGGATGTGGAAGGAACTGTGGAAGAAGAGGGAGGTTCTGGAGAGAAGGAGAAAAGGCGGTGCAGCTCATTAACGGAAAAGCGTTTGCGTGATCTTTGGGTGGAAGGGGGGCTGGGTGACGTCGGGCGCTCGTCTTGCTGGAAATCATCCGAAGATACAGGACGCAAGTCTTTCTCTGGACGTTGAATATCCCGTGATGAGACAGGTCGCTTCAAATCCTTGCTGGACTTGAACCCGGATGAACGAGCTCGCTGAAAGTCGGCTGAAGACACTGGACGACGAAGACTATGGTCGTACGTGGGTGCACAGGGAGTGAGGGGGCGCTCGATGAACTCATACGAGGGCCGGATCTCATCGATGGAAGGAGTGGTGTCAGAGCCCTTGAGATAAGGCAATGACGTTGTCGTCGAGCTCGAGAGGATTCCCTCCGGTGAGGAGCCAAACGGTTGTTTCTGGAAGAGGCTCGAAAGCTTGCGACTCGCCGTTGGTGACACATCCTCTCTGGAATGCAAAACGCCTCTGAAGATGCCTGGCATGCTTTCAGTGGATGTCCAAAGGTCCTTGACATGTGGTTTGGAGTCGTTTTGCTTGCCACGGGGGAGAGAGACATTCTTTATGGATTGGAAAGCACGGGATGCACGAGCGCGGAAGGTCTTTGAGCGTTTTAACTGTGGCTGTTGGTTAGACAACGATGGTGGGACGTGATCTGTGTGATTGGATTTATTGTCCTTTGGACGTTTGAGCTTGACGACCTCGATCACGTCCGAGTCATCTCGCACATCATGCTGGGCAATGCGAATGAGATCATTATTGTGCATGGAAGAGATGATGATATGATGTGGGTGCTGATGCTTCTCGCTCCTACTGCTAGATGTAGAGCTCCTGGACTGTGGGACAACCACCGGGCTTGCACTAGGCTGCTCATGATGGAAGGAGGGAGTGGGTTCGGCTCGTGCAACAAGAATGGTACATCGAATAAGATGTCGGGCTGGTTAGCAGAGGACACCTCGATGGATCTGCTATTTTCTGGAGGCAGGTCTGCGTCAAAACAACACCAAGGAGGATTTTGCGAGTGCTCTTCTTCGGGGGGTATAACGAAGACGTGAGGCACACGAGCAGAAGGGTCCATGAACATAATGACAGTGGCTTGAATGAACGACAGTGAGTTATAACAAAACGATAGTAAATGAGCGCAATAGGCGCGATAGCTTTGCGATAGCACTGACGGTTCGATTGCAAACAAGAGTCAGTCCAAAGTCAGCCACAATCTCTCAACTTCACTTGCCTTTTACGTGAATGTAGGAACGGTTACGGATGCAAATCTTGCTCTGAACTGCCATGGCACGAAACATGAATATATCTTTCTTGGGCACCTCCAGCGGTGGTGGCCCTTCCATTTCTCGCAACTGTTCTAGCCTTGGTATGAAATTTCACTTTGTGACATTTCATGTCAATCTTACAGAGACCATCAATATTACTTAGTCGCAGACGTCATGGGCGACGGCTCGCTATGGAGTACGCTTTATTTCTCTAGCACTTGACTTAATTAACTAGCCATAATCAGTGGTCGATTGTGCAGAAGGGACGGCGCGACAATTTCAGATGCAGCATCGCGGCCAAGGAGACCCAGTCCTTAAAGCGCTCAAAGTGACCAAGTTATTTGTCACTCATATGCATGGTTTGTTTTATCGGATTTGTAGAATTCTCATCTTCACCCTAGTGTCATTTCAGCTGACCATGTAATGGGAATAATCACTTTCCTCAGACATGTCCTCCACCCGCCACTGATAGCTCCCTCTGGTGACCTCCCACCCTCAGACGGTCCTGTGCGTTATAAAGCTTTGTACGATATCCATGACTAACCCCTTAAAAGCCCCAGATAGAGCTTTACGGTCCTGCTGGCCTCCGTACATTTGTTCGCTCAATCTTTACCATGACTCTCACCCACACAGGAGAGCGCTACGTAGTCCATGAACTGCTAACATCGTCCGACACACCCACTTCATGCGATCCTGCTGTGCTTCATCCGAGCGAGTGCCCTGGTCAGAATTTCCTTTGTGATGACGACGGGTTCTGGAAAGGTGTCACAAGTGGCACAGGTTATTACGGCGAGGTTGTAGTTGATGCAGGACCGATACTACATCGGGGTGGGAAAATTAAACTTTGCTTATACGCTAGTGCTGAATAAATTCGCACAGACCCTTGCATAGGTTTTGTCTTCCATGAGCCTAACCCTCCGCATCGCAAACTTGTCATTCTGGGTGATACATACGATGCATCACCGATTATCCCGCTTATACAGTCCTCTACAACTACGCCCGTATCACTCCTCATTCATGAAGCGACAGATGCGTACATTTCTCGACAAATTGACCCATCAGCACGACGAACCAAAGACGAAGTGGATAGCAAGGTTGCGGCGAGGGGTCACTCTACTCCGGTAATGGCGGGTACATTTGCGAAACAAATTGGAGCTCAGAAAGTCGTTCTGAATCATATTGGTAGCAGGTAAGTACACCACATGCTCTGAGATTGATCTCATTTAACTTGCTTATGTACTTAAACGTCATCTTCATGCCCACTTCCTGCCTTGCTACTCATTTCCTCATTTATCACAGATTTCCAGCTCCTAAACAACTCAAAAATCCTCACGACTCCCGTTTCGCCGTCATCGCCGAAATTGAACGGCAAGCGAGTGAAGCGTGGGGAGGTGGCGAAGCCGTCGTCGCATACGACTTCATGCGTATATCCATTGCTGCTGATTTGAATGAGGAAGAATTTTCGGGTGTGGCAATGGAACTGGATGATGAAATAGTATTGCTAGGAGAAGTGATTGAAGTGGGTGAGATAGCGAGAGGAAGAGGGCGTGGGAGAGGCAGAGGGACGCCCAGGGGAATGAGCCGTGGAAGATGGAGAAGTCAGTGGAGAGGACGGGGCAGAGGTGGCGGTGATGCGGATAGAGGTGGCTTCGGAAGAGGTGGCAGTGATAGCGATCTCGGCAGAGGCAAAAAACGCAGGTTTGGAGAATAGGCTCCCACTTCACGCCTTACACACGCGCGAGTCATTTTGAAGGGACACGTCATAAACGTAACCGTAAGTAATCTTAATCGTGTGTTGGTTGTTGCAATGCCATCAGTTTTTCTGGTACATCCAGAGGGGAAAGTATTGCCGGCTTATCATACGTGGAACTAAGTTTGTTTATCCTATGCCACGCCCAGCTCTGTTACTAATTTTTTTACGGTACCCCAGGGTCTGCCAGGGTACGTTCGACAGCTTCTCCGAACATTTCTGATTTATGACTTTATGCCATCAGAAAGTCGGATCAATGGCATTTTATCAGAAGGCCGCAATCATTGTATGTGCGTTCGGCTCAGAGATCTGACGGTCACAGGGCGTGTATGGAGCATGGCATGCGGGTGCCAATCGGTTTGGGCCACAATCGTAGGCGACTCAGATTCTTTTCTATGCACATCGCGTTCGACCCCTGAATGGGATATGGTCTGATTTTTATGGGGCGCTTATCACTTCCTTCCAATCGCAGCACTCCTATAACACACTCATGCGGCATCTAGTCTCTAGATGCAACTTAGATAGCCGACTGGAATTGATTTCGGTTGGCCTATTACTGCACCATCCAGAACCACCGCGCTCAGTCAGCGTCACACGGCTGCTGGACTTCGTGCACCCCCGTGTTATTATACTTCATATACTAACACTGTGGCACGTCACGTTTCGCTGATACAGCTATCAGTGATCGTGAAAGCTGTTCATCGTACGAAGTCGAACTGATATTTTGCGGGCGAGGAAGAGTAGTTTCTCGATCGGGATAACTAAGGAGGCATAATATCCCTACCTTTTCCTGCGACAGAGGCAACGTTCAACGATCTGTACTGCGACTTCTCGACTGGATTGTCGAATAAGGTGAGGAACATGTTGACGCCTTGATCACACGAACCATGACAAAGCAATATATGATTCTAGGACGAACATGCAGTTTTTACGAGGCGAAACGTAACTCGAGGGTCAAGTACTCGATCAAGACCTGGCAGCATTCGATGTATGGTGTGACTTGTCATCGCTGCAGGAACCTCCGGTCTCCAAGTATGCAACGGCTCGTTCAATCGCATGGTGTGCATCCAAACTCCTCATTCATGTCATGAGGAATCCCTATTCGGTCATGGTGCGTACATACCTGATTTGCGAGATGAAGAGATGCTCGAAGATCAGAGCAACGTTCCTATATCAATACCGATGAATGGCTCTATTAGTCACTAGACAGAGATACTTTCCCGGATATATGTTTTGAAAAAATGCATGATTTTTTTTCGAAGTTTAATTATTGTACTCAGGGATGAACAATGCCTCACTGGTGATAGAGACAGCCCATTCGACGTGTTTGATCGGCCGCACTGCACGGACACGTTCCTTCGAGTATCATGATGGGGATGTAGATCTGGAAGAGCAATGATCCAGTGAACTCGTCCCTTGGGTAGAAAAACAAGGTGCACGGTGTCCCGAACGTGACTGCCTGTTATAGGTCTTGTCACGGTGAGTAACAAAGCACTGTGGGTCCTGGCTTCTAGTATATCTAATGTTGCTGCTAAGTTGAGGTCGCATGTCACTATGACTAGCCGCGATCGAAAGGATTTGTGGGCTTCTAAAGGACTCAATACAGATTTGAATTAGGAAGCGAACAACTCGAACATTCGTCGTAAGTATAGTAGGTACAAGGCATCCGCGCACATATGCAAAGACTTGATGGGCTCTGGGCTCGAGCTATAAATAAACCGGAACTTTAAACCAGAAGAATTCCCAGAATTCCTCTTCATAAGTATACCGAGGGAGCTGTATATGGATTTCTTCCCCCTTCCTACAACTGTCGTGAACGAACCTCCGACCGCACCTGCATGAAGATCCTGCCATTTCCACAATCCTTGGCGTGTTTCCGCGCGCTATCATCTCGGGAGTATGTCAACGGGCAAGTAGAACATTTCCACCGGACGAGGTGGCCAAGAACATGCCTCTTAAGGCCCCCCTTACGAATGCGGGTGTCACATCTGCCGCCCCAGCGACAAATCCAAAACTTCAAGGGGCGGTCGGATCTTGCGCTCGCGGAAATGCGGGGCCGAACGTGCCTGCAAGCAAAGTGCTCCAGGATGCCAGAGACTCCGCCTTCGATCAGCACCCCGCAGGGTTGACCTTGCACATAGTGTTGACACCGAAGGCCACCGGATGGTGTGAGAGGAGGCGCCGGTCCGTTGTCCATCACATCACCACCAACAATGGCTGGATGGTGGGGGTCATCTGCACTCGAGACATGGGTATCTTCCAAAACGGTCATGGAATCTGCAAAATAGTTATCATTAGACTCAATACACTGCTCTGAATTAGAACACCTGACCTTGTCCATTATTCGCCGGCGAAAATGAGCTATAGACATGTTGATTGCCTTCTGCGTCATGGATGGGGAAAACAAGCCCTGAAATGGACTCGTGCTGGAACCATTCGTTGCCGAATGATAACAGTGCATGATGGTCCTCATTACGCATGAAGTTCTGATGAAGGTGGCTGTTCACAGGGAAGCCCGTTAAATCACCAACAGCGTATTCGCCAGGCAGTGCGTACGCAGGCTGCGGCAAATATGTCTGCAGCCCGTTAATCAAGGGGTCATCGTGTTCATACTCAGGCAATGGCCAGAACGAATCGTCGAAACTGTTAGAAACAGCATGAGATGAAACCCGACGACAATCGATTGAGGACAAACCTTTCAAAAGGAAGTTGGTCACCGTCATCCAGAGCGACGGAGGTCACGGATTGCGACTCAGCATCATCCTCATTACGAGGCGCGTAAACATCCTGAAGAGGGCAATGAGTTCAAGAAGCGGGGATCTCGTAGAAAGAGCTTACGGGGATTTCCATGGTTACAGAGGTGGTATGAATGTTTGCTGTCTCCAATCACTCGCGTTCTTAAAGACGGAAAGGCGCCTACAAGCCAGAAATTCTGAAAACGCGGTGGAGGGCCTGCTTGCCAGATAGAATACTAAGTACCCATGATTTGGAGCACCCCAACTTTTCACGTGGGTAAAATTCCCCGTGTTCAACGGCCCAGGTTTCATTAAAGGTCGGTCGGAGGATGGTGTGACTGGAGTAGCGGGCAAGGCACGGCGATCGTTTGCCTTAAAGAGTCAATGGACGCTCATAATCGATGCGGGATTACAATTCGCCTCGTCCTACATCACGCACAAGGAATGCACGCATGTGCAGACTACGCCGGCCAAGTTACGGGTCGACACAGCAATCAGGTTTAGAAGGAGGTGGTATCCTCGTTCGCATGGCACCGTAGCTATTATCTAATCACTTTATCATCGATAAAAATGCCGCGTTTTAATTCATTTAACCCACCTTGCTGTACACTAGCGGGGGCAGGTTGTGCAGAGGTGTTACAATGCCGTGTACATCTTGAATGAATGAATGAGGTAAAAGATTGGCCATGCTTTCTCGCTTAATGGAGTTCGACGGATGTGTTTGAGTCTCTTCAGTATGCCTAAAGTAACCGACTGTTAATCCTCACTTTTACCGATTTCTTCGATCACGCAGCTTACCTGCATTGAAGCCCAAGTAAGTATGGGCAGGGGAGTATGTAGTTATATTTGATTTGTGACGACATGGAAAAGCCTTCCAACCTGCCTACTTACATGATGTATCATAGCTGATTGTGCAGGGACAAATTTTGAAAATCGATCACGACAGCCCCCGGTTTCATGATACGACATTCCCACTGTAATAGGAACGAAGATAAGGCATCAAGGATTATCCGCGAGCCTCTCGATAGGGGCTAGGCGCCCCTCGGAGCTTGAAGTGACCGAGAAAAACCGGGCGTTTTTCAATACCACCTGTAGCAGTGACTGCGTATCAGGGTTGTTCGATGAATCTGAATGTTGAATCGCCACGAAAAAAACATACCCTGACTTAGCATCACGGTGATGCGTTGAACGTAGAACGAAGGGTCGCCACGGAGGTATACCTGACTTGAAGTTCCGTCGTCCGATCATCGGAAGTTATGTAGGCCTCAACCTGTCCACGTGAATAGTGGGAGATCGGGATGCAACCTACACGTGAATCACTTCCTTCTGTAACGCCGGGTACTGGGCTGTATACTGCGGATGAGTTGAGAAATATGTGATGACGGAGGAGTTTGGTAGAGTTTGGTTGAGTGATCAGGCCAAGTTGAAAGGCGGTGATCAACTTGACGAAAATAGCATTTGTTTGGCTACTACCCCCTGCCACTCCTGGCAGCCTCCTTGAGTTGTACGGCACCGAACCAACACCGAACAGCTTGTGAGTGTATCCATCCTCTATCGACCTACCACCTTGCTCATCGGAGCAATCGCTGTCCTATCGTCAGGGCGTAAGTCTGTTCATTCATTACCTGACAGCCTCACGCCTGATCAAAATCATCCGATCCATTGACAGACTGTGAGTGGTTTGATCCACCGTCGAGCTCGAGTCATGCTGACCGACGGCATTGCCCATCCGTATACAAACCTCGCGAGCCTGTTCACGACCCTCGTGGTGCTATTCATGACCCTCGGATGTTCAGTATGACCCACGGGATGATGTTCAGTATGACCTCCGTCATCCTTCCCGTGGTAATTCTCACTACCCTCTGCACCTACACGACCAATGTTACCACGTGTGTCATCGCGAGGTCCTGAAGTAACTCCAATTGTCGATCGCGACTCTCTCCACCCCCCGCGATGCCTTGTACCAACACGATTTCGGTCATTCCCGCCACCCTGGTGGTTTCCCACCTCCAGATATTTCCGGATCCAGTGAGGTTCGCGCAGAGAGCGATTTCAACACTCGGGATAGCTCTCCTGCATCGGATTTACTTGGTCACTTTAGTCACGGTGAGCGGGAACGTTCATACCCAAGTTTGATACAACCCTATTTGGTAGCTGCTATATTTTATCATGTCAATGTCAAGTACCAGTATAGCGGCTGCATAGCCTGCTTTTGTCTTGTTCAGAACATCCTCCAGAACGCTAAGAATTTTCCGCAGGAATATGGATAATCACACCCGCCAGACTTTGATATTTTCGTGCATTGGAAAACTTGAATCTATGGGGATCTCACCAAACATAAACATCAAACGATTGAATAACATAAATAGTAACACAAATGATGGGAGGATACGAGAGGGTCATCATACCGACTCGTGTCGGCGGGAGAAGCTTGGTACTTGAACGTACAAGGGGCTCTCAGCAAGACCTCTAAGACCGCCAGGACCTACCCTCCTAATGATAACGGACGAATCCATAGGGTGACTTGCGAGGATACTATTATACCTCTTAGGAAGTTGAGGGGGAGGCCCTAGGGAGAGGCAGGTCTCAGAGATGGGTTTCATCCAACGAAAGCGGGTCTAACAGACCGTGAGAACATTTGAAAAGTGCGTCTATCAAGCAGCAGTGGTCGGGGGGTTTGACCAAACAAATACCATATTGGATGTTTAGTTGAAGTTGATCGTTGCCGTTTTCCTTGTGTAAAATATGACCTTGAGGGTACTCTGACATCATGAAAGTGGGCAGACTTATGCACCAAAAATTGCATCAAAAGTGGAGCCTTTGAGCTTCTATCCTTGAATAAAGGATTTCATTTTCTGAATCTGAGACCTATTACCTTTGAGCAACGCGAACTTTGCAAGGAATCACTGTATGATCGATATGTTCAATATGAGCCACTTTAACGTCCGCTGAGATGGTTTGTACGCACCGTGATCCCGAGGCTAGTCAACCAAGGTTCATGCGAAGGATACGGAGTCCTGGCAAATCGAAGCCATCGTGGAACGCCGACATTATTGAACCAACGAAACGATACCTTGATTAAAAAATCAATATAATGGCAGTTAAATACCGCATCCGCGAACTTTAACTTAGCGTCTCTTTGTGTTTCATATCTTGTGGGTTGATATCTGCGGAAAACTCGCGGTATTTGAATGAAACGGGCTGTGCGGAGTACCCACGTTACGTACTGCCAGGTTCATCAAGAAATAGACTATAGGTCCAGACCAGCTTACGTGACAGGCAGGCTTATCAGGAAACAAAGCCTTGTTAAGTAGAACCCGTGAGCGGGACCACATGTGACATACAGTCCGCGGTCATGTGCCAGCGCCACTGCTGCGATAACGGGGTCTGAGACATTGGTCGACGCACAGACCTATCACGCGTGGACAGCATCGATGTAGTGACCCCTGAATTGCCTAATTTGTATGCTTCGGAATGTGAGACCGAAGATGAGTCCAAACATAACGGAGGAGCGCAAGTTGGCATAAAAACTCAAGTTGACATACCCTGAAAAGGATGCCACAAATGCCACCATGCTGTGAATTTAATGGATTCGCTGGAGGCATTGATGGCATCAAAAGCTGCTTCCGGAGTGCAGAAATCTGAGTGCGGTTCTCAGTAGCGCCTTGGGACGCTAAGGTTGAGATTCGGGCTGTCGGGCTGTGTATGCAGGGTCCTAAGAGCCGCCGTAACAGCTCAGTCTGGGAAACGAACACGAATGGTCGAGTTATAGAGGATATGGCACATAATATTGATGAGAGTCGAGCGATATTAATCTACAGAACTTGAATCCAAAAAAATTGAGCTTTCCATGTTGAAGTAGTGATCAATAGACAACGTTAAACTTCAAGTGGATGTTTGCGTCTGCTTGGCAGTCGAGCATGATTGGGGTCACAGGATCTAAAGTCACCCTTTCTCCTGGTCGTTCACCTTCTCTTCTTCCCATCAACGATATAGCTCCCAACAAGCCTTCGTTAACATTTCCAGCACTAACTTTTAGTACCCCTACTCTTTTGCTATTTTTTTTAGCTGCGAGTTTGCATCAATTGCTTTAGTACTGCCGCATCACCAACATCAAGTAGGCGCTCGCTACTAGTCGTGCCACTTGCTCCTTCCGATTTCCAAGAACACGTGCGATTTCTTGCGAGGAGCAGCTCTTTTTCACAAATGGCATCCAACGTTCCAATAAACGGTGTTAAGATATCTCGTGCGTGCTCTCTCAATCAACCTCTACACTTTTCTACATCCAAATTTGGTCGCCATGTCTCTTTTGTAATTGTCATTCTTTCCCCGTCATTTCCCGTTTTTATTCATTGCCTCCTTCTGTCTCCATCATGTCTATGTCATCTTCATCTGATGACATTTCCACTCAAATAGCCATCGACGATCCCCACAAGGTTGTCAAGGTCGTCGCAACAGACGGTAAAACATCAGAACAGAGGGAGATTGCCTACACAAATTGTAAAGTCATTGGAAACGGCTCTTTTGGAGTCGTATACCAGGCAAAACTCGTAGGAGAGTCAAAGGACAGAGAGGATATAGCCATCAAGAAAGTCCTTCAGGACAAACGATTCAAGGTACGTAATCCTTATTGTTTGTCACCCTGCGCTTCTGCGCTGGTCGTGATGTGGACTGCTTTTCAAGATGATGCTGATGGAACGGTTTTTGTTGGTGTGATATCATCGATATCGCGCGAATAGAATCGTGAACTACAAATCATGAGACTTGTATCACATCCAAACGTCGTGGACCTCAAAGCTTTCTTCTACTCCAATGGAGAAAAGGTTTGAAAAAATCTCGCCCACTTCTCGTCTTGGCGCTGATTTCAGCTTTACTCTTAGAAGGACGAAGTTTACCTCAATCTTGTTCTTGAATACGTCCCAGACACCGTTTACCGCGCCAGCCGTCATTACACAAAGTTGAAGCAGCCTATGCCGATGCTTCAAATCAAGCTGTACATGTATCAGCTTCTCCGGTCACTTGCCTACATTCACTCAGTGGGCATCTGCCATCGCGATATTAAACCTCAGAATCTCCTGTTGAACCCTGCTACGGGCGTTCTAAATTTGTGCGATTTCGGCTCAGCAAAAATCCTCGTCGCTGGAGAGCCAAATGTTAGTTACATTTGCTCGAGGTACTACAGAGCACCTGAACTTATTTTCGGTGCTACCAACTACACAACAAACATTGGTGGGTAACAATATTATTCTGTACTGTTTGTGGGAGGGAGTAACGCTGTTCTAGACATATGGTCGACGGGTTGTGTGATGGCAGAGCTGATGCTAGGCCAACCTCTGTTCCCTGGGGAGAGTGGCATCGATCAGTTGGTGGAGATCATCAAGGTTCTTGGGACGCCGTCACGAGAACAAATTAAGACGATGAATCCAAATTACATGGAGCACAAGTTTCCTCAAATCAAGCCTCACCCATTCTCCAAGGTATCACCGCAGTTTTGTGGTGTTGTTGCCTCGTGTACTTACGTACAACAGGTATTCCGACCACGCACTGCGCCGGAAGCGATTGATTTGGTTGCGAAGTTACTGGAATATACGCCGGGGGCACGTTTAAGTGCAGTAGAGGCCATGGTGCACCCATTCTTTGACGAACTACGAGTGGAGGGAGCAAGGATGCCGAACGGGAAGGAATTTCCTCGTTTATTCGACTTTACACGAGAAGGTATTGACAGCAGTGTTTGGAATGTCAATGGCCGCTGACCAGTTCATGACAGAATTGTCGGTGCGACCAGACTTAAACCGACTCCTGGTTCCGCCACACTGCGAGGCTGAGCTACGCTCACGGTCGATCGACTTGGATACTTTTGTGCCGATACCTCTGGATCAACTTAAGATCACGCTTGATTGATTGAGAGGAAGGAGGCTAGTATCTGATTTCTGCGTATCCTATAATATTGATCGATGAGTGCGTGTATCCTGTCTGTTGTATTGATTCTGTATCGTGTTCACGTCATATTTTTGTTGAATTGATTTTCCACGGTTCGTTCAGTACCACTGTACCACTGTACACATGATGTTTACTATTATGCCTGTCGTCGAGCAGATGTTTTGTTGCTGCTTCAAGCTTGTGCCTGAAATTGCGTGACACGAGATATTATGATGTGACACGTGACACATTTGGTAAGGTTGCGTGATGTTGCGTGAGATGTAGCAATATGTGCAGAATCTCGACAAGTCTGACTTTATTCGACACGATTAACAGGCTGCGGCATGAGATTGTTATTTAATCCTTCACTCTCTCACTCATGATGACTTCAACAACTGGATCATATGAATGCGATACCTTGCCTGCTCCCCGTCTCGCTTCGGGCCTAACTCCTGATCTAGACCATAATCGATCTCCCTCACCTTTCTCAAATTTTGAACCTTCTTCTGCCGGTTCATCTCCGTTCTCAACAACCCCAGACATTGAGATGTATACTACTTCAACCACTCAGAGAAAACTATGTGTTCGCCATCAGAGAATGGCGGACGAGGGCACCAACTTAAAGCTTCAGCAGGTGTGTCTGACATTAGCCGATGAATGGGTCAGCTGCTGATTTGAGTTCTACAGGCTCTTGATGCTCTCCCCGTACAGGAGCGAGAAGCTATCAATGCCATCTGGTCCGGTTTCTCCTCGTCATCACATCCCAGGCGGGAACTCATTCTCCAGGGCATCCTCACCATGTGCTGTTTTTCTCAGCTCTCTTTACTGACGGAGCAACTTGGTCAGCTAATTCGCATTGACCCATTTACTGCCCTTCCCCGCGAGGTATCGCTCAGAGTCCTTGCGTGTCTGGACGCTACCTCTCTTTGTCGCGCTGCTCAGGTAAGCAAGCAGTGGAAAAGCCTAGCCGATGACGACGTCCTATGGCGCGGAATATGTGAACAGCACATCGGGCAAAAATGTCTCAAGTGTGGATGGGGGCTGCCTATCCTCGAACGAAAACGCCGTATGAACTCCGCGTCTCCGTCGTCGTCTCCTCCTTCATTCCCACCTCATCATACTCCTGACTTGTTCGTTTCCGAAATACCCGACGCCTTGCCGTTCACACGACCTTGGAAGGATGTATATTCCGAGCGCTTATCAGTCGAGCGTAATTGGCGCCGAGGGCGATGTTCAGTCCGGACGCTACGTGGGCACACAGACGGTATCATGTGTCTCCAGTTTGATGAGACCTTGCAGCATCCTTCTTTCCCGATCCTCATCACGGGCTCGTACGACCGTACTGTGCGTGTGTGGAACATCGAGACCGGTCTCGAGGTACGCTGCCTCCGTGGACATACGCGTGCTGTGCGGGCATTACAGTTCGACGAGGCGAAGTTGATCACAGGGAGTATGGATCACACCATTCGAGTGTGGAACTGGAGAAGTGGGGAGTGCATACGTACACTCGAGGGGCATACGGAGGGTGTTGTTTGTCTCAACTTCGACTCCAACGTGCTTGCCAGCGGGAGTGTGGATACCACTGTTAAGGTGTGGAACTTCCGCACGGGTGAAGTGTTCACGCTCCGTGGGCACCGTGACTGGGTTAATTCCGTGCGGTTATGGGAGTCTGAAGAACCAGCGGATGTTGAGATGGCCTGTGGATCGGACAGTGAACCAAGGATATGTCAAGGCACGCTATTGTTCTCGGCCTCAGATGACGGAACCATTCGCCTGTGGGACCTTACACGGCGGACGTGCGTGCGCCAGTTCATGGGACACGTTGGACAAGTGCAGAGCCTGAAACTGCTGCAGGTGGACGAGCGCTGTGACGAAGGCGTCAGCCGCCAAGAGCGGCGCATTGCGGATAATAACATGGCCCATGTCGCCCAAGTTGGGAACGCAACGAACCCATTTGAAGTTTGCACGGTCATTACTCACGATGCTGATGGCGAGAGTATGGAGGACATCCAGAGCCTAGATCGTGTCGCTAGGGAAGTGCTGGCAGGTAGCACTCGGAAACGTGCTAAAAGGCCGGTGCTCATTTCTGGGAGCCTTGATAACACTATCAAGGTTTGGGACATTGATACGGCAAAAGCCACCCAGACTCTATTCGGCCACATTGAAGGTGTCTGGGCAGTAGCAAGTGATAAGCTGCGGTTGATTAGTGGCAGTCATGACCGTACTATCAAGGTCCGTCTTGTTCTTGAGTAATCATATGCCTCGAAACTTAAATATCCGCTTTCAGGTGTGGAATCGCGAGGAAGGCCGATGCACAGCTACATTGGTCGGACATCGTGGCGCTGTAACATGTTTGGGCCTTGGTGAGGACAAGATTATCTCTGGTAGCGATGATGGAGACATCAGAATATGGTCATTTGCTGGAGATAACCGGCTTTGATGAATATACACCTTTCTTTTTCTGTTTCGTTGTTGTAATGGTATTCCCTGGCATTCGTTGGGTTTTCGAGTTGCTCGAGTTCATTACGTAAGATTAACATATCGCGATATATCCTAACTTCTAGAACAAATCAAGTGTATAGCATCAAACACCGAATGGAATCATCTGAGTAGCGTAAGCTGGCGGTGAAAACTGCACGCCCCCTCAGCCTGCACCTGCCGCGTCGTACAACGGAGCAAAATGCTCAGCAGAGGGTGCACCAGCGTGCTTCATGAACTCGAACAACGACTGCTTCCGTTTGTCAAGAATATATCGTGAACGATGCCGGTGGAATGAGATAGCAAATGCGGGATAAACCTGGGACTGGGATGTAGCCACTATTATAATATTGCCTGGTCAAACATCTTCACGTCGGAAAACGCCTATTTCTCTACAAAATGCTTTCGATCATGAAGATTTGTGGATGGTCAGACCGCCTGCTAAAACGAAATTTCCCTCTTCACTATCAAGATACGAACTGTCAGATATAAAAGCACGAATGTCAAATTTGGACCCAGATACAAACCAGAATTTCGACAAGACCTTTTCGACCGCCCAGTTTTGTTCGGGGTCATCAGACCTCTCGATGGACACTTGAACGATGGGCATATCGTCCGACGGCGTCAACGAATCATTCTCATCCCAAAACATAAGCTTAGAAGGAACAAAGACGCCGTGGTTCAATTCTGTGCCTCATGAACGAGGCGGAGAGGTTTGGCCATCCAACTCGCGGCTCCTGCGGGGGCACGCGAACGTCAGAGAGCTTAGCTTCTTGTCCTGCCTAAGTTACGGCAATTTCAAAGTAGGTATGAAGGAAGGTTGATTTTCTGATGAAATACCTCAACTGCACAACGCGCTCAACCAAGGTGTGGTCTCCTTTGGAGTCGAATGTTTGTCGATAATAATAGGTCTCGAACCCGAAGTAGTCCATAAGGAGGGTTGAAGGGGATTCATATCTCCGTAATCCGTCGTTGCCAGACTTTTATATTTTAAGCACGCAGTGAGCGCTGAATACGACAATATTAATGTCAACAACTCATGGGTTCACTGATGGGATGCAGTGGGTTATAAGGGTCCAGTAGCAGTTGCTGGTGACTGCACGAAGGTTTGACCACGGTTAGCATATTCTACTGATTGCATGACTATAAGCGTCAGTAAATGAAATGTCTTAGATCTTGTTCAATGCGATGTCACGAATATAGAGGCAAAACTTGATTCAACAACGCGATACATTGTACAATTCGTAGCCAACACACGAGACACGAGTGACGTTTGACAAGACCAGCGACTGAGTGACCGGGCATGTCAGGGTTCCAAATGAAGTTGCTACCAAATTCAAGCTACTAACCTCAGACTGAGACAACAGATGTTTCAGTGCGTCAATTCCAAAGTTCCTTCCTCACGCCTTGGTGATATTGTAACGTCCAGTGAGTGGATCCCACGTGAGGTTCCAGGTGGTGGTCTCAGAAAGTTCGACGAGATTCGCCTCCCACAACAAAGGGGCTGTAATTTCACCTTGCAAGATTTGGCCCTCTGTATAACCCGAGGTAACGTAGGCGCGCAGCGTTAGATCATACCGCGGGGGTAATGCTACTTTTGTTTCTGTGTTACACTGTGAGTTCCCTGGGGAGAAATAGAGGGAAGATGACGGACTCAACGTTGTTGTAGTACAACATCGGCGTAGGCAACGACGCTTCGGTTGTCTTAAAGTCTGGAGGCGGAATTCACTGAGGTCAAATAAAAGGAAAAGATAGCGGATCACAAACCAAATGTAAAGTCCACCTTCGCCCCAGTGTCATTGATAGCCTTCATGTAACTGGCCTCCACAGGAGCCTGCAAGGGTTATTCGTGAGCTGTTAAGACAAAGATGGATGAAAGCCAGACTTACAGAGAACTCGAAGGCGCCGCTGTCCTTGGTCAGGGTGGTTTGTTGGCGGCCCTGTGCTTGCATTGGTGCTAGGAATTGCAGAGTAGATGAGACCAGCTCACATTGATATCGACGGAGGCTAAAGCGCCAATGATAATCCCATCGTTGACCTTTGGTTTTGTGAAAGAAAATTGCCTATAAGTTGGATCAATGTTGATGAGCACAATTTGCATCCTGAGTCTTACTGGCCGCTGTAGGTCGCTCGCATAGCGTACGCGCCTGGGACAAGGGTCATGTGTAAGCTGGCTAATGCGCAGTGAAGATGTGGGTACACCCACCCTCCGCTCCGAATGTATGGACCCTAAAATATTGCAAGGTTTTAAGTAACCGCAGGCGAAACCGGGGATGCTTACCTCCAGACTACAGGAAAATAGTCCTCGTATATGCCAGGCATGGGGCGATTGAAAGTGAGAAGAAGGTCCGACTGTTTTCCGAGGTCGTTTCTGGGAGACGGTGGGGTCACAAGGTGATGAGGACGGCGCGATAGCGCTGCAAAAGGCACTCACGACTTGAAAATCAAGTTTCTGACAAAGGCGTCGTTTGACATTGTTTGAGACTGTACAACACAAAGTGCGGTGGATATTGTGTGTGGATTGAAGAGCTTCGAGTTCTGCAGTTAGTAGCCCAACAAGGCTGTCTTTAATATGCCCGGGGCACATTAAGGCCTGGGAGAGATGTGGGCTGATCTCTAGAAAATGCACTTACACCATGGCAGGTCGCGTGCCGCATTAGCAAACATTCCTCGTAGGCGAAATTGCTCGAATTCGGATCCCAGGAATGTTTGCGTAAATTCTTTGCAACGAAAGTGATCTCCAGTTGTACTGCCAGAATACCAAACAGTCCTCGCAGGCGAAATTGCTCGAACGAAAGTTTGGTAAATTATTTTGTAGTAGAAATGCCAGCATACTAGTATTCAAAGTTAGAGCATAATGGTCCAGGACGCCACTCATCCGTCCAATTGTCCCCAATATTGAGTTTCAAAGTCGAGTAAATCGGACCTCCAGTGCAACGGAGTCAGAGAATCAAATGCTTCTATTGATAGGGCGCCCTTGATATCTTGAAAATGAGTCCGCCGCCCCAAAACGAATTGCGCGAGGCTGATCTGCGGCAGAACGGGTGTCAGTGAAGTCAGGGATTGGCACGGGTAACGGGTTAAGCGATGGGTAGCGGCAGGTAGCGACGGGTAATGTATGCACTGGTGCACCCCTGCGAGAGTTCGAACGCCATGGAAGAAGGCGTAAATGCAGTCGCAGTGTTCCTCCGATAAACGACGGATGGTTACAGCCTCGAACGACAAGACGCTTCGTCTTTGGGACTTGGAGACAGGTGTTATGTCGAAGAAGATGGAGGGTATCGTGAAGCTGAGAGAAGAGTAACAGTAGATCTCTCGCCACCGTGGTGAGGAAGCTCAGCGCTCAGCAAGGGTGCTTAACCCTGCAGCTGTCGAGTGAACTTATCAACACCGGAGAAAGTATCAGTGAGCTTTCAAACTTAAATAACATGACAACGGCGACTCGCGATGATCTCTCTGACATATCTTGTGGTATGATGGACTAAGAAGCTGATACTGAGACGCCAAATGGCAAACAGGCACACTAGTTTGATGCTGAGTGCTGCTGAGTGAGCTCAACTGTGGGAAAGTTGTTCATCATTGTCACCGCGTAGTACTACGTTGTGGGCAAAAGCTCAATATTCCTGGTGGATGCATGTTGAAAACTTAGTTCCTCTGGCTCGTTGCATTTTTTATGAGGCCCGTACTGGACAAAATTCAAGAGCTTGGCTTTGAACTTGTCGCACTTGATTTCGACTTAGATCTTACTGAATTTGGAAGGTGGCTCCTTTCGACATCAACCTTGACTTTAACTTTGACCTTGACTCCTGCTTCTGCTTCGACATGACCATAACTCTAACTGTACTCACCATGTGATTAATACAGCTTATGTTGAATTACAGCCAATTCCACACGAGACTGTTGAGCCCAAGGATGTCGGGTGTCTCGTCGCTGTTTCCCACGCTTGCTCGCTGTATGCCACTAGTGGCACACGACGGCGAGGACGCTAAGCGCACTACGAAGCATGATGCAAGACAACTTCAACAACAGCACGGCTTATTGGTATTAATTGCAGCCATGGGTATCACTAAATTCTCCCCGAGACCGTTGTCGAGCTAGTGCTCATGAATTAGTCAAAGCGGTTGATGATGTGTAAAATCGCGTCACAGTCCCATCTTCAGCTTCATAATCGACATACACTGGGGCTCCTGGCTCTACTAAGCCATACTCCAAGGCACGGCGACGCACAGTTCGTGCTGATACTTGAAATACCGCTGCAAGGTGTGTCGGACCGTGAAGCTCAATAGCAGGTGCTAGAATAGATGGCTCGATTTCGATACGGGGGCGTCCTGGTCGCCCAGTCGGCACCACATAAGATGCCTGTATTGGTGGAGCGTCTGGTGGGTCCACTGACTACGAGCTGCATCATCCAGATGATCTATCATACTTTGCAGACTGTTTTCAATGGTGATACGTTCGGCTGGCATGAAAATGTCCGCATGCTACATTACTCTAATTGAGCAAATGACAGAATGTGCCTCGGAACAACACTACTTGCCTGTGTCACCAGTGCCGATAACCGTAAGCAATGCCTCTGTTCTTCACATAACCATGTGTGGTTCCTAATCTGTGTGTAGAGGGCTATCGTAACACGACGACCAAGCCCAGCGTATGCAGTTCATATTGCCTGTAATTTTGAATTTCACCATGCAATTATTTGTTTAATTTTGTCTAGCGGTGCCCCTCATAGTGCCCCTCATATGTCGCATTAGCAAACATTCTTCGTAGGCGAAATTGCTTCTCGGATTCCAGGAATGTTTGTGTAAATTCTTTCGCAACGGAAGTGATCTCCAGTTGTGCTGCCAGGTCAGCAAACATTCCTTGCAGCCGAAATCGCTCAAATGAATGTTTGGTAAATTATTTTGTAATAGAATGCCAGCATACTAGGAGTCACTGTCGCGCAGGCCACATTCTTCGACATCGCTCGAAGTGCGGAAGGAATCATGATGTTGAGTAAATTCAGGAATGTTTGCTAATCTGGCAGCACGACTGGAGATTGCTTCCATCGCAAAAGAATTTACGCAAACATTCCTGGAATCCGAGAAGCAATTTCGCCTACGAGGAATGTTTGCTAATGCGACACGCAACCTGCTATGGGGTAGGTGCATTTTCTAGAGATCTCTCCCAGGCCTCGATGCGCCGCAGGCCTATAAAAGAGAGCCTTGCTGGGCTACTAACTGCAGGACTCGAAACTCTACACTCCACGCACATTATCTACCGCACTTTGTGTTGTACAGTCTCAAACAATGTCAAACGACGCCTTCGTCAGAAACTTGATTTTTCAGTCGTGAGTGCCTTTTGCAGCGATATCGCGCCGTTATCATTACCTTTTTACCCCGTCGTCTCCCAGAAACGACCTCGGAAAACAGTCGGATCTTCTGCTCACTTTCAATGGCCCGGTGCCTGGCGTGGGCGACCACTCCCCCGTAGTCTGGAGGTGAGCACCCTCGATTTCGCCTGCGATTAATTCAAACCTTGCAATATTTTAGGGTCAGCACATTCGGAGATGAGGGTGGGTGTACCCACATCTTTACTACGTAGAAGTCACTTACACATGACCTTCGTCCCAGGCCCGTATCAGATGAAAGCGACCTACAGAAACCAGTAAGACTCAGGATGCAAATTGTGCTCATCAACATTGCTGATCCAACTTATAGGCTCGCTTTCACCAAACCACAGGTCGAACATGGGAGTGTCGTTGGCGCTGCAACTGCTGTCCAGATCAATGTGAGCGGTTCTCCACCCACCCTGCGATTCCTAGCACCAATGCAAGTATTCATGCAGGTCGGCCAACAAACCATCTTGACCAAGACCGGTAACGTCTTCAAGTTCTCTGTAAGTTTGTTTGTCATCCGTCTGTCTCAACAACTCATGAATAACCCGTGTAGTCTCCTGAGGAAGGAACCGCTGGTTACGTGAAGGCCATCAATGACGCTGGGGCGAAGGAGGACTTGGCAATAGGTTTGTGACCCGCCATTTTTTCCTTTTAGTTAACCTCGGTGAATTTCGCCTCCAGGGTTTATGACTTCTGGACAGTTGTTGCCTACGCCGATGCTGTACTTCAACGAAGTTGGGTCCGTCGTCATCCCCCTATTTCTCTCCCAGGGAGCTCACAGTGCAGCACACAGAGACGACAGCAACGTTACCGCACAGTTCACTCCCACACTGCGCGCCTACGTTACCTCAGATTATCAAGAGACCGAAATCTTGAGAGGTGAAATTCAGACCCCTATGTTGTGGGAGATGGATCTCGCCAAACTTTCTGAGACCACCACCTTGAACCTCACGCGGGATGCAAACACTGGACATTACAAGATCACCAAGGCGTGAGGAAGGAACTTTGGAATTGGCGCACTGAAACATCTGTTGTCTGAGGTTAGTAACTTGAATTTGGTAGCAACTTCATTTGGAACCCTGACATGCCGGGTCACTCAGTCGCTGGTCTTGTAGAATGTCGCCCGTATCTCGTGTGTTGGCTACGAATTGTACAATGTATCGCGTTGAATCAAGTTTTGCCTCTATATTCGTGACATCGCATTGAACAAGATCTAAGACATTTCATTTACTGACGCTTATAGCCACGCCCAGCAAATCCTCGCAATGATATGCATTTGCACTTCGCACCCGATCATGATGCTCGTGCTGCACGCACAAAAGCCCACAATACTTGTGCACCCACTCATTAGCAATGTCTGGTCGGTCGTTTTTGACGTACTCTACGTCGAAGCCGAGCATCGGTGTTAGGACACAGATGATGATCCAACCTCTGAAAGTCCGGTTGGTCATTGTTGCCGTGCTCTTCATCGAAGCCGAGATGACTTGTAGCAAATCGAGTAATTCCGTCGCGCTGAAAAATTTCAGTGCTAGAGATGGTCTTGAATCGACTATCGATCGGATGTTTTCCATCAATGGACTCCATCAAGCAGCTCAGGAAATCCAGCACCCCGATTACTTTTCCGCCATAAGGAGATGACGAAAGCAACGCTAGCACACGCCACCTGTTCATGGCAGAGTGATGCTTAACCATACCTGATAAGACACAACGCGTTTTGTAAGCTCGTTTCGGAGCTGTCAACGTGAAGCTTAACGTCCTAGACAGTACTTCACACATGTCACCCGAATGATACCAGGCACGATGCTCCAATGGTTCCAAAGGTCGGGATCTCTCTTGTGATCTCGATGTTTGGAATGTCAGTATTTTTAGGAGTGCATGTCACCGATCGCCAATAAATTTGATTGCTTCGCCAGAACGTTGTAAATAGTAATCGCTATTTAAATTAAAAAATGCCGTTCAGGGAGGCCATAGTGTCATATTTATTGATACAATACTGGGGATGGTAGAACGTGAGTTATGCATACTGGCCAAGGATCCCCGACCCCCTACAAATAGTGCTGCTATGGTCCGGTTCGGTCTGCATCAGGACCCCGGCTGCTCCCTATACCGCATGTCCGCAAATTTTCTAAATTTTCCTCTTGGGGCGCAACGTTTTTGAGGCTTGTGGGGCGCACTTCGGACATGCTAAGGTCGCCGAAACATACCAAAAAAGGAAATTTTCCGTAAAAATTTCATACTACTGAATTCTAGTTAGGTACACCCGCGATTCTGCTTCTTGTGAGACCGTACGTTGAACTGTGATGCAATAATGTTGCGCACTATTACCATACCCGCTGTTTCCCATCTATAGAGAAAGATAACCATATGTTTTACGGTGTTTTGTAGAATAAAAACTTGCCATTCAAAAGCCCATGGTTTCAGAGTGTGATACCGGCCATCTGAGATGCTGAGTGCGGATGTTCCAAGATTGTAGACAAGTTCCTTGATACTGGCAAGCATCCATAAATGTCCCGTCCTTGATTGCTGACTGTAGTGCTGCCGTGGTCCGGTCCTGAACCATGGTTCGAACCGGACTTTTGGTCCGGTTCCCCTGTGGTTCGGTCCACGGTCCAGGTGTCAGCCAGAACCGGACCATAGTACGGTTCTCGGTTCTGGCATTGGGAACGGTTCGACTTTGGTTCGGACGGGTCCCGAACCGTTCCGAACCCCGAACCGATATGACGTTGGCAAAACTCTAGGCGCTATGTATACGACATTCCTAACGATGACATCAATGTTGCCTCGTCCCATCCGCCACCCTCGCCATTGTAATTAACCACCACAACCTCATCTAGAATAGCCTATGGTATTATTCCTTGTTCGACCCAATCCAACTCGTCAAAATCAAAAGCATTTCCCTCAAGCACTTCAACTTCGTTAACATTGTGAACTTCTTCAGTCCTTTTCAACTCCTACCAACAACTTCGATCTTGATCCCATCGGTCAATCATATATCATCCCTCAAATCTCACTTTGGCGATGTAAGCGCTGGATTGTGGTGTATCAAGCATGGATGTGATCGTTATGTATGTTCAACACCATCTGCACCAGCACTCTACTCACTTGCATCGTCCAACAGGACGTTCACGTACTCCCTCAATACCTAGTTTATCAACGCTCAATGCATTACAGACCCATATTCGAAGTTCTCCAATTCCAACTCGACGTTCTGCACTCCCGTTTGTCCCTCTGCTCCACTTATTCCTTCATTTTAGTTATCAATAATCAAACTGTGTCTTTCAACAGGTTCTTTCTTTTCTTCTACTCTACAAACTCCTTCTCGTAGCATGTACAGTTGCATCTCATATTTTCAAATATTCTCTTCCTACAATTTCAAGCACACGGTTTTCTGTTTGGCAGCAGCAGAATCCCGTTTGACCTTGCGCACCAACGACCATTGACGATATTGCGCTATCTTGTGATCATTGAATGGACTCTCCCAAGACTTCTACACAGCATCTTCGCAACTCAGTGAGATTTCAGGTCCAGGATTTGGTAGATGAATTTGAGGGCGTGGATGCAGCAGCGAGACAGGCATGCATCAAAGGGATGCGGTGCATGCCCATTTTCCCAGTCAGTGGGATATTCATTGTGAAACTACACAGGGGGTTTGACAGCGTCTATGGATAGGCACTGTACGTGCATGTGTTTACACACCTTAATGTCTGTGCCCCCAACAAGCTGAAGTACATGCATGACCTATCTTCATTATTTAATCTAACGTTGCTGTAGCCTGCTGATTGACCTGGAGAAGATGAGAAGAGATTGGGTATCACGGGACAACATGTGGTGTCTTATAAATTTCAAGGCCATCAAGGACGTGTTGTCTGGACTAATGAACCAGGTTCAGCACTTACCCTCCCTTGTTGTGTATCAAGTGTGATTCAACTGATCTTGTCCAGGCTCAAGTGGAGTTGCACGTCTGTAACCAATCTCTTACCGGCCAGTCCAGACTGCACACGCTAGACATTCAAGACATTGGGGCATTGATTGCCAGTTGTTCAACCGACCCACATGCTACTTCTCAGCTAATTACGCTCAAAGATGATAAGGGACATTGAACTTCACCACTGTCCTTACACCTTGCCGTATCCTCTTTTCTTCACTTCGACTCTGCCATCGTCAGGAGTGTAGTTCCCATTGTGCGAGGAGAGACAATCGGACTTAGACCAACCAAAACAGGTAGCAGGCCCTGCCACGGATGTGGCCCTCCATGACTTATTTAGCATTGCATCCATCCGATCACGCCATTGCTTACATATGAACCACCAAACTGGAGCCATAATACATTCATCAACTCTGTTCACATCACTTGTGATTGACGAGGACTCAACAAAAAAATTCACTCACTACTAGACATTTTAGGGTTCGGTTCGTGTTTGAACCCAAAAAAAACTGAACCTGACCGCTCCGAACGGTTTGTGAAGGTTCGGTCCAGGGTTTGTCGACTCTGGTAGAACTGGACCCAGGTTCGGTTCTTGGTTCTTGCTTAACCCCCGTTGAACAAGACTGAACCGGACCGCGGCAGCACTAGCTGACTGCCAGTACAGCTTTTTTCAGCTCATCTAGGATGTTTCACCAGGCCATGGAGTGGGCTTCACAAGGGTGCAGAGGTTGAATGGTGAAAATAATGGATTGATCCTTGTTTGAGTACTGCAACTACTGCTACCACTACAGACTCTACATAGACAATGTTCTGTCTAAGTATACTATATGTTAGACATAGTCTAAATCGGTCTACATGGTGAATCACTTTGTCGGTCCATAGTAATCAACCAGTACTTGTTTAGGGAAATCGAACATCAGTTTGAGATTTGTTGTCAGTCTAGGCTGTCTGGTGCCCCCTCCAATCCGGGATCAAGGAGGATCCAAGGCCTCTCGGGGCGCTACTGACAAACATAGGGTGTGTCGTACAGGCTTGTGAGGCGCAGCATTTAGGACCATAGGATGGGTGATTTTGCAGGCATGTGGGGCGCTACCGGTGGACATGCAGTATAGGGAGCAGCCGGGGTCCTTCTGCATCAGCAAACTACAACTTTTCCCACAGAAAGCACAAGACTTGTATTCCCACGACAGCTGATCACAGATTTCACAGTTCCACCAAGAGTCACAGCAAATAGTGCCACAAGGTATACATTCATTACAATCACTCACAGTTCTACATGGCTCACAGGACTTTGCATTTGAAAGTTGAGGCTTGGAGTCTGAGTGCGAATCATACTAGTAGTACTTAAAGTGTATATAGTAAAATACCATTGAAATGCAAACTTGACATTTTATTTCAGACTACTGATGGACTTCAGACAATGCAAAATTTAATTCAAACACTAAGACAACAACATGAACATAAAACATTGTGTGAACTGGAAGGGATGGGAGCATAATGCTAATACTAGTAGTATGTACATGAGGCAAATACTATCATAATAACATATACACAAACTTGAAGTGACTCTTGACCGTTTGTGACAAACAGTCAGTCAAGCTGGATAGTGACAACGTGGCCATTTGGGACCTCTATCGTAGCAGATGATGAATTTTCTGTACTCGATAAGGACAATCGTTCTATCTCATAGGTCATAAACTTACCGGGATGCTGATGGTCATCTTCACATTGTGAAGCAGATAAAGGACAATGAGACCAGCCATTCTGTTTGAAGGCAAGTCTCATGCACCCCAGGCCCATGTCTGCATCGTCTAGTGTCTTCTCTGCAACATCTACTCGAAATCTGAGCAAACTCACCAATACTTCACTTTCCCATACTAAACAATCTGCAAGTGCCTTCTGTGCCCAAAATACTTCACGCTTGGCTTGTGCAAGGTCCATAACAAGTTTCGCTTCAGAATTGGTTTGATCCGGTATTGACTGGTGAAATTTTAGGCACCTTCAATAAAACAAGAAATGAATGATTGACTTTACCAAGTAACCAATAGCTTCAAGGAGTTCATAAAGGTCCGTCCCACGTGTCCCTGGTTTTGTGTCATCACAGGGCTGATGATGTGGATTGAGAATGTCATCCGCTAGACCTGATGCCCTTGTTGATAATGCACGCAGATTAATGGTCATTGTATATTGAGAGTATAGTTTCAGGAAATGCTGATATCAGCCTGTGTTATTGATGTGTCTCTTACCAGCTCAGACTTATGTCTCATTCAAGCTGCCCCTCATGCGGTAAAGCCTTTAAAGATCATACTTCCATTGCTCATCATATGAGCCAGCCTCGGTCTGGATGGAATACATGGTTAGAAGATGTCATCAACTTTATTACGCCCAGTGAAGATCATAACATGGACTCAGCAGATGACGAGAACATCGATGTTTCTTATGATCCTGGACTTGGAGGCGAGGAAATTTTTCATTATTTTGGAGAGGATGATATCACTGAGGGAACTGGAGGTCATGAAGTGCATGGTGAAGTAATTGATTACTTTCCAGAGCCTCCTCTGGCCTATGAGGATGGCTACACATTTTTGGGGCTGTTTGATGCAGATGAAAACAGTGTGTGTTGTAAAATGAACCTTTACTATCGGTTTAGCAGTTGACAAGATTGGCAAGTTACAGCATGGCTGTTACGTTCGGGCCTGAGCATGGGGAACATCGACTCTTTTCTATCACTTGAAATGGTCAGTCTGTATACTTTGCTTTCACTGCTAACGATTCACTTCTTTTTAGATCAAGGATTTACCCTTGTCATTCTGCTCTGCCAGAGAATTACGTGGTCGAGCTGAGATGCTGCCCAGCGGTCCATGCTGGAAGTCTCAAGTAATACCTACATCACATCCTACAAAGTCGCCAGTAATTCTGTACTGGCGTGACCCTATCGAATGTATCACCAGCATTTTCAATCACCCGCTATTTCACCATCATATGGACCTCACACCTTGCAAGGTTTACTCTACTGCAAAGAGGCTGTGTCGTGTATACAGTATTCCATGGTCACTTGCGTTTCCACCATCACTTGCGTCGATGCGCAACAACATTGTCAAATCACATTATTTAGACACAATTCTTGCTGGTATGTTTTCGTGGCATATAGAGCTATGCATGGCTGGTATAATGTCTCAAATCTGCCAGCAGGAAAAATCATGATGTTGCAATTTGTAGCTGAAATTTCGCTTTTCTGTACATAGTGCCTTCAAATGATTTTTGTAGCACAATCTGACTTCATATATCAATGAAGATTACCTTTGCTGATATCTAACATGTGTCATTAGTAAAGATCGTAGCATTCCTGGTGTGCCAGTTCAATGCTGGTGAAGGGCTATGTAAAACTTGACAATCAACGAGTTATCAAATCTAAGTATGTTATGCATGACAGATATTAGCTAAATGAGGCGTGTGTTACAAACTGGTGTGTCGCGTACTAACAAAAAACCTTCCTACAAAATGCCTGGTATTGCTCGCTCTGTGGCAAAGAAGAAACAGATGGCTCGTGCTGAGCAAGATAAGGCCTATGCAGAGGCAATGAAGGTATACCATGATGAGCAGAAGAAGCCTGAAAGTGAGAGGAAGAGCAGAAAGGCCATTTGCAGAGATGTTGCGGAGAAGTGGAAAGCAAAGAGGAAAGTGGTTACTGTCAGTGCTGATACACTTCGGCGCAGGCTTGAGGGAGGACAGAAACGAGGAACGTCAAGCCATATACAAAGAAGAAATAAGGCTGTGGGAGGAGGAGAGAGATTGTGCCAAGCTCGAGAAACGTCGGCCAAGGTGGAAAAGACTGAAACAGGGCAAATTAGAGTCGCCGATACCCAAACTGACTCTCGATGACACTGAAGAAGAAGATGAACATGGTGTGAATGAAGACGAGGACATTGACGGCAATGATTCTGATGGTGGGAGTGAGGTTTGATCGGCTTATCGCGATAATTAATCATGTACAATGAGTTCTTATCATTAAGTAATACCTTTTTTGGGACCGACGCAAGTGACGGTGGAGTGTTGATAAAGGCCAGATTTTTGATTCATTCACCGCTCTACACATGCTCTGATGCTCTCAAGATTTTATTATATGCAGTAGTACATGTGTTAAAAACCATTGGTCAATCACGATTTTTTTACAAATGTGCTGTTGTATTGTGCGGTGCGTTCGAAGTTTCGCCGATGCAAGTGACGGGGGAATACTGTATGCTGGATGGATGTCAGGAAACGACGCATGGAACATGCAGGTGAGTAGATGTTGAATATTGAAGTCTGGCACTCATCATGTATTCTTGCAGTCGGCGATACCCAAGAACACAACCCTCCTTGGCACCATTCTCTCTTCTGACAAGACAAATCTCACTGCATTAACAGGGGATCATGTAGCTCATCCCCTCCTAATTAGCCTTGCCAACATTCATATGAATGTACACCTAAAATCATCAACCAACTCTTTCATTCTCGCTGCCCTGTTACCAGTCCCCAGGTTTATTCACAAGAAAAAGCAGATGAAGGGCATATTGGAGGATCACCTCATACACCAGTGCCTTAAGATTGTTCTTGAACCACTCAAGCAAGCCACTCAACATGGTATCATGCTGTCTGATCCTATCGGACACAGTCAGTATTGCTTCACTGCTCTCATGAGCTATATCACTGACACCCCCGAGGCCATGATGCTGGCCATTGTTGGTGGAAAAACATCACCGGTGACGATGGCAATGTATAAGCAGTTCGGGGATGCATTCTGTCATGAACCCCGGACAAAGTCAACGACTCTTGCACAACTTGCTGTTGTGCGCTTATGCACTGATCCCAATGATCTTGAGGTGTTTTTCCGCGAGGCACAGAAGTTCCAACTGAATGGTGTCGACAAACTGTTCTGGTGGGACTACATACTAGCAGACCCCTCCCGTTTTCTTACACTGGAATCACTCCACCATCTTCATAAAGAATTCTTTGACCATGATGCCCAATGGCTCATTAATGCTGTTGGAGATTCTGAAATAGACTTTTGATTCTCAGTGTTACAGCCTATCACTGGTTATCAACACTTTTATGATGGAATCTCCAAGCTAAAACAAGTCACTGGTTGCTGTGAATGGGAAATTCAACATTATATCATCGCTGTCAGTGCGGATGCAGCACCTGTTGGTGTCATCACTGCTGTACGAGCGCTCATGGAGTTCCGGTATCTCATACAGTCACCACATGTTGATGAAGACGATCTTGAGTGCATCTCAGGTGCACTAACTGAGTTCCATGCAAACAAAGATGCAATCATTGCTGCCGGGCTCGTCGGGGGAAGGGCAATAGAACTATTGACAACTTTTAGATCCCCAAGCTGGAGCTAATGCAAAGTATCATTTCCAGTATTTGGAACTCTGGCGTTATAGGACAGTGGTCTGCCGACATCACTGAACACGCCCACATTATGGAGATAAAAGACCCTGCCAGATTGACCAATTACAACAATTATAACACACAAATTTATCGACACCTTGACTGTGCTGAAAAATGTCATCATTTTGAGCTCGCCACTAGCCTTCTAGATCATGGGCAGAGGGTTGAGGAAGAGAGGTTGGACTTGGATGCTGAAGATAGTGACGTTGACGCTGATGTTGACACACAAGATATTCCTATCAATCAAACCTGCTGTGAAAAACACAACCTGACTAGGCACTTGTTAAGGTACTCAGCCAGTATATGTCTAAGCTCTGCCTATGCTGCTATACTTGCAACAAAGATGCAAGAACGTTCGACCCAAGGGAAAAGCTACTAAGGACAACTCAAGATCGAAAGACCCGAAAGAGCGCTAAAGCGTGGGAATAGCGCATCGCAAGATAGAGCGCTAATGCGCGGGAAAGAGCGGAAGTCAAGAAAGCGGACACTGAGTCAAAGGAGGGTAATGGATAGCGAGTGAGATCAAAGGTATTGATTGCAAGAGTAAGGGAAAGTCAAATAGGGGCCATAGAGCGCAACTAAAGGGTGACTACTTCTAAGTAAAACCTAATGGTAAGGAAATACAGTTGAAGGGAAGTAGTGTCGAAGTAGTCACCATAGGCTTCTTATACTAGTTAACTATACCATCTCGGACTCGGAAGGGATAGGATATACATGTAATAAGACTGTAGCACTTTTTACAAACTCGAGGCAAGGCAAATTACATACCAATGAGGTAGGATGGACAATGGATGGATTCTGACATTTCGGGTGGATCCTAGAGTGGGAGAACAGCGTGCTGGATAAGCGCTGAGCGCGGAGGAGGGAACAAGCACTAGATAGAGCGGACAAGCACTAGATAGAGCGGACAAGCACTAGATAGAGCGGACAAGCACTAGATAGAGCGGACAAGCACTAGATAGAGCGGACAAGCACTAGATAGAGCGGACAAGCACTAGATAGAGCGGACAAGCACTAGATAGAGCGGACAAGCCTAGATAGAGCGGACAAGCACTAGATAGAGCGGACAAGCACTAGATAGAGCGGACAAGCACTAGATAGAGCGGACAAGCACTAGATAGAGCGGACAAGCACTAGATAGAGCGGACAAGCACTAGATAGAGCGGACAAGCACTAGATAGAGCGGACAAGCACTAGATAGAGCGGACAAGCACTAGATAGAGCGGACAAGCACTAGATAGAGCGGACAAGCACTAGATAGAGCGGACAAGCACTAGATAGAGCGGACAAGCACTAGATAGAGCGGACAAGCACTAGATAGAGCGGACAAGCACTAGATAGAGCGGACAAGCACTAGTAGAGCGGACAAGCACTAGATAGAGCGGACAAGCACTAGATAGAGCGGACAAGCACTAGATAGAGCGGACAAGCACTAATGCACCTAAAACACATTGCTGGTAGTTCCAACAGCGCTATAAGCGTGGGAATAGCGTTGGATAAGTCGCGGGGAGCATGAATAGCGCTGCGGGAATGTGCACGCATAGTGCGGGAAAGTGCGGAATAGTGTTGGACAAGGGTTATGGCTGAGACAAGTGAAGACTGCTGATAGGGGAGTAGTGAATAATATGAGGAATAACTTTGGTCCACCTATTGAAGGCTTATGCAGGTATACATGCCTAGCGCCAATATGATTGTCACACCGCCAACCACGCCAAACTACAAATTATTCTGCGATCACTAAGGCACTCCAGCAGCGCAAAGTGGGTTCTGTGCCTGTTCCACTTTGCTCCTTTGTCAAGAAATGTACTGCCTTTCATCTTGGATATGAGCCCTCCATTCGGAGCATCACTGTTGATGAAGTCACTATCAGATTTAGCTTACCAGATCTACGACTGGCCATAGCTGATTTCCTTCAATGCGAGGCAACTTATGGACGCCAGCACGTTCATGCAATAGGTGGCCCTAGAAGGGCAGGACCTACTGCTGTCCTCCCATTCAACAGAGTTCAAGTCTGGTTCAAGATTCAGCTGCAAGAGATGGACTTCCACGAGACTCACATCATCAAACCAGCTCAGACGCTAAATTGTGCGCCACCAAATAACCCATGGATTCTAGGTCATTATGATACAGTCATTATCGAGATCAGTGTGGGCTACTCGTGGCCTAGTAGTCGTCTTTCAGGTGCTTTTTGTCTTGCATTATGATAAATTTATGCTCACTAACTGTTACAGGTCATACAATCACACAGATCAGACTCATCATGCGACCCATCAGCAAGAGTGGTGTGCAATGGTCCTGGAAGGATTGGTTCCTCACGTATGTCCAACATTTTGATCTTTCAAATGATTGCGATCCAGCTACATGGCTTCACATACTGAAGTGAGCAAAGCGCTCCAATGGAAACTGGATGGGTGACATTATCCTGGTATCTCAATTGAGGGCTCCTGTCCAACTCATCCCTCGCTTTGGTGCTACTGCTGACAAGCGTCTCACAACATACAACAGCTTGGAGCATGCCGCAGAGTTTTGGCTGAATGAATTTTGGGATAGAAGCACTTTCTTTGCGCTATCAGTCTGAGATTTGATGCAAGATAAGGCCATTTTTGTAGGGTATCAAATAGATCATCAAAGACATTATTTTTGTACCTGTATCCACGCATCCATACTAGTGCTCCCTCATGCCACTTGGCAAACATTTCTGTTCAGTGGGCCTCGGGATGAAGCTGGCATCTTTGATGTCAGCTCCAGAGGTTCATGACATAACAACAATCGATAAACTGACCAGCTTGGAACTTATTCGCTTGATCTTGCAGAAATCTCCACCTGCCAACAGCGATGAGCTCACCCATTTATTATCGTTGATTTTTAAGTCCTGTGCAACTGAAGTTCCCAAAGCAAAGGATCTTAAAGTTCTATTGAAGAAAATCCACCTGGATACCAGGATTGAAGCATTTCAGCACATTCAAAATGAAGCAACCCTCGTACCGCTCTATGACATACATGCATGCCGTTGGAATTGGCCACTCCCAGATTCACATCTAGACAAACTTCCTGGGCAAAAAAGTAAGTGGGCAGGAGAGAAGAGTAGTACGGACCAGGAAGAGATGGAAGGAGAAAATAGTGGTACCACGAATGAGAGGTTGGGAGATTGGGTTTTCATCAATGAAACTAGCACACCCACTGCCTCCGAGTCACAGGCTGAGAGTGTTGGCCAACCTGAAGATGATGAAATATCAATAAATGCCAGCTCCACCAGTGGTGACAGAACCCCAGTGCTCCATGAGATCATCCATGATCCTACAAAACCATGGACAACCGAACAGATTTTTGTGTCCTTCTATAACATCCTTGCCTTTGCCCTCCTGCAGCAACCTGCACTCGCTCAGAGGCATAACTTATCTCGTGTCTGGAGTGCATCAAACTCCTCACGCCCAATACACGGCAATGAAATCGCGCGCAAACCAGACCTCACCTTACTTGATGATATCGAGGCTAGATGGGACACAATCAAGGCCGTATGTGAGCTGACTTTGAGTGCCTACTTACCTTCACATCCCCTCACCAAAACTCTTGACAGCAAGGCTTACCTGCTACTCAAGCACCAACTGTGGAGACGCTTCACACTGTTGGTCTCCATTTGTAATGGGTATCGTGAGCTTCATGTCCACCTATATGACTACTCAGGTGGTGTTGTCAGCCCTTGCATGCATATTGATTGAGAGCTGGACAAGTACTTACAAATATTTTCATCCATTGTCTTCAGCAATCTCGAGTGTATCGGGTTTGACCCCACGATCAGTATCTTGAAGCATACACTTCACCACACACTTCGATCTCCTGATTTCCGCCCTGCCAAACCCTCACCTTCTCTACAGCAGACTCCCAAAGTGATCCCAGATGCGCAGATCATGGAGAACGACTCAGAGACCAATGCCATAGAGGATGTGGTGCCCGAACTTGCAGCCAATATCCCTCCAAACACAGTCGACTCGGAGACCAATGCCATAGAGGATGCGGTGCCCAAACCTGCAGCCAATATCCCTCCAAACATGGTTCCCCTCATAGAAGAAATCCCTCGTGATCCTCTCTGTGGGCCCCTCCCAGAGCCAATAGGAAAAATACGAGTCAATCAGAATACATACAATATCCTGGATCTAATATTCTCTACCCAAGGCCTTGTTGGTTGTGGCACAGCGTGCTATCTGGTCAGAAAGGACGAGGAAGAGTATATCGTGAAGGATCACTGGGTTCTCGGGGGTAAATCAGAGGTCCTGAACGAGATTTGTATGATGGAGAAGATGGATGGGATCCATGGTGTTCCTCACCTTGTCAAATATTGGCTGGTGGAGATGGAACCTGGTGAGGTTGACGAAATGGTGAAGTATCGTCAAAAGGTCCCACACAGCATACAGGGCACCTCCTGTACACATGTTCGCCTGGTCCTGAAACCCCGCGTGCGACCCTTATATCAATTCTGTTCACATGCGGAGTTCTTAACCCCGATACGGGATATCATGAAGAGTAAGTGATTTCAATCGTATTTACCTAACTGTTGCACTCACAAGATTTTCAGTTCAGAAACAAGCAGTGGAGCAGAACCAGGTTCTTCATCATGATTGCAGTTTGAATAATGCAATGATCGAGGATGATGGTAGTGGCTCCCATGGGATGTTAATAGATTGGGAGTTTGCTGTAGAGATTATACAAGGCAATCAGTATGGTGTTGGGGGCACAGTTAGTGTTTTGATATCTTTCTAGGATATGGATATAAATAAATATTATCTTACAACCTCAGGGCACAATACCTTTCATGTTGCGGTCCCTTCTCTTCCAGCTTTATCTCAACATGCTGGATCCATCTGATGAGTGCTTGGGTACACAAGCCTCAGGATCAAAACCATACCCAGCCCCCATGATCACGCATGTTTACAACGACAATCTTGAGTCGATGTTTTACATTTTCATCTGGGTTTGTATTGAATTCAGGGGCCCTCTCAGCATGAAGCGTGTTCTCCCTGTTACTCTCCCACAGTATTCAATGCAGTGCATCAAATGGATAACACGAGAATGGTCTGCATCCACGTACCAAAAGTGTGGGGACAGCAAAACTTGATTTTTTCATCAATCAGACCACTACACTATGGAACTCGCCAAACAGTTTGACCCATACTTCAAATCTCTTCTTCCACTCGCATTAGAGTGGTATGAACTCATTAAAGAACCTAAATGGTTGCTCTTCAACAATGTAATTGATCTGCTGGATAGACACATTACTACACTTCTGAAGGAGGACTCCCCTGAGCTCTTAGTCTCGAAATGGGTAATTCTCTCAGCAGCAGGTTCGTTTACTAGTATCACTAGTGATGAGGAAAGTACATATGTCACCTGTAGATGAAACACGACAGAAGCGAGTGGTTGATCATCGGTGGACGATGGAAATCATACCCAAGCTGAAGAGGAACAAAACTGGGTAGAGTTTGATCATACATACTTTACACATTTAGTATGAGTCACATGATATCCCCATTCTGTACTTGTGAAATAAAGCGCGTGCATCATTACTACCTCGCTGAAGATGAGGAATCATGAGTGGGTCTATACTGAAAAATATAAGATAAGTCGCCTGCAGTAGTCCTCGAACGCAAGTAGAAGTCGGCCCAAGAGGATCTTTACTGAGTCTTTTCCTCGAGTAAATGCGAGGGGATGCGCTGAATGAGTCAGCAAGGGAATCTGCGCAAAGCGCGGGTGCGAGACGCCTTGTAAATGCGAAACGCGCGTTAACGCGACGAAAGGCGAAAGCACGACGTAGGCGGAACCGCGAGGCGGAACAAGCGCGCTATAGGCGCGCTATAGGGGGCAGTGAAGAGGCGGAAGTAGCGCGAAGGTCTTTCAAGATTTTCTCAAGAGAGCTTGTTGCAAAAGAATAGAGAGTCGCGCAGTGGTTGTGTTGCAAATGAATAGAAATTGATTCACAGTATACACTGATGCAGGATGATGGGATGTAGTGAGTAAGTAAGTAAGTGAAAAATCTATCAGAGTCCCCATGTCTAAGGTAAATGTTCCCAGGCACTGAGCCGAAGCGGAAGCGAAGCGAAAAAGAGTTGTTGTGTTGTAGAATAAGGAAATATGTGTAAACAGACGAGGTATATAGCTAAAGTCAGTTGAAAAGATAAAGGGAGACGCACCAGCGGATCATAGAGGGACAGGACAGGACGTGCGGAGGACAGGCGACTTGGAAAAGCGAACGCGAAGGTAAAGCGCGAAAGCGCGTGCAAAGGCGCCGTAGTAACGCAAAAGGCGCTATAGAGGCGCGCTATAGGCGCCAGAATGCGCGAATGCGCGGATTAGGCGGAAGCGTCGCGCGTTTAGCGCGTTTAAGTCGCCTTGTCGTATATAGCGCGCGTTAGTGGAGACGAAGTGGAAATACGGCCTTTGTGAGGCTACTCGCAATGGAGTCTCTACATCGCCTCAACATGTTCAAGCTCCCACTCTCTACCTGCAGACAGTGTTCGACTCATATTTCTGAAAGGTGTCATATTCAGCTTCACAAGATCCTCTCACATTGCCTGCAGGCACTGGAGACATTCAAAATGTATTTGCGATTTTCCGATTATGAGTCATGGTTGAACATTTCCGAGCCTTAAAAGATAGTGCGTATCTCCCAGTGATTTACTTGTGCTGATTGTATTACTATTTCTACTCTCAGTGTGCTCTAGTCATGCCTCCTTGCACTAGCCAGAAGAAAACAAAGTGTAAAGCTGTGGATTCTGATGGTCAAGCAACTTCTGCAAAGAAGTCGCATGCTGGGGCTGAGGCATCTGTAGTGTTGCAGCAGTCAATTTCTGCAGACAAACCATCAGCTCGACGTTCTGGACATCCTGGTGCAGGAAAAGGAGGTAGGGCAGAGCAACTGGAAAAAATTAGTGCTCTCTTAGATGCCCCGGCATGGACTACTCAGCCCAAGGGCTCCACCTCCCTTGACTTGGATGTATCTACCAATCCACTTGCACCCAAACTGCCTCACAAAGGTCGTGGAAGTCGCCCAAAGGCAGGTCTGTTTATATTGGTTTTATATAGTAATGTTGAATATGGACAGAAACCCCCTCCGTCATATACCGCCTCAGAAACAGTGGTGGATCCTGTAACTTCTAAAACAGGGAGGAAGAAAGGTACTAGTAAAGTGAAGAATAACGCTCTCACTCCTACCACTGACTCGGATGTATTGACTACTATCAATCCTGCTTTTTCTCATCACCATCCTGGTGGCCAGTTTGGCTTTGTGCAGTCAATCATCCCTCCTGGCACAGAGCCTGACTTGCAAGCACTCAATAACTCATTTGTAGCAGCTGCCATGAAACAACATGCTCTGTCAGCTTCCCTGGATCTCATCAGGCATCTTCTACCTATTACCACCTCCAGAAATAACAATTTGACACAACTAGCACCTTCAAAATCCACGTCGATTCAATCTAACGCTCAGTTTCTACAAGAACCTGGACCCTGCTCTATTGTCAGCTGAAGATGTACATTCAGGAGCAGGAGATACTGGATCTGAAAGTTCAGAGGCATCTGCTGATGACAACAATGACAATGGAGGTCATGCTGATGATGATGAAGAGGAGGAGGAGGAGGAAGAAGAAGAAGAAGACGAAGAAGAAGAAGAAGAAGAGAAGAAGAAAGAAGAAGAAGAAGCAGAAGAAGAGGAAGAGGAAGAAGAAGAAGAAGAAGAAGGCGATGTTGATGTCGAAGATCAGGAGGTCAGATGGGGAGCTGCGCATGGGCACCTTACTGCGCATCCTGGTAAGTAATTCGCTTGTCACAATTTTGATCACACTGAGCATGAGACAGGGTTCTCAAAGGAAGTTGAGCCCTCACAACCTTGGGTCACCACTGCTCTTCCAAGTGACTTCGAGTTTCAACACTCACGTGATGAGGATGAAAACATGGCCGAGAAGAATTTAGTAGCTGACACGTCCAGCGATGAGGATACTATGATCCAGGTATATATTATTTGTTTCTATGGAGTCTACTGACCTTCCCTTCGTTGAAGCCCGCAGAGCATAATCCTGATGATGTTCTACGGCTTCACCATAAGCGAAATGGACATCCCCACCTGCCTGATCCTGCAGTCCTCGATCTTTTGCGTCAGGCTGAGACCAAACCTTCCGATTCAAAGTCAAGTGATTCGAATACCAAAGCTCATAAGGTATCAGCCAAGATAACAGGTGAAGGGCCTAAGGCTACACAGCTGGGTTGGTATAGTCCCCATTGGAAGAGGTTCCTTGAAGAAATGAAGGGAGAGTGCCATGTCCAGCATGCAATAGAGAATCCATTCCCGACCTTCATTGATGGCTTGTCAGGAACCGTCCCTAAGATCCTCACAGCTTTGCTTGTACAATGGCTTGAAAGCGGTCAACAAGTTGAAGGCAGTAAGTATTTCTCTTCCCTTGAAACAACTTACTCACATGTCCATCAGATATTTGGCCTGATCACAAGTCTGACATGGCCAAGCTTGTGTGTCTGTGTTTTTAGTCACATGCCTGTATCTGATGTACTTTTTATTTATTTCAGCTGTTTGAAGATCTATCAACATGGCGCTCAGACCTCAAGAAAACCACTATTTGTATCACACCCTCTATGTATGACCTTATCCCACCATCTCATGTTCCCCCCAAGAATGTGCTACGTGGGTCGAAGAATGCGCTGCAAAATTACTGGAATTGTCTCTTTTTTTGCGCAACGGTGTAGATAGTCTTGGGAAAACTCGAAACATTGCTCATCCCACACTCCGCGAAGCCAGCACTTCGTTCTTTTACACTGGGTCTTATTGTGTTGCTTGCAGGAGACCCGAGATTTTCTGTGAGCAACTTCCGCTGGAGTGCTTAGCATTGGTTTGCACTGCGGTATTTATTTTGGTGCTTGTACTTACTTGACAACATGCTGACACCATGTTTTTTCTAGTTTAATTGTGTCTTTGACGGCTTAGTCAAGAACAGTAATGGAAAGGTATACCCAAAGTTTTCTGCCAAGGAGTACAAATCAATCTATACCAGGATGGTCGGGCTACTCAACAATATCCTTCAGGATCCTTATCACGGACCAAAGTTGGTAGAACAGCTTCATTTGTGGGCTGTGTCCGGATGGCAAGATTTTTATTTTTTTTGGAGTTTTTCAATACTAATCATTTTTTTCCATACAGGGCAGAGTTCTTCAAGGTCGATGGCAATAATGTTTTGAAGCATCATCATCTACAAGTCGTGCTTGATTGAGTTCTTAGGATCTTGACGCTGCATACAATGAGTTCATTTTACTACAAGTCAAACATCATTTACTTTTAGGATACTGTGCATTCATGTTTACCGCTGTGTTGTTTAATTGAATACATATTGTGATCGTCCTTATTTGTACATGCAAAGACAGTTGGGCAATCAATATGTCATTGGTGAATCCTGTACAAGAGCCTTCAATTTGGGTGTCTGTGAATTTGTGTACAAAAATTCACAAGGAGATGTAGTACTGTGGTGAACTGTCCAGTAGGGACCAAGCTGTGGAGCTTGCATGCTGTACAGCTCTGTATAGAGCCTGGGAGTTCACTGATGTGGTTCAGAGGGGCCCTGGAAGAGAACCAAGAACCAGACCATTGGTTCAGTTCTACAAAATCACTGAACCCAGAACCAGACCACAGAGAACTGTTTGCTGTGGTCCGGTCTGAACCTGAACTGAACCCAAAAATTTTCAGTATAGCGACTGGCCTTGTGTAGGTGAAGCCCAAGCCAGAGTGTCCAGCAGCACATACTTCAGTCATTTTGCCACATAGAACACTGGCCCTGGATGTGCCAAAAGGCTGTAGAATCATGGCCAGCCAGTCACCAGCCGGAGTATGTAGAATCCAGCTGGCCGGAGCATGTGGAATCAGTGTGGATATATGCACATTAGTATTACTATGAAAAAAGTAGCTAGCCTTATGGCTACAGGATGTAGAATCCAGCTGGCTGGAGTATGTAGAATTAGTGTTGATGTAGATAGATATATAATTACTAGGATTACTATGATTGAAATAGTGGCTAGCCTTATACCTACAAGATGTAGAATCAAGGCTGGCCGGTCACTGGTTTCAGAATTGAATACTGGTCAGATGACATCTACAACATGTAGAATCAGGGCTGGCCAGTGTGACAATCATATTGGCACTAGGCATGTATACCTGCATAAGCCTTGATTAGGTGGACCAAAGTTATCCCTCATATTATTCACTACTCCCCTATCAGCAGTCTGTACTTGTCTCAGCCATAACCCTTGTCTGACACTAGTCCACACTTTCCCGCACTTTCCTGCACTATGTGCGCGCATTCCCGCAGTGCTATCCATGTTCCCACGACTTATCCTGCGCTATTCCCACGCTTATAGCGCTATCAGAACTACCAGCAATGTGTCTATAGGTGTATCAGCGCTTGTCCGCTCTATCTAGCGCTTGTTCCTGCGCTTAGTGCTTATCCAGCATGCTGTTCTAGCGCTCTAGGATCCCTTTGGAATGTCAGAAACCATTCACTGTCCATCCTACCTCATTGGTATGTAATTCACTTTGCCTTGAGTTTGTAACAAGTGCTACAGTCTTATTACATGTATATCCTATCCCTTTCAAGTCTGAGATGGTATAGTTTACTAGTATAAGAAGCCTATGGTGATTAATTTGACACTACTTCCCTTCAACTGTATTTCCTTCCCCTTAGGTTTTACTTAGAAGTAGTCACCCTTTAGTTGTGCTCTATGGCCCCTATTTGACTTTCCTTACCCTTGCAATCAATACCTTTGATCTCACTCGCTATCCTTTGACTCAGTCCGCTTTTTTGACTTCCGCTCTTTCCCACACATTAGCACTCTGTCTTGCGATGTGCTATTCCCGCGCTCTAGCGCTCTTTTGGGTCTTTCAATCTTGAGTTGTCCTTAGTAGCTATTCCCTCAGGTCTGTCATATACCATATATCCAGGTACAGATCCAAAGATCCAAATCTCAGATCCGATCCAGATCTGTTGGACACATCTGTTGTCCGGTCCACAGATCCGATCTGATCCTCATTTCATTTCCTGTTCATATAACTCTAACTATCGTTCATCTCCTTTCAGTATTCCTGTACACCGGTAATCTGGTTATCCTTTACTTCCGCTGTTCTTACTGATCCACTTTAACTTATACTTCATTCCTGGTTCATGATTTGTGATCCGTCCGACTTACCAATACACTTTGTTTATACTTTGCTTATTGATCATTCTGTTAGTTATCCGTAGTATATAAACCCTTGTACATGCACTGTAGAAGATCAGTTCGAATATCATCTTAGATTGCACTCATCCCATCCGGACTCTAAGTCCCTCCGTTCATCCTCCGTTGTCCGTCCAGACTTGAGCCCTATACTCTTGTCTAATCTGAGACTTAGGATTGATTCTGATAGTCTATATATCCGCCTCTGTCTTCAGACAGTCTTTATCTGTTAGTTTCTAGTTTGGATCCAATCCAGATTAGCCGTTACTCTATATGTCCGATATCCGGAAGCCTTAACGGATCTGTTACGATACCTATCCGTCCTGCTAGACGCGATATCTTAGTACTCTGAAATAAGGGGCAATCCTCGGGAAAGGGGCACAGCGCATGAGCTGAGGCCAAAGCCCTTTGTATCCGATACCTCTTGAGTACGGTCTTAACAGTATATTCAAACTCATACCTTTCCGAGTATACTTACACCTATCATGCCTTCTACTAAGACACGAACAACACTACACGCAGTCGGACTTACATCCCTCTGTCATGACCCGACACCCATAGTCAACACCTTCACCAGTTTCTCTCAGCAACGCATTAGTAACCGTGGACCCACTCAAACCATATCTGAACTCCTTAATTGTTGACACCCGGAAACTCCTACACGCACTCCTGCCGGAGGACCTCTGGACGACGAAGATCCTGATAATGGTGATGATGACAATTTTCCCGGTGGAAACCTGCCGGATGACTTCGGTGGTGAACCGGACAATGATCCGGATGATGACGGCAATGAAGATGACAGCCTAAACCCACAGGACCGCATTATGCTCCGACTCTCAGAAGCCATTGATAACCTTGCTCGCAATAATCATCATGTACCCGCATACGAAGATTCCAAAGTCAAGGTCCGAGAACCAGATACCTTTGATGGATCCGAGCCACAGAAGCTCCATGCATTCTTCGTCCAGTGTGAGCTGAACTTCCAAAGCAAGCCAAAAGCTTTCCGTACCAGATGGGCTAAAGTCAACTTTGCCCAATCCTACCTTAAGGGTATGGCCCTCGAATGGTTTGAACCGGATCTCCTGTCCGACGATTCGGATGATCGTCTGGACTGGGTAAATGACTATTCCGCATTCATGCTTGAACTCCAAACCAATTTTGGACCTCATGACCCATCCGGTGATGCAGAAATGCAACTCGAGTAGCTCCACATGCGTGACGGACAGCACATTAACAAGTATATTGTGGAATTCCAGCATCTCGCTTCGCAAGTCCACAGTTGGGGTGACGGAGCTTTATGACGCCAATTCTACAATGGACTTCTGGCTCGCATCAAGGATGAAATCAATCACTGACACGCACGAAACCTGTTTCGTACATGATCACGGACACATAACATACTCTCGTACAACCTAATACTGCCAATAAAGGCAGTTCTAATTTCTTATGGCTTTATTACAATTTACTATAATTTTCTTGAAGGTTTTTCATAGCTACATGAATTAATCATTCATATTACGTACTTAGCACAGTCAACAAACTGTGTTAAAAACCCTTATCCTTTCATTAGTAAGCACATTCCCGCACCTTTTGGGATTTTCTTGTACATTTTCCCACCTAATGAGCCATATTTGTGTTAACATCTTAACATCTCAACATCTGCGCAGTCATCATCTGAGCAGTGTCAATCTTCTTACATAATCTACATTTTGTTTAATGATTAGTCATAGTTTCTGGACAGTTCCGAATAGCGGTAACCTCTAAGTGAACATTTGGACACTGAGTCATAGTGAGTCACATGGAGTCATTATGAGTCACTATTCCATATTTAGTAGTTGCATAGCCACCTGTAGAGTAGTATATAAAGGGACATAGTTTCCCTCTTTGAATAATAAGATCCCTTTTTAGAGAGTTTGCGTATCTCTCAGAAAGTTTCTCACCCCTTAATATCTGTGTGAATACTGAGTGAATATTAGTTTATTCCCTCCACTCTTTTGTCACTGTTTCCCACGACATTCTGACTACCTGAGGCCACCTCTAAAGTCACATTAAATACTCTAGCTAGTGCACGGTTACTAGTCGTCTAGTGTAGTTTCACTGCAATTCTCTTTACGACACAGGAAATCAATTCTGTGGGGGAGAAATCCACGTTACTTTAATGATTGAGGATGATAAATAGGACTTATACTTTAGTCAACAATATTAAGAGCTTGGCCACTTAAGACTACATCAAGAAGGTTGTATTCTAGTCTGGATCTGCGTCATTACTCATTGTGAGATCCTGAGCAGCAGAAAGGTCAGTTTCGAAGCCACGTATTTGATTGATTCAACTGTATCCGACTCCTAGTTTGATCTCCCCTGATTGTGAGAATAAGGAGTATCCCAGAGATATCGCTCTGACTCACCACAGATCGCTGTAATTCACGTAACTTTCCGTAATCTGCGTACTGTCGCATCATTATCCCTGAAGAACCCTAAAGTACTGCATCAAGCCAGTTAACTGGGCATTGTTCCTGAGATTCCCAAATATCCTCACCCCTTTTTTAGTCATTGGTAAATTTGTTCAAGGAGAACGCAATCTATATTTGCACCCCCACGAACAACCACATTATCAACCGTTGGTATTGTCTGAACGTTGACCGTGGAGGATAAGTGAAATTTGGTGTTTTATTGCCTTTCACATCCTAGTAAGACAGCGGGCCACACACGGTGGGTCTGACAGAAAAACATCAGGGGTGCGAATTGTAATAGCAATTGCAGGATGAAGGGGAGAACTGCCTATGCAGCCATATTGGAGTAAGGAGCATTGATGAAAGGCAAGGCATGATTAAAAGTGTGGATACTGCGCATCTAGGCTACATGAGATATACAAAATGCTGAGCTCAGAAACTTTGACTCACCGAAAATATCAATCACCTTGATTGAGAATGAACTATCAATGGCGGGGGAAGGTGCTGTTGTTTGATGATCACGGTGATGGTAGTGAAGAAGCGCATCTGTAAGGTCATTGTATTGGGTAGACCAGTCAGCAAGTTGCTGGGCTACACGACCACTGCGATCACGTAAGTCAAGACATCTGCAATACATCGGATTGAAGTGAGGATAATGAGAAAATGATATGAAGAGAGATGAACGAACCTTGAGCTTTCAGTTGTGATTTCCTCCAGTTCCGCATACAATGATACCTCTTCTCCCCATGACTAAATGAAAAACCTTCTTCCCCAGGAGGAGGAAACATGGTGTCAACATCCATGGTGTAGGAGGCAGGGCCATGTCCATCTGGTGGGGTAGAGGTGTTCGCAACAGACTGCTGGTTTTCAGCACTCAACAACTGCTCGCGTTCCCTCAGAGACATCTCTAGAGCATGATGTTAGTACAGAATCAGTAGTGTAGTGAGTCCTACTTTTGAGAAGTGATGCTCGGAGTGCATGGGCCTCTTGTTGACGTTTTTGAATGGCGCCCGCATATTGCTTTTGAGGTTTGGTTCCCCCAACATACACAGTACACTTTCTTGAAATGCCACCCACAGAATGACGTGTTGTGCGCCCCGTCATCTATAGGACTGGCTGTCGGTGTCGTTGTCGTCATGAAACTGCGAGTCAGTGTGGTGGAAGAGGTGAGAAGTACAAATTCCCACATACCTCCTTGGTGTAATCAAGGTGAGTATGTATGAGCAGGCATTAGTGCATAGAGAAGGTGCCCAATGAGAGCGTGTGTAAAGAAATAGAAATAATACGGTAGAATAAAGGAAGAATAATTATGAGGATATGAGCTCACTGTTGTTGACGACAAGCAGACAGGTGGCGGCATTGTGCCCATTATGGGAGGCGGCGAAGTTGCCAAAATGGGTGATGAAGTAACCAGCACCCACGGGTGTGCACCGCGGGTGTGCACCGGCAGTGCTCCCTACGAAAAGAATACAAGTAAATAGCTTATAAGTGGCCTATAGCACCGCTGGTGTGCACCAGCAGTGCTCCATACAAATGAGTTTATGCTTTATTCAGTGTTACTAAGATTACCATAAGGCCAGTTTACTAACCAGGTAATGTGGGAAACATAGGTGCAGCTCACCTAAGGGAGGATATTAATAGTACCCTTCATCCCACCTCTGTGCTGCCTGCCACCCACCAGCTGTCAGGAATGCTATTCTGTGCCCGCCTGCCACTGGAGGTGATGTCAATGGCATCCTCGATTTAGACGCCGCTCGAACCATGCATGAGCTGCTCAAATACCCTGCCCGCCTGTCGTTACATCCATTCCTCATCTTCCCCACACATATCTTCTTTCCTGGCTTACCTTGTTCACATTGCCCAGGACAGAGACGGTGTGCAGCTGAGGTAGTATAATATTATCTTTGAGAAGGCTGGTACACCGGAGAAAGGTGGTGAGATCAAGAAATGGCATGGTGGCAAGCTGATGGTGTTGCTGCATGGCAGCAAAGAGGGACATGATGCCCATGGCCCATGCATTGAGATGCAGTGCCTGGCGGCGGCGGCGGGTGGAGGCGTGATGTGACTGGTGGGAGAGATGTGACTGGCAGGAGAGATGTGACTGGCAGGAGAGATGTGACTGGCAGGAGAGATGTGACTGGCAGGAGAGATGTGACTGGCAGGAGAGATGTGACTGGCAGGAGAGATGTGACTGGCAGGAGAGATGTGACTGGCAGGAGAGATGTGACTGGCAGGAGAGATGTGACTGGCAGGAGAGATGTGACTGGCAGGAGAGATGTGACTGGCGGGTGTGTAATGGTCAGCCATGCTCGGGGGACGCCGGTGTCTTCAATCTTTGTCAGAGCATCACCACCTGTACCAAGACCCAAGACCTAAAGTCTCTTTACTATTTAGACTTGTACCAAGACCAGCCATTTCAGAGACGCCCTCGTCGCGGGAAGATGGGTACCACGGATAAAAACTACCTCATTCACCAATGGTGAATCATTTCTTTTCCTCCTCGCCAATGCAGGACTCCCCTTGTGGACGTCATTGCGACACGACACAAATATGTAAGTTTTCCCAATTTTTGGATATCCGTCTCATGATGCTGATATTGTTTTGTAGTGCACCGCTAATGGAGAAAGGGATAGGCTGGCGCAGCCACCACGTCCTCCTCGCCAGTAAGCCCACGCTGGTGTCTCAACTTGAAGCAGCAGCATGCTACCAGCAGGGACATCCAGTGTAATTGGCGGAGCCACCCCAGTAACGTTGCAGACCGGAAGTACCAGTGCAGCTACTAGTAACCGACCCCCTTCCCCATTAGATGTTGAACATGTTCCAGTCATCAGATGCCTTGCAGTTCCCATGTCTTTCACGCACCGGACAAACGAGTTTGTCTGCTTCTAGCTCCCGCTAGGCTTTCTGCCCTTTCCAAACTTTTACGTTATAGTGGATATCACCACATGTACCAAGTATTTGATGACGCATGCAATTTGATGTTTGCTCCCAATAGACGACTGACATCGCGGTATGGTACGCAGCATTCAGATCATAGAGAAAAAATATTCTCGTTAGGTTTCAAACCTGCACCATCAGGAAAGAACAGACTTGGAATCTGTTAACAACTTGGTCATGAGGTCTTATGGTTGATGTTTGAAGACCTCTCCATGAACTCATGCTCGAGGTGCAATCATAGAGAAAAACTATTGCCAGCAGGTTTTGAACCTGCACCATCAGGGAGGAACAGATTTCGAATCTGTTAACAACTTGGCCATGATTCTTATTGTTGACATTCGATGATCTCTCCATGAGCTCATGCACGAGGTGCGATCATGGAGAAAAACATTGTTGGCGGGTTTCAAACCTGCACGAATAGATCTCGAACCTGTTAACCACTTGGCTAAGAATAGCTAAGATAAATCGATGAATTCAAGTAAACATGCCAAACGGGTAAGGTCTGTCTGACAATGTGGCTGGTTGTGCAGGCGAGAATGACAGTAGCACATTGTAGTGTCGTGAACTGCAAATCAGTCTCACTGTCATATACCATATATCCGGTTACAGATCCGATGATCCGGATCTCAGATCCGATCCAGATCCGATGAACATATCCGTCGTCCGGTCCACAGATCCGCTTTGATTCTTATTTCATTTCCTGTTCATATAACTCTAACTATCGTTCATCTCCTTTCGGTATTCCTGTACACTGGTATACCGGTTATCCTTTACTTCCGCTTTGCTTACTGATCCGCTACACTTACGAATCCGCTTTTACTTGTACTTCATTCCCGGTTCATGATTCGTGATCCATCCGACTTACCAATACGCTCCACTTAGACTTTGCTTATACTTTCGTTCATAGCCTCGCACCTTTGCTTATTGATCATTCCGTTAGCCATCCGTAGTATATAAACCTTTGTATATGCGCTGTAGTAGATCAGTTTGAATATCATCTTAGATTGCATTCATTCCGTCTGGACTCTAAGTCCCTCCGTTATCCGTCCGGACTTGAGTACGCTACTCTTGTCTACTCCGAGACTTAGGATAGATTCCTATAGTCTACATATCCGCCTCTGTCTTCGGACAGTCCTCACCCGTTAGTTTCTAGTCCGGATCCGATCCGGATTAGCCGTTACTCTATATGTTCGATATCCGGAAGTCTTAACGGATCCATTGCAATACTTATCCGTTGCGATACAAGACTTATCCGTTACAATACTTATCCGTCTCACTAGACGCGATACTTTAGCTCTCTGAAATAAGGGGCAAGACTCGGGAAAGGGGCACAGCGCACGAGCTGAGGCCGAAGCCCTTCGGATCCGATACTACTTGAGTACGGTCTTAACACTCACAATGATTAGCTCGTGCAAACACGGGAAGAATCTGATGTTAGCGGTGGTCTTCGATGAGACTGCATGTAACAGTAGTGTCCTGTCATCGCTTGATGATAGGCCGTACAGCCCGTATCAATGACAGCTTGTATGCATAATCTCGTGCATATATGGGCCAGTCCACATGTAGGGCTGCACATCCGTGTGGTGGCGATGGTTGCGCGTGACGCCTGTAGATGGAATCAACTTATAGCGGTCAGAAGAAGTCGTGTAGTAATCGAGTGCACTGAGAGGGTAGTTGCCAGTCAATGATGCCAGCAAGAATGAAAAACTGCTTCTCCCTCAGGATGAATGTACGATATTACCGCAGCCATCAAGTCAATGATGGCGAAGCACATTGCAAGTGACCACCGCGCTACTCCTGAAACACTAACTTGCATGTGAGACACCACGTATCTACAGCAAGCCCAACATGTGGATTCAGGGATAGTATTAATATTCTGTAGGAAATGCAACTTAGTGTCTACTCACCTTAGTGCACGCAAGTAACCCCTCCCTCGTCGACGCTCCTGCTGACTGAGACATCGAAAAAGATTCAATGGCAGCCATCACTGGCACTTACAAAGTAGCGTCCCAAGCGCCAACTCAAAAGGAAAATGCCTCATAGACTCGAACTGACGGTTAAGGGTCATGAGAAATTGGTGAATGAGGTAGTTTTCATCCGTGGTACCCGTCTCCTCGTTGCTTTCTCCCACGACAACAGTAGGATCTGGACTTGCAGATTCCCGAAAGAGGTGGGCAGCGAAGCAGTTGAAATGTAGCTCGAATCCGTGTAACCGAAGTTTTGAAGAAGCGCACGCACGTGAGTCACATTCAAATTCATCCATGCACTTCTCGCCATTCATAGACATTGCTAATGAGTGGGTGCACAAGTATTGTGCGTGCAGCACGAGTGATCGGGTGCGAAGTGCAAATGCATATCATTGCAAGGATTGTGCTGAGCGTGGCTATAAGCGTCAGTAAATGAAATGTCTTAGATCTTGTTCAATGCGATGTCACGAATATAGAGGCAAAACTTGATTCAACGCGATACATTGTACAATTCGTAGCCAACACACGAGATACGGGCGACATTCCACAAGACCAGCGACTGAGTGACCCGGCATGTCAGGGTTCCAAATGAAGTTGCTACCAAATTCAAGTTACTAACCTCAGACAACAGATGTTTCAGTGCGCCAATTCCAAAGTTCCTTCCTCACGCCTTGGTGATCTTGTAATGTCCAGTGTTTGCATCCCGCGTGAGGTTCCAGGTGGTGGTCTCAGAAAGTTTGGCGAGATCCATCTCCCACAACATAGGGGTCTGAATTTCACCTCTCAAGATTTCGGTCTCTTGATAATCTGAGGTAATGTAGGCACGCAGTTTGGGAGTGAACTGTGCGGTAACGTTGCTGTCGTCTCTGTGTGCTGCACTGTGAGCTCCCTGGGAGAGAAATAGGGGGACGACGGCGGACCCAACTTCGTTGAAGTACAGCATCGGTGTAGGCAACAACTGTCCAGGGCTCATGAAGCCTGGAGGCGAAATTCACTGAGGTTAACTAACAGGAAAAAATGGCGGGTCACAAACCTATTGCCAAGTCCTCCTTCACCCCAGCGTCATTGGTAGCTTTCACGTAACCGGCGGTTCCTTCCACAGGACCCTACACGGGTTGTTGTTAAGACAAAGATAGATGGAAACCAAACTTACAGAGAACTTGAAAACGTTACCGGTCTTGGTCAGGATGGTTTGTTGGCCGACCTGCATGAATGCTTGCATTGGTGCTAGGAATCGCAGAGTAGATGAGAACCTCTCACGTTTAACTGTACAGCGGTCGCAGCGCCAACGATATTCCCATTTTCGACCTGTGGTTTGGTGAAAGCAAGCCTATAAGTTGGATCAGCAAAGTTGGTGAGCACAATTTGCATCCTGAGTCTTACTGGCTTGTGTAGGTCGCTTTCATCTGATACGGGCCTGGGACGAAGGTCATGTGTAAGTTGACTTCCACGCAGTAAGATGTGAGTACACCCACCCTCGTCTCCGAATGTGCTGACCCTAAAATATTGTAAGGTTCGAATTAATCGCAGGCGAAATCGAGGGTGCTCACCTCCAGACTACGGGGGAGTGGTCGCCCACGCCAGGCACCGGGCCATTGAAAGTGAGCAGAAGATCCGACTGCTTTCCGAGGTCATTTCTGGGAGACGACGGGGTAAAAAGGTAATGATGACGGCGCGATATCGCTGCAAAAGGCACTCACGACTGAAAAATCAAGTTTCTGACAAAGACGGTCGACATTGTTCGAGACTGTACAACACAAAGTGCGGTAGATAATGTGCGTGGAGTGTAAAGTTTCGAGTCCTGCAGTTAGTAGCCCAGCAAGCCTTTCTTTTATAGGCCCGTGGCGCATCGAGGCCTGGGAGAGATCTCTAGAAAATGCACCTACCCCATAGCAGGTCGCGTGTCGCATTAGCAAACATTCCTCGTATGCGAAATTGCTTCTCGGATTCCAGGAATGTTTGCGTAAATTCTTTTGCGATGGAAGCAATCTCCAGTCGTGCTGCCAGATTAGCAAACATTCCTGAATTTACTCAACATCATGATTCCTTCCGCACTTCGAGCGATGTCGAAGAATGTGGCCTGCGCGACAGTGACTCCTAGTATGCTGGCATTCTATTACAAAATAATTTACCAAACATTCATTTGAGCGATTTCGGCTGCAAGGAATGTTTGCTAACCTGGCAGCACAACTGGAGATCACTTCTGTTGCGAAAGAATTTACACAAACATTCCTGGAATCCGAGAAGCAATTTCGCCTACGAAGAATGTTTGCCAATGCGACATATGAGGGGCACCGCTGGACAATCAGCAAATTGTCTTGACTATGTACAAAAATTTAAATGTGATATGTACAAGATGGAAAATCGTGGCAGAATGGCACAGTGAGGGACTTGGTGGATAGCGACTGGCCTTGGATGAGCGAAGCCAAAGCCAAAGCGTTCAGCAGAGCGTCGTGAGGCAGACCACATTCGCAGCACCAGCTGCAGGATAAGGGTCTGTTAGCTGAGGCAAGAGAAACGCTAGATGGCGGGGATGGCAATGGTTTCGAATCTGCAAAAGTTCTCATCAGGGGCTGGTATTACCCCAATTGCACTGACCTTCTTGTTCTGTTTAGGACTGATACTACTGAGCTTATATACCTATTGGGAGTAAAGGACTTAGCACATCGAGATCCTAAACCCACTCACCGAGGACAGTTTGACCAACAGCTGAACCGAAGTTACTGAACCTGGCGTTCGGTTTGGCGTTTAGAAAATGGGCAGAGAACCGGACTAAAGGGGACTTCAGCAGCACTGCATACTGAGTCAGAATTTTTTTAGGCCTACAGGGTCTACACCGTGGAATAGTGTTGCCGTGAGGTGAAGTGAACCGAGACGAAGTGTCACTTCGTTACTTCGAAAATCGAGGTAGAACGAACCGAAGTGCATCGAAGTTGGACCGAGTGACGAGCCAATAGATCGAGCAACCAAATCATCAGTGAAACTGAGCCTGTCTTGCCTGTAGGAGAACTTGATGATTTACAATGCTTCCATCACCTGCGGTGAGAGTCTGCTCCGACGTAATGTGCACGTCTCTTTGCTTGATGAAAAGACGTGCTCGCAGGGTACAGAGGAGACCTGTGCGGATAAAATATCCATGGCAACACAGAAGTGGAGTGGGTAAACCCTTTCCATGCGCTGTTTGAGATCTGCATCAATGTATTGTGTTTTTTTAGCTGAAACTTGAGCATACCTCCCAATATCGGATGAAGTCCGTCACGCACTCGCCCGCGTGAAACATGACCGGTTCACGTTCATAACGTTCAAGCTCCTGCAAGGCATCCCGCTGATCCTCTTCGAGTTCCTTAGTCCGCCGTCCGCAGATGATGGTTGAGGCGATGACGATGGTGGTAGTGTCGAAATAGGTGATGTTGTGGAAGTGATGCTGATTCTGGCTGAACGATGAACGATGAACCAAGACGTGGCTGAAACACGTGACACTGCGTGTGCTTGAACTTGAGCTGCGCGAGACGCAGAGTATTGATGTGGCCGCTGGTCACCGGTCCGGTCATGGGTAGCAGTATTGAGTTAGACTCGCGTCCTGAAGTTCGAAACGCAGTCATCTAGTAGTAGATAGTTAATATGAGTGTGCAGTAAGGATTGTGACAACTTGAAGACTTCTGAATACATTTGCAGCTTCATACAAGTTTGAGCGCACGCAAGTACTACTGTGAGGTATCACACTGTCACATCATATCTAAACCATCACTGACAAATCTGGTGTAGATAAAGCACCTCGTTGCCACTTCGTAGATTATCCTGAACGAGGTGCAACGAACCGAGGTGGATCGAACTGCGAACCGAAGCGAACTTACCTCGATATCACCTCGCTTCGACGGCAACACTACCGTGGAATGCCTACTAAGCCTACAGAGGCTAGCCTATCAGAGAGACTCGCGACCTAAAGTAGGCTGTCACTGTCTATATAGTCAAGAGTCAAGACCTGCGCAGTGCGCACCTAAATTGTGCGTTTTCCTAATGTGGTAGATCCCTGGATGTTAATCTAACTGTCTTTTTGTGTTTCTGTCTACAGTACACAGATAAAATACAGTACTCTAGCCTGCCCGGGGCCATGTCCGGTGATTTATTGATGAGTGGCACCAATTTCTCATCCCTTCATCACGCCTCAGTGATCGCGTAACGTCCACTTGGGTCCCACGTAATATTCCAGGTAGTAGACTGGTTAAGAGCGGTGAGGTCGCGCTCCCAAATTGGAGGGGTGTGGATTGCAGCTCGCAAGATGTCATCCTCTTGATAAGCTGGAGTAATGTAGGCGCGTAGCTTTGGAGTGAACTGTGCGGTAATATTACTGGCATTTCTGCATGTTGCACTGTAAGTTCGGTGGAGGAGAAATGAAAGGAAGAATACAGACTCAAACTTGGGGAAGAAGAGCGCCGGCTCAGGTATCAACCCACCGAGGTTCGTAGTGCCTGGAGGTGGAATTCACCGAGTCAAATAAAAGGAAAAAATGGCGGTCACAAACCGACTGCAATCTCCTGTCTCTCTCCAGTGTCGTTGATGGCCTTCAAGGCACCAGGGAGTCCTGCTTCAGGGGGTCTACACGACCAATTCGTTGGTTGTTAAGACAAAGATCTATGAAAACTTACAGAGAAATGGAAGACATGACCGGCTTTGGTCAATGTGGTTGTTTGGCCGACCTGCATGTGATTGCTTGCATTGGTACCAGGAATCGCAGAGTAGATGAGAGCCGCTCACGTTGATCTCGACAGCGGTTGTAGCGTCAACGATGCGCCCATTTTGGACCTGCGGTTTGATCAAAGCAAACCTATAAGTTAAATCAACCATACTGATGAGCATAGTTTGCGTCCTATCTTACTGGTGCTTGTAGTTCACTGTCAGCGAGTACACGCCTGCCAGGACGAGAGCCGTGTGTAAGTTGGCAGCTACCAGTAAGCAGTAAAGATATGGGTACACCCACCCTCCGCTGCGAATGTGGCAACCCTGAAATGATATTGTGAGGTTGAAGTAATCGCAGGCGAATCAGAGGGTACTTACTTCCAGACTACAGGAAAATAGTCTTCGTACATGCCAGGCATGTCGCTATCGAAAGTGAGCAGAAGAGTCGATTCCTTCCCGATGTTATTGCTGGGAGACGGTCGAGTAAAAACGTGAGGAAGGTAACGCGATGGTGTTGTATTGCAAAGGCACTCACCACTGAAAAACCAATTTTGTGACAGAGGCGGTTGACATTGTTCGAGATTTTAAAGCACAAAGTGCAGTAGAGATGATCACTGTGCGTGGGTTGAATAGCTTTGAGCTCAGCAGTTAGTAGCTCAGCAAGGCTGTCCCTTATATGCCTGGGGCATATTCAGGCCTGGCTACAGGCACTGGATAAGTCCGAGGGAGATTGGGCTGATCAATCTCTAGAAAATACACTTACTCCACGGTAGGTCGTGTGTCGCATTAGCAAACATTCCTCGTAGGCGAAGTTGCAATTTGGATGCCAGGAATGCTTCCATAAATTCTTTTGCAATGGAAGTAATCTCCAGCTGTGCCGCCGCAAGTTAGCAAACATTCCTCGCAGGCGAAATCGCTCGAACAGATGTTTGGTAAATTATTTGTAATGGAAGTCTACATAGAAGTCGCTGATCTCCATAATATGGGAGAAGGCCCCGGCTGCTCTCTATAATGTTCGTCAGGACAGGTAGGACCTTCCAAAATGGCGACAGTCTGACAAGGATTAGGAAAACGGTCGCGTTCTCGCGCATTCGGGGAGTAAACTTCAGGCATATGCTAAGTTTTCAACATGCATCCACCAGGAATTGAGCTTTGGCAACTTCTGTAGAACCGTAACGGCAGTAAGTGCATTTCACCGCTTCTCTGCATCATGTGATAACTTGCACGCTCCACCACGGTCGCCCACTTGTACCTGTAGATTTAAGGGCTACATATAGTATGATACATCATTGTACTGTGGAAGATAGGTTCCCTACAAGTCTGGCTCGCCGTCCATGGGGAAGTTCTCCTCGAATAAGTGAAACAGGCCGTCCATGGCCAAATTCTCATATGACGAGGGAGTGATGAGAACTAGAAGCTCTGAGGAACTGGAAGAAAAAGTGAGTGGGGGACGGCATTGGCAAGATGTAGAGTAGGACCGCCACAACCTTGTGTTGTCAGGACTTACTAGGCTTAGTAATACTAGAGAATACAGCCAAGGAGTTGCTAGGGCTGACTAAGTAACGTCACCTTGCACGTAGCTGATCTATCTCGGAACAGTAACTTACGGTCTATGAGGCAAATAGATCTGGGGCTGGTCATGAGTCTACCTACATACGACGTCAAACGAAGCAACTGGTAAGCGAGCACGCCTAATTCGTTCGAGCGATTTCTGCTAACCTAGCACATGACTGCCATTACAAATTACGTCAACATTCCTGGAATCCGAAGAGTAATTTCAAGTTCGCCTACGAGCAGAGGAATGTAATGTTTGCTAATGACACGCGCCATGAAGTAAGTGTATTTTCTAGAGATCAGCCCAAATTTCTCCCGGGCCTCAATTTGCCCCAGGCATATAAAAATTGAAGACAGCCTTGCCGGACTCTAACTGCAGAACTCTTGAGAAAGCTCTTCAATCCACGCACAATCTCAAATACATTATGTCCAATGAGTCAGCCCCCTTTGTCAAGAACTTGATTTTTCAGTCGTGAGTGCCTCTGCAATGCAGCGCTATCACGCCGTCCTCCTCACTTTTTTTACCCGACCGTGTCCCAGAAAGGACCTCGGAAAACAGTCGGATCTTATGCTCGTTTTCGATGGCAAGGTAGATGGCATGGGCGATCATTTTCCCGTAGTCTGGAGGTAAGTACCCTCTGTTTTGCCTGCGATTACTTCAAACCTTGCAACATTTTAGGGTCAGCACATTCGGAGACGAGGGTGGGTGTACCCACATCTTTACTGTGCAGTAGCCAACTTACGTATCACCCTCGTCGCAGGCCCATACCAGATGAAAGCGACCTACAGGAGCCAGTAAGATAGAATGCAAATTGTGCTCATCAACATTGCCGATCCAACTTATAGGCTTGCTTTCACCAAACCACAGGTCGAACATGGGAGTGTCATTGGCGCTGCAACTGCTGTCGAGATCAATGTGAGCGGTTCTCATCTACTCTGCGATTCCTAGCACCAATGCAAGTATTCATGCAGGCCGGCCAACAAACCATCCTGACTAAGACCGGTAACGTCTTCAAGTTCTCTGCAAGTTTGGGTTGCATCCATCTTTGCCTTAACAGCTCACGAATAACCCGTGTAGGCTCCTGTGAAAGGAACCTCCAGTTACTTGAAGGCCACCAATTTAGCCGGTGCGAAGCAGAACTTGGCAATCGGTTTGTGTCCCGCCAACTTTTCCTTTTATTTGAAACTCAATGAATTCCGCCTCCAGGTTTTATGGGCCACGGAGCGTTGTTGCCTACGCCGATGTTGTACTTCAAGAACGTTGGGTTCGTCGTCTTCCCTCTACTTCTCCTAGGGAACTCACAGTGCAACGCAGAGATGACGATTTCGTTACCGCACATTTCAAGCCAATGCTGCGCGCCTACGTTACTTCGGATTATCAAGAGACCGAAATCTGGAAGAATAGCCCTACGAACTCTACTTTCTTGTGGGAGGAGGATCTCACCGATCTTGACGAGACCACTACCTGGAACCTCACGTGGGATGGACACACTGGACGTTACACGATCGCTCAGGCATGATGAAGGAACCTTAGAATTGGTGCGCTGAGATATCTGTTGTCTAGATCAGTATCTAAAATTTGGTGGCAACTTCATTTAGAACCCTGACAGGCTTAGTCACTCAGTCGCTGGTCTCGTAAAATATCGGTCGTGTCTTGTGTGTTGACTCTGAATTGTTCAATGTATCGTGTTGAATCAAGTTTTGCCTCTGTATTTGTGACACCGCATTGAACAAGATGGTTCTGTACCCACAGAACAAGTTCTGAACCTCGAACCGAACCACGGTTCGGGAGGGTCCAGAGGTGCAGAATATTTCGATCCACCTGAGTGGCACCATTAATCCCGCAATGTGCAAACCAGAGTCTACTGGAAGTGGAGCATAAAGAGTTACCTGTGCGTTAAATACCTGTACTAAAGGAACTCATCGGACGAGCACTTAGCTTACCACTAACAGTGATCTTGTACAAAATGCAAGTTGAACAGACAGACAAAGCATGTGTCGGTGCATCATATTATCGCAGGAGACTCGTTTGTGAGAAATGTCAAATAATCAAGGTTAATTTGAAGTTTTCGCCATACGTACCAGAATGCCTTTCCGGCTTGAAAGATCCATCGATGTATACACCTGAGCTTTATCCTTTCTTGTCGTCATATTACTCCCTGGGCTTCTGTGTTTATTGTCGTCATTCATTCCGTATTTTAGAATATCAAAATTCATCCTGTTCGCAAATGTAACGTAGCTTCTAGTGCAAAGTACATTCTTCCGCATGTCATCAAATGCCGAATGCAATAGTCGGAGCAGAGTAAATGGCGCTGACGACCTGAACACCCCCCTCCTCACCTGCTCCCGCTGCAACGTACAGCGGAACAAAATGCTCAGCAGAGGGGTGCGCCTGCGCGAAGCCATCGTGCTTCATGAGGTCAAACAGCGACTTCTTCCGTTCGTCAAGCTATCAAGGATAAAAAATAAGCAATTTTGAAAAGAGATGAGTACGCAGTACAAACATGGGACTTGGATGCAGCCACTGTTATTGCCTTATCGAACATCGTCACATTGGGTGATGCCGACTTCTCTGAAAATTGCTTTCGATCATGAAGATTGTGGACAGTCAGACCACCTGCTAAGATGAGAATCCCCTCTTCTCTATGAGTACGATACGTCAGAGATGTCGGCTCCTAGAAGGTACGAACGTAAAGAGTAGACCCAGATACGAACCTGAGTTTCGACAGGGCCTTTCCAACCGCCCAGTTCTGTTCTGGATCACTAGACCTTTCAATGGATACTTGAATGATAGGCACGTCGTCGACCTTGTCCCCAAACATAAGCTTGAAAGGAACAAAGACACCATGGTCGAATCCCGGGCCTTGACGTGGCGGAGAAGTCCGGCCATCCCATCCGCGGTTCTCGCGAACGCCAGAGAGCTTGGCTTCTTCGCCTGCCTAAAGACATTTCAGAATTGGTATGAAGAAAGTGAATGACTTTCTGTTGAGACCTCTTTGTACAACAGGACGACGCGCTCAGCTAAAGCGCGGTTTCCTTTGGATTCGAATGTTTGTTGATAATAATAAGGCTCAAACCCGAAGTAGTCCATGAGTAAAGGATTCCTATCTCCGTAATCCGTCACTGCCAGACCTGATATCAGCGAATGGCTCCTTGGAAGCACACTGGAATCCTTACCGTGACGTACCCCTATCGTTTCCCAATGAGCGCTGAATACGACAATGCCCTTCGGCTTGTACTTGGCCCTCAAAGCTGGGCCAAAATCGCGCAAGAACTTTGCGAGATCGCCCTCAGGGCCCACGGCGCTTGGCATGTGTGAGTTTGTGACCTTCTGCCCGGCAATGAGCATCGGGGACCCGTGCCCAAAGAAGAAAGCAGGGATTTTCTCCGGAGTAGAAGGGAGTGCATCTAACGCAGTTCGCCATTCGCTTTGTGACTTTGGAAAGGACATTATAACGCTGAAGTTAAAGAGAAGGAATGGCGTTGTAACTTGAACAGCCCTAGCAGCTAAGCAGCCGCTATCCCTCCGATGATTCCGATCTCATTTTGATCAGGATGTACCTGCCAAAATTGAAAGCGGTAATTTGCCAAGTAATAACCTTGTGCTGATCAACATTGTCATACATTGCAATCAGGTGATTGGTAGCGTGGCCGAGTTGGTCTAAGGCGTTGGATTTAAGAATCGATCTGAATCCCAATGGGCGAAAGTCCGCGCGAGTTCGAACCTCGCCGCTACCATGAAGCTTTTTGATCTGATATTTTTTTTGATCCTTGCTCATAAAACAACCCAACGGTGCGCATGCCTTCACAATAAAAATATAGGACCAACGATATGGTGATGACTACGGTTGGACAACAAAACAGCTTTGGTACTTCTCGATTTCGCCCCAGTATCTCCATACAAAAAATTCACTCTCAGAAAAGCTACTAGGAAATCAACACACAAGCTGAACCGAATTGTGCTGCATGCTTACCCCTTCAATATTGTCTTCTCCTCCTGGACGCTGTCGCACCCTATAGCTAGGATAAGTGAAGAGGAGACAGCGAAGTAAATGACACGTACTTGCGAGTGGGAATAAATTGAGCCTGGGGTGGTTCACTACCGAATAAATTGCTAATAGAGTCATGACCGCCCGGCTGCGTTCTTACACGTCTAGTTAACCGCATTAGTTCGCATCGCAAGACTGCTGGCGTTGTAATACCTCGTGGGTTTAAAGTCGTCCGGGCTGCCCGGAGAACTAGTTTGAACAGGCTGAATACTTTATGTTAAAATTGGAAAGTGGAGCAGCTGAATGTCACTGCACCTGTGTCGCGGTTGGTGGCGGCGGCGCAGTGGATAATGCATCATCTGTGAATTCTTCCGCAAGAAGTCTGTTGCTTTCTGATGAGGAAATCGTGGGACTCGTGACTGCCTCTGTTTACTCCGACTTGTCAAAGACCAATAACCAGGTCACAAATTCCAGAATCACCAGGTGGCTCCTCTTCGGTGCTCGTTAGCTTGCCAAATTTGGCATATCCTGTAGATCAAATGAGCACTTCTCATTGAGAGAATTGTTCTCGATTATTCACGAGGCAGCTTCTGGATATTGCTAAAGCCAGGATCAACAGTGGTCCCTGTGTATCTGGATGGATCCTGAGCCTCGCAGATATCAGGAAGACGTTTGACAGGCCACTTACTTGAGGAACTCGACCAGGCTGCGCTTGGTGAAGACAATGCTCGTGTTATCCCAGTCAAGCATCCCTATGATGAAATGTTGGGCGCGTTTCACGACGAGCCATGAATGAACATACCGAGGTTCATCGGCCAGTCCTTCTCCTTAGACATATCAACAGCTTGCGAAGGGGTAAACCTGTATGAAGTCATGCAGCATATTGAGGCATGGTCGTTATAAAACACGTACTTCGAGGTCATTCCGATCGCGCAGTATAACAATATCAAAGTCTTTATAAGTTTGCGAACGATGGTCAGCTTGAAAGACGCGTTTGCTTGAAGATACGGTTGTTCCCTTTTCCGGCCATTCCAACCGTGGAAAGTAACAACCTAAGTCACGGTGCTGCCGTCAAACTTGTCACCACCAGCCTGCTCAACTGTGCGATCGGCCTGCGGAATCTACAAATGTTGGCGAGGTGTCGTTTCCAGGCTGCGAATGCTCTACGTCCCTTGACAAGAACCATCACATGCAGAGCATCCAATTTTTACACGGACCCCTCTAGGAACCAAGAGCCTGAGGTTTCTACATCGCCTGACATTCCCCCAGAGCAACGCGAAATTCTGGATAGAGCGCTGCGCGTGGATCAGGCTGGTGAAATTGCGGCTAATTGGATTTATCGAGGACAATTCGCTGTCCTTGGCCGCGACCCACGAGTTGGGCCCTTGATTCAGGTGAGCATCTCGAACAACAAACTAACCATGCTCAATCAACTTATTCTGGCGGAAGGAAATGTGGGACCAAGAAAAACTGCATTTAGAAGTGATGGACAAATTACAGCTACAACATGAGGTACGACCAACATTGTTGTCCGACGTCGCCAAAGCTGCTGGCTATGCGCTCGGGGCGGCGACGGCCCTTATGGGCAAAGAAGCAGCCATGGCTTGCACAGAGGCAGTGGAGACTGTCATAGGGGAGCACTACGATGAGTCTGTCCTTGATTTTAGCTGTTATGTCCGCAAATCTTACGCTCCGGTAAATTCAGCCAACTGAAAGACTTTGAGTTGTTGCCATCATCCCATCCAAGCATCCCACTTTTGAGGGACGTTATCAAAGAATTTAGAGATGACGAGTTGGAGCACTTAGATACTGCTGTCGAGCATCACTCTCAGCGAGCTCCTGCGCATGCACTACTTAGCGCAGTTATCGGTGGTGGTTGCAAGGTGGCCATAGAGTTATGCAAGAGATTCTGAACTACGCTGGCCTTGATAGAATCCCGAAATAGAGACGTGAATTACGGTGGATGGGATATACGTTACGCCCTGGGCAGAGAGTGCGATATATGGTCGAAAATCACGCCTGTGCCAATGCCTCCCCTTTTCGCTTGCCTGCCCAGTTCCATTTCAACTGCAATAACCATATCAGTGAATCATGCAATATATGTAAAGGAGGTAATGTACGTGTGTTTTGCTTGCCATGTAACATATCGCTCCGGGCACGAGTACGAACCCACACATCGTAACCCACGTTGTCCGTGGAGTAAATCTGAAATGCTTATAGGCATCTTCACGCTAGAAACAGAGGAAACTTCAGAAAGACGGAGGCACGCGGTTGAACCCGACTGACCATACGGTTCCATCTTTCAATTGCGGGATCAACCTGGAGGACGTATTAGAGAATGGGGCTTGAGTTTAAGAATACGTCCAAACCTTCAAAAAGCCTTGGTTCGTTTAGAAGTTGTCAGTATATCGTCCAGCATTGTAAAATTATGAACTACTCACTGGGTACTGCCATGGTCGTACTATTGAAGGAGTGGTGTTGTTGTAGCTTGTTTGGCCGCGCTTATTGGCATGTTTCTGTCCGCTGCATAGTTCCTCGTGAATATCTTTTGCTTCTTGACTTTCATCATCTTTCAAGAGCATTTGTGTTAACTCTTTTTATTCCATGGCTTATAACCGTGACTGGGATAAAGGAAAGGACAACTGGGACAGTGGGGCATGGACTACTGACAGAGGAGGCAGAGGAAGGGATGATGACTACGGGGATGGAAAGCGTAGGAAATTTAACAATGGCGTGCGTGGTCCCTCTGTCAAACTTATTCCTTTTCTCATTCATGCTCATTAGGGATACGACGCGAGCCACGCTTACGAAGAACCCAGCTACGAGACCTCCTACAATCAACAGTCTCAGGGCAGACCACAGGACTTTGCACAGGATCATTCTCACGACGACAGGCACCAAAAGGGCTTTCAAGGAAAAAAGCGTCTGGTCCCGAGCGAACCCAGCCCCCACGTCATCTTCCTAGGACTGGATCCTGACTTTTCTGAGGCGGATGTTTGTCGACGCGCTTTACATATCTTCGAGTACCGAGCTGAATCTATGCTATACTTTAGCTGCAGGCGTACCTGTCCAACAATGGATGCAACATTGAAACGGTCACCATTATAAGAGACAGATCAACAGGCACTTGCCCATTCGTATTCATATTCATGCCGTGCATTGACGTTTGTGGCCATTGAATTTTTGAAGGTATCTCAAAGGGCTTCGGCTTTGCCCAGTTCGCGAGTGTTGAACATGCCCGTGCATTTGTGGATCCCATTTTCCCGTTTATTCAAGTGCCTCCACCCGCTTCGCACGGTGCTTCAGCGACAGCAACATTCTATAAGGCCCTTGAGACCGGCATTCCCCACAATGGTCGACGGGTCAAGATCGACTACTCGCAAAGTGCTTTGCCTGACAAAGCTCGTGGTCGCCAGAACATGAACGATGGCACGCGTGACATTGGCAATACCCAAGGACCAGTGCTACTCTTCCGTGGTCTAGATCCGCTGTCGGGGCCGCAAGCGATTGCTCAGGCCATGATGAATTCAGCAGGCCCCGGGACAAACGGAGCTAAAGGCATGAAACGGATTGTCCTCATTAAGGATAGGGTCACATTGGCCAGCTTCGGTTTCGCATTTGTTGAATTTGTCGACAATCAGGTAACACGACGAGGAGTAATACGACATTGGTTTTCTGATCCTGGTTTCTTCTACAGTCTGCAGCTTCAGTACTGGCCACTAGCATGTCTCCTCAGATTCACCCTTCAGGCTTTCGAATCTCCGACAAGCCGGTCGCCGCTTCGTTTGCTCATCAATATTCATTCCAACCAGTTGATCATATGCTGCGCGACGAAACTGCAATTCCGTCATCCATCAACCTGGGTGGAGTTGAAGGCGCATTTGTGAAGTATTGGGATGACTCTGCCATGGTTGCTGTTTTGGAGTTCAAAGTGGAAGAACCTGCACAACCCCAGGTCCAACCCTCAACCGGACCCGTCAAAGAGAAGAAAGAAAAGAAGAAGAGAGGTATGCCAGCGAAATCCTTTCTCTCATCAATTAACTGGTGGAATAGATGATGCCTTGCAAAAACCTCCTGCGCCTTCAGTATTGCCCATCTCGGATAAACCTGTCACGCTTAATTTTAACAGAGGTGCTCTCGGAAGTAAGCTTAATGTATCAACTGCAAAGGCTCCGGGACAACTGTCACTGGGTTTTTCCACCGATGACTTCGCCGATGACGAAGATGACGCCGAGCCAACAACCTCTACAGAAGATAACAAAGGTTCTTCCATATGTTCCCTGCAATTATCTGAGTATGAGAATTGACATTTGTCTTATGGCAGTGACAGCGTCAAAGATGGTCGCTCCGCTCATCACAAGCAAGAAGGTTCGTTTGTTGCCACATGATTTGTCAGGAAAATAATTTTCGGCGTTCGCATCAGACCGTCAGCAATATCCAGAAATGGAATCAGGTTCAAGAAGAACTTAAGGATGGCCCGAATGCCAATGCACCGGTTTGCAGACGTGTTATAATACGAAGAAAAGGCAGCTGATCATGCAGGTTCCACAGGCCAATCCCCCGGTTGTTGTGACGCCGACTGTGGTTTCAACAGTACCATCCAGAGCACCTTCTCCGGAACCTGTAGAAACCGAATTCGAGTTCTCTGATACTACTGCCATGACATGCTTGCTCTGCGCCCGCCAGTTCAAGAGCCTTGATCAATTGAAGCGTCACAATAAGGAGTCCAGTCTCCACAAGGCGCGCCTTTTGTTAATGCAATATTGCCAGAGTGAGCTGACGATTGCTCTCGTTGCAATCTATCCTTTCTGTTATACAGAAAAATTTCAAGGACGCTAATCTGAGAGACGTCGCACGGGAAAAGGCCGTAGCTGCTCGTCGAACTACCGACAAGGCTCCTGAACAGCCCAAATATCGTGATCGAGCATCAGAACGACGTATCATGCATAACCAGCCTGACGTACCTTTACCCGACAATATTGTCAGTACACTCGGTAAGAAGAGACGACACGTTGAAGGCCCGCCCCCGCCTCCTTCACCCCCGCCAGTGGTCAATCCTGGACAGGATGAGGCAAATGTCGGCAATAAACTCTTGAAAATAATGGGTTGGAAGGAAGGTTCTGGGCTGGGCACCGATGGCGAAGGCAGGGTGGATCCAATGTAGGTATTACATATTTTATGGCTTGACGCTGCTGAAACGCGCGACTCCAGTCAAACAAACATTTATGCACAAGGGGTAGGTTTGGGCGCCAGTAAAGGCAGGGAGTTGGGGAAGTATACCGATGGTTATGCTGGTTATGTGCACATGGCACAGGATGCGGTGAGTGTAGTCACTTTCAGCCAAAATCAAATATATGACATGGTGCCTTGGTACTCATCTAAATACCCTAGGCGAGAGAAAGATTTGGAAGCTAGTAGCCGCGTTGCTCTAAGACGCATCTCAGCTTGGATATCCTGTCTTACTCGTGATAATTTATGATTCATATGATTTGTACACATCGAGTGATCAAGTGAAAGTGAAAGTAGAAGTAGAAGTAACTATAACGCTAGAAGCCACAAAAAGGGCGCAAGTAAGATAGTCAAGTAATTGCTTGATGACGAGAATGCGCCATTGTGCTGAGCTACTGTACCGGCAGCTGATGCGGACGGTCCACTAGACCCTAAAGACAGAAGAGTAGATGTCACAACAGGAGATGTAGGAGAGGGCGTGAAAGTAGCCACCCCTTCCTCAACCGTGAAGTAGGTTCCCTTAATCAAATGATTAGTGACAGAAGATGATGTATTACTCGCAGAATGCATACGGCAATTAGAGGTCCAATGTTTGAGGCCTTATGAGCGTTCCGTTAATGAGATATCTGCATGAGGAAACGACCACACCTTAACATAATCCGCGAGGTGGCAAAATCCTGGATCGTTGTTTTGGACAGGGAACCCCTGCGGCGGAGGGACGGCTGGAAACGGCTGAGCGTAGAGTAAGATAACATAACTACAGGGATTGTCAGAATCAGTTGTCCTTTTGAGGAAGAAGACAATAGTAACCGATGAGGTCCGCTCCCGGACGGCGGAGTTGGACCCCTGTACTGTTCTACCGCCACTCTTCCGTATGTTAATACAGAGTGGTCTGTACAGACAATACGTTAACCTCAACAAACCAGATGCAATTAGGAGCACGTCCGTACCTTGTACGGTTACACCATTGACAATCCAGTGACAAATCTGACCCCGCGGGTCAGTATATCCTGGAGCCCAGGCATCAACCATCACAAGAGTGTATTTCTCATTTAACAAGGTTGTCATATTGGCGGGCGTGATAGTGAGGCTTGGGGCAGTTTGCGTTCCTGGCACGGGATGAACAAAATCCTACGGCGAAGAGAATTCGCTTACGAGACTTTGGAAGAAGTTGACCCGGGGTCACGATACCGCCGCCGGTGTACGTTGCAGTCAGAAGCGCAGTAGGGGTGAAGTTTGCCAATAAGTATGGCACCAGACCAGCCCCCTGAAAGTGAGCGCGGATAACTTCTATTCCTAGAGTCGTGTTGTCGGACTGGGCTGCATGCACGAGGGGCGAGGCGAGAAGCAGCAGAGAGAAAATCATGCGTCTACTAGTGGAAGGTATCATGTTCGAAGGGTATCTTATATATGGACTGTGTGGGGTCATAGAATAGTTCAGAACTTGGAATTCTGAAAGTTGAACTTGATCGGATCCAACATTGACAAACAAACAGTCCTTCAGTTAGGTGTGGTGAGCAAGACTATTAAATGCAAAGAGATACGATACAGATAAAGAAGCATCTAACGAAGGCAGATGGAGGAATTATGGCACGTCCGAAAAAGTCAAGTCCGCTGTTATGTCTGGGCTGGGTAGATCTGGTAAGCTTACTGTAGGAGACAGGGCAGATTGTGAGTCAACACCCCCGAGGTCAGTCCTTCTCCGCGTCCGCCGTCGTGGCGCAGAAGAGACGGTAGGTGACGACGTCCCGAAGCCATCGGCTTTGAGAGCAGCCAGCATATCTCGCGCGACGTCAACGGTAGTGTCAAGTGGAAGTACGAGAGGTCTAGTGTCCGGTTTCAAACGAGCCTTTCTTGCGCGACGTGTAACCGTGTCTCCATTGCGCAACTTCTCCAGTAGATTGTCCAGAACCGACTCATCTTCCTCTCGTATGCTAGCATCCTTGGCATTCTGGCGCAATTGCCTCGTCTCTGCCATAGCTTGCTTCCGCTTCTCAACCGCAGCCTTCTCTTCAGCAGCGGTTTGGTTCTCCATTTTGCATTTCTGTAAAACACTAGGTAACCACATTGCACCAACATGTCAGGACCACTGACCTTGAAAGAAGTGACAAAGGTTTTGAAAACCGCAAAGAATTCCGGTGATGTAATGTTCTTTTCGTCCTCACCATAATACTTGACCACTTCCGTGAAAGTGGTTTCCGCATGATTTACATCATCGACAAGAT